GGTCATGTTAGTACTGATTGTTTAAATGTGCTGCTTCCAGTGCTGACTGGATGCATGTTTTTCACCTGGAAATATAGCCTTTATGCTTAAAACATCATGACTTGGTCCATAGAACCTAGTTTAAAAATATAAATCTGGTGAAGTCACTGTACAGATGGTGCAATTCTCAGAATGTCTTGGGATGTGAGTAACCTTGCCCTCCCCCCTCTCGTACAAAATATTTTAAAATATTTTTTATGTGCTTATAAATCTGTCCTGACTGCCAAAGCTGAAAATACAGAGCAGATTCGGTCTGGGCCTAGCAGATTTAAACAGCACAGTTTAGTGTTTTGCAGCCCCCTAACACACTGACTCAAGTCATCAAGGGCTTAATTACTCAAATTAGGCTATTAATCAGAGGATATTGCAGGGAGTTATTTTAATTTCTTCCTCGTGTTATGGCCCTCAAGGGCTGAAAATACCCACCTTTGCCTTGGAGCAAAAACTGAGGGCTCTTATTTTGACATGCAGGCCTGTGAAGCTGAACAGGACATGGGTTTATTTCTGATGCACAAACCTAAAGCTTGATTTGTGTATTAGGACATGATAGTTAATGTGCATTTGATATTTTCCTGAAATATCACAAATTTACAAAATTACATTCATTAACAATTTTTAATTCTGATTCTGAGCCTGTTAATGCAGAATTATATTCTGACTCGCATGCATAAAGTGAGTCCAAATGAAATGATCCGATCAGATGCACACACACGATTATGGAGTAATATAAAGAGGTCAAAGCTTCAGTTTATCACTGTCAATTATAAGCAAAGCAAACTCAGAATCATAGCCATACATGCATTTTTCTGTTTTGTATATATTATATATATAGTTCTATTTTTGATGTAACAATGACAATTATATTATTTCATGATGTCACAAGATGCCGACATTCTATTTATGATGTAATAATGACACTTCTACCCAGACAAGGGTTAAACAGATTGTAGAACTGCAGAGGATTCTAGAATTCTGCACTACTTCTAAAATAGAGGAGAGTTTTTTAAAAAATTGAATGTTGTTGAACATAAACACTTCTGAAATGTTACAATCACTCTCCAGTCTGTATGGTCCATATTTCATCACTATCCAGAGAAAAACAAGTATCTCCAAAAAAATACCTTCACAGAAAAGGGAAAAAACATTCTTAACCTTCAGTGTAGGTTAATTTGAAGAGATTTCATTTCAGGCATTTTTGCAGCATTTCTATTGGACCAATTTTTTGTTTAAATTTTCACACAATGTAAACGACAGCTGCTGCGCTCAAATGATGTAGAAAAGTAAAAAAAAAATAAAAATGAGATACGTTTTTCTTTGGACAGTGACGATATGGTATGCATCAAAAATAGCCCATTTTAAATTCACTGTTTTTGTGACATCACAAAAATGAAAACATTTGAAAACACCCACCTATTTGGCCTGCAGCGGTTTTAGCCTCACCCATCCATGCTGAAGTATTTCAGCTTTTTGGATATAATAATGATTACATAATAATGACAGATCAGCCTCTGCAAAGGTAAACAATCACACTGTAGACCTGCATAGAGGATTCTAGAGTTGTGCACTACAAAATACTCCTCAAATACAGACGCCTCTCTGAGCATGTCAGTATCCTCAGAATGTCTGCTTTGGAAAAAAAGTAACACTCTGTCTTTGTGTTTAGGTTTAATCTGTATCTGCAGTTTAAAAAAAAGAAATGGTCACCTTTGCCTTTCTATGCAGACATCTGTGAAGGTTTCCACAGAAAGAATAGATAGCTTGAGTTTGTGTTGCACACATTGCACAGTTTCAGTCTTTACAATCCATTCTATTGACCAAACAGCATGACCTACAACACTTGTATAAGTTTACTGGGGCTATTTTATCTAAGTGCTTTGGTCAACCAGTAGTATTGGCCACAGGGGATTAAAAGCTGCTGATGTTATGGTTAGCAGTCAATTCATCTATAGAAACTGCCTACACATCTCACTTTCCCCTGTATGTGTTGTGTGTGTGTGTGTGTGTGTGTGATCATGTGAAGACTGTGCCTTCCCAGTTTTGACATGTGAATATTTGCATATGCTGTCAAATTATTCTAGATGGTCCTTTTGGTCTTGTTTTACAGTTGTGTGCAAAAGTTTGGGTACCCCTGGTCAAATTCCATGTTGTGGTGATTGTATGAAGTGAAGATATTTTAAAACATCCTCTACAGAGAACACACCTCTGAACATTTAATGCATAATTACTGTTTATTACAAAACACCAGCTGATCTGTATGTTGTGTGAACAGTCCATGATCAATGGACCAATAGGAATCTTAAAAAGCAGTCTTTTAATTTTATTCAGTTAGGTTACATAACAGATGTTAAAGCAGAATTTCATCGATTTCTCTAAATCTGTCCACAATTCAATCATTACGATGTAAACAAAGCTACTTGTAGTGGTTCGATGTGAAATGTTCTGTTCTAGAGAAACTTATTATGTCAGAAATGTTCACAGTGGCGGTGATAGTACCCTGACATCTGAAGCATCTCATGCCTCCAAAGGAAAGCTATTAATTGAAATGGTTGTGTATATGCTGCCTGATACCAGTGCTAAGATTAAGAAGGTTGTGGCCTAAAATGTATTTTTTTAAAAATGATGGTTGGGGGGGTACATTCTGCAAAGGCAAAATAGTCCCCAAAGAAAATGTATTATTACAGATCATTATTTACTATTGTCAACATTACATATCACTGCTGTGCTTTGACATAATTTGAAAATGCCTGTGGATCTTTACATTGTGGGTAGGTTTCATGATGAATGGACCAAAAGAAATGGCCCAAAATGACTTGTAAAAAAGTCTGGTTCCATTGACTTACGGTTAAAGTAAAGTGTGTATTTTCCTTCTCCTGTAAAGTTACCATTTTGGAGATACAAGGTTTAGTTTCAACAGTAGAGATATAAAAACTCAGAAAACACATGTAGGTTCACTAATCATTTTGGAATAGCTACGTGCTTTACAGACATTGTGACTCTTGGTTCCCATTACTACTGTGCCTTTCACCACCACAACACTATTCGATCAGGACTACAAGATGGCTCACACAATGTACAGTCCATTTTTTTTATAGGGATCGAATCTAAACAGACGTGTTGTTTTACATCAGTAATGTCAACCTGTTGTATAGTTCTTATAGCTCTGTGGAAACAGAAGAGCAGTGGCCTGTCCAGCTGAGACTGCTGAGTAAGTTTGCTTGAGCAGGTGGACCATGGAAGCCAGAGTGACACTTATTGAGCTGACTGGTTGTGTTATAGCTGCATGGGAACGTGTGTATTGATTATTTTTGCGTGTCCGCGGAAAGTTCCCGGCTTTCCCAGAGCATCCCAGCTGCCCTTCAAAGGATTTGCGACTAACGCAGCAAAGAAAAGAGACAGAGAAGAGAGAGCACTGGTCATAATGCTGTGGCTGAGCGCCGGACCAATGGACAACGGCATTTCCCTTTGACCCTGCCCCTCCCTCACCCCTCACCCATTGTAGTCCCAATGCTTAAGAAGCTATATCAGTGGGACTATGGCAGACCCCCCACTAGTGCTTGGATAAAGTATACCAATCAGGGTTGTTCGGGGGGGGGATCACCCCCCTCGCTTTCTCTTCTCTCTGCTGAATAAATGTTTGAGCCGGCCTGACTGGCCTGTGTGCCCCGAGTGGTCTGTCACACCCCGCCGCCCCGCTCCTCTGACCTCTGACCCAGCAGTGAAAAGTTACTGGGGAGGCGCATGAACTCTCTCAGGCCTGGGTGTGCAGGGGTTGCTGGGAAAGTGCCCTGGCAGGGCCGGGGAGGTGGCTGAGGGTGGGATGCAGGTGCCAAAACGACAACCCCTTTGACCCAAGCGTCCAGCACAGGTTACGGCATGTGCTTGCTTCAATTGTCCCATTAAGTGCCGCTGGCCATTGATATGGGGGCTACTCAAAAAAAGCCCCTTAAATTTAGTTTAGCTGGTTGTCAGCTCTATTTCTGTTTCTCTTTCTCTTTCGTCTTTGCCTCTGCATCCGTCTTTTTCTGCTTTCTTTTCTCATTATAGGCGCTGTGCTTTTACCCTTCCTTTATGAGCTCCCTCTCTCTCTCTTTCTGTTTCCCTCTCTCTCTCACTCACACTTGTGTCTCAGCATTCTTTAGTGCAAGACTTCAATAGTGTGGATGTTCTCTGGTCAATTCTTCTCTGCTTTGCGAGTGGACAGCTAGTGATAAATGTGAGGCCCAATCAATGTGGAGTTTTTGTGAGTGCTCTGGGAAAATTAAAATGCAACAGCACTTTTCATTCCACAAGAAGAGGCAGTAGGAAATGGATCCGTACCTGATACCTCAATTACAACTGACTGTGTATTTCCATATGGAGATCAGACTAAGAATCACATCTGTTGGAAAGTAACAGCTCTTGTAATACAAATTCTATACTTGTATGGAGCCCAGAGAGAAGCTGGGCCTGATTAAGCTCAACGGCGACCTCTTGTGGTTGTTAATCGAAAGCACATATAACATTTTTTGAACGTCACAAGGAAACTTGCAGATTACTCCTTGGACGAACAGCTGGAAAATAGTTCCATTTGAAAGCATCTGTTGTGTAATCGTTTGTTTTATGCTTTGAGTAGAAAAATAACTTTCACACGTTGAATATTAATATATTAAAACGGCCCAACTGGCTTTGTATCCGTGAACATGGCAACTGTTTATCCTGACTTAGTGTCTTTCTACAGATAAATGTACCTTAATTATAATGAAACAGTGGATGTTCCTGGTAAAATAGTGCTTGATGTGACAGTCTCACTCTTTTCTTTAAGCAATTGTCCCATTAGGAAAAATTCAGTAGCCTCCAGAAAGTTGCTACTCCACGTTTAGTGGCTGTAATTTCTCAGTTGTTTGAAGAGAGATGCTACATTTCCACGTTCCGCTGCCAAAGCGTGAACATTTGGCCAGCTGTGTGAGGATAAGTCCTCTTACGGAAGCTGTAATGTGGGGCTAACCCACGTTGGCTGCTTTGGGAGTTGGGAAGAGCCCCTGAAGTGCTGACGCGGATCAGGGCTGAGCGAGTGAGCGAAGCCGTGTTGGAGTACGATGTTTCGCTGGATTTTGGCTTTCTTGCTCGCCTTTTCACGGACACAATGCTACTTTTCGGAGGAAAATTACACGGAAGAGTCCAAAATGCAGCAGCCCACTGTCGTAATAGCCATAATCGCCAGAAACGCTGCTCATTCTCTGCCTTACTACCTTGGAGCTCTGGAGAGACTCAACTACCCCAAAGACCGGATCTCCATTTGGTACGTGCCTTCACTCCAACCATTCTTAAAAGTCTGTTGTTTTCCTTTTCTTCTGCTTTCACAGGGGGGAGTAAAAGTCAGTCATATTAAAATTCCTTTACACTCTTCCGATGTTTTCCTCAGAAGGAGCCCCCCATCCCCCACTGACATCAAACTGTCTTCCTTGGTACATTCAACTGTTAAAATCCAGTTATTCTGTAGTTCTGAGTGTAGAACGGATACATGTCGCAGTTTGGCACGTTGTGCACCGTAGTTCCATCCACTCTGTTGGGAATAAAAGGCATTACCCCATGGAAAATCATATCAGGAATGTTCTTGCATCCTTCACCATTACTGCTCACATAAACAGGCTACACACTTCAAAAAGAGGGTTCTTCAAGGGTTCTTTAGTGAAGGGAGGGCTGGGCAGTATTGCGATCTATATCGTTATCGTGATAATTGATGTCACCATAGGCTACAATACAGTATGCTTTTCTGTGCATATCGTGGACATCGTCAGTACTTGTACACACTTCAAAAAGATGGTTCTTCAAGGGTTCTTTAGTAAAGAAAATGGTTCTGTAGGGAACCATGAACACTCAGATAACCCTTTCATGAATAAAGGGTTCTTTGCATTGTGAAATGGTTGTTCAGACTGATAGAGAATGTGTTTTACATGGTTCTATATAGAACCTTTTTAAAAAGTGATCTATATAATACCAAAAGGGTTCTTTTATTGTTACAGTTTTGACATTTTAACAGTAGAAGAACCCTTTTTGGCACTATATAGAATCCTTTTCAAAAAGGTTCTATATAGAACCATCTATAGCACATTCTCCATCAATCTAAAGAACCATTTAACAATGCAAAGAACGGTTTAATCATGCAAAGCGTTCTTTGTGTGTTCATGGTTCTATATAGAACCATTTCCTTTACTGAAGAAACCTTGAAGAACCAATATTTTAGTGTAGTAAAGAAAGTGGTTTAATATAGAACCATGAACACTCAAAGAACCCTGTATATGATTAAAGGGTTCTTTACATGGTGAAAGTGTTCTTCAGATTGATGGAAAATGTGCTGTAGGTGGTTCTATATCGAACCTTTTTGAAAAGGGTTCTATATAGCAGCAAAAAAGATTCTTCTTTAGTTACAAGCTTGGAATTAAAACAATAGCAGAACCCTTTTTGGTGCTATATAGAACCCTTTTCAAAAAGGTTCTTTATAGAAATATCTACAGCACATTCTGAAGAACCCTTTCCTGATGCAACAAACCCTTTAATCTTGCACAGGGTTCTTTGAGTGTTTATGGTTCTACATAAAACCATTTTCTTTATCAAAGAACCCTTGAAGAACCATCTTTTAAGTGTGTACTTTGCTGATATAAAGATCTCTCTGTTTGAGAACTAATGTGTTGAATGTAATGTGTTAGAGCAGGGAGATAAACTGGAGTACAGAGATGATCCTGGACTGGAAAACATTATCATGCTTATCTAAATCCTTTGGATCATATTAACATCATGCATGCCTTTATAGGTTTGATTTAACCCAGGAGTGGAGGGCCTGGGTCCAGGTGATTTGTCCTACTTAGATACACTTGATTCATCTCAGGATCTAATTGCCAGTTTTAATAAGAGAGTTTAACGGAGGAAAATCACTAAACAGTGTTTCAGGACTGCACTTTGCTGCTCCTTATTAAACCCCTCAAACCTTAGGCTACATGCTCAGTTATTGATTTTGTATATCAATGCATACTATGAATTATTTGGTGGCTACTATGAAACTAAAATGTATATTATATCATTTTAAGAGTGAGCAGCTGAAGTGTGGGCCCAGATAAGGACCCATAGGCTCAACTGCCCCTCATGTCTTCCCTTTGTTTTTCCACTAGGGCGGCGACAGACCATAACATTGATAACACCACTGCAGTCCTCCGAGAGTGGCTCACTGTCATGCAGCAGTATTATCACTATGTGGAGTGGAGGCCTATGGACAAACCAACGTAAGGCTGTTTTATAATAAAGGAATGGTATTTGAGTTCTGTTGCTTGTTAGAACTTCAAAGCAAGATTCTCTCTATCTATGCTTAGATATCTGGATTCATATTCTTAAAACTGGTGTATCACAGAAATTTGATACGCTGTAAAAGTCTGAATCAAAAATGGTCTTGTGGGCACACTGTACATAGACATGGACATAGAAACAAGACACACGTAAGCCAATAAGAAAGGCTGAATGCAATAGTCACGAAACAACAAAAATCACCTCAGACCTTTTTCACTGCATCTATAAAATGCAATTTCCTCATGTATGGGAGGGCCCTCAGTGGAATTATGCATTCCCTCAATAATGTTGATTGAATATACTTTAAAGGAAGTTTGTATACTTTACAAAACCAGACGGGAACTGCTCTTTTTTATCTTCATACACAAATAAGTCAACATTTGTAACAGTGTTTTTATTTACTTTAGATGCAGTTTTTTGTCGTGGCTGTTTATTTGATTACAAGGAAGCTGCCGTTGTGCTGTAGTCAATAGTGTCCTAGTTAGTCTGACCACAGAGTTATTAAAAATATTTTGTTTGATTATCTTAATTAAAAGAATCCAAGTTGATTTCCATTATGCTGGTGGAATGGCCACCATTGGGCCTGCAGAAATAGACAATATAGGAATTCATTACATTGCAAAAGTAGTTTCTTTTAATTATTTATTTTGCAACAGGCTCCATAACTAAGAGAGTAACTGAGCGGAGCTGTGTAGGAGATGAGTAAAGTTGTCCACAATAAGAGAAGCATGTATATATATATATATATATATATATATATATATATATATATATATGTATATATATAATAGCAGGCCAGGCAAATCATCCTTTTCTTTTCAAAGATGTACACGTAGACTTGCACAGCGTGATGTGAACAATAGTCATTCTAGGCTAGGTTAGTAAAAGTTATTTTAAGCTAACGAGTAAGACATATTAAAGCTCCAGGGAAGTGCTTGTGCAGAACTACAGAATCCTCTGAGAATACAAAATATTTAATTAAGTGTAAAAATTCCCAAATGAGTTTTGATGAAGGCATTGAAATATTAAACTATAATTAGGAATTAGAATATTAACAGCCTTTTTGTACAGGTCATCATAGTATCCCAGCTGCCCTAGGACAGAAGATTTCTGCTCTCACGGCTCCTCTTTGGAATGGCTGGACAAGCTTTAGCTTGCCAGCTTATGTTAAACTCAGGCTGCTGGAAGGTGATTTCATTCCAGCTAAAGTCAGTGATGCCCTGTGGAAGAACCTAATCCATGCCTTCTAATGCCGCTAATCAAGGCCTTCTCAGATAGCTCGATAGGTACTTTCTTAATCCTTTTATAGGAAATCATGGCATTACACCAGCTATAATATGCAAAATAGCTATAATACATACAATATTTATACTCTGCGCCAGAGGTCTGTGATTCTGGTCATGGAGGACTGAAGTACATTTTGGGAAAACTGTCAAACTGTTAGGGAAGCCCATTCCAGGTAGAGCTTTCTCCTGTTCTGTTTTTGACAACAGTATATCAATTTTCTGACATAATATCTCTCAAAATATTCTCTTACTATGTCAAAAATACTGAATTAGCATGTTGTAATAATGTCAGAATAATGGCTTGCAAAATTTAGGCACCTCTGGCCAAATGAAAATCAGTTGACACACAGAGAACACACTTCAGCACATTTTAAGGTCCAGTTACTGTTTATTGGACAAATTCACCAAATTGGGGGAAGGGGCCTGTGAGAAGGTTATGGCACATTTTATATTTTAGTTTTTTCCTCAATACGTTAAACTCAGCAAATAAATAGAAATTGTGCAATAAAAATAGCAGAAAAATTTCATTTCATTTTTAAGTGTGTCCACTTATAAACAGATAATCAACAGAACTTATCAAAATCAACAGAATACAGCATTGGACTAAACTTTTACATATGACTGTATTTTCTGAAAAGACTGAAATATTTTGATGATTTTTGTTACTTATTATTTCAAGATATTAAGTCAATTTTTTGAAAAAAAAAAAGATTATTTCAAGACATTAAGTCAGTATTTTGAGAAAATGATATAGAGAACAAAGTCTGTACTTCGTGATAATAAGTCAGTATTTTGACATACTGCTGCCAAAAACAGAGAAGGAACATTTTGGTGGGAATGGGCTTCTGTAAACAGGGCTGGACTCCAGACCTCCAGGATCAGAGCTGATGACCCCTGCCCTAACACTAGAAACATATCAGGTACAATACAGTACAACAAATACAACTGCTACAACAGGGCAGTGGTGGACAAAGTACACAAATCATGTACTTGAGTTAAAGTAGAGATACCCAAGATAAAATATTACTCCAGTAAAAGTAGAAGTCCTCCCTTTAAACCTCCACTTGAGTAAAAGTACAAAAGTATTTGCCTTCAAGTGTACTTAAGTATTGAAAGTAGAAGTACTAAAAGATTATGGATTATACTAATTATGGCCTAATAGGGCTGCCCACCGCTCTAGGCTAGTGTGCTCGCTGCCCCTAGTGTGTGTGTTCACTAGTGTGCATGTATGTGGGTGTTTCACTGCATGGATGGGTTAAATGCGGAGGTCTAATTCCTCTGTGTGCAAAACACAGTAGGCTAATGGTTCTGAATAATGTTTTACAAGCAAGCAAAGTTTCGGTTTAAGATTTCTTTGCAACTTAGTTACAAGTTTAAGTTTAATAAAAACTTGCTTTAAACACAGGTTCACAAATGAGTTTTTCTTGATTATATTCCATCTGCAGGTCTCTGTTCATAAACCTAAACTAGCAAAAACAAATTTACTACAAAATGAAATAGTGTTTGTATAAACTCAGAAAAAGACACATCAGTCACAACTGCAAATGTGTACATATTTTTATATTGTGGTCTATTTACCCACAAAGTTAAGTTAGCTCTATCATCTATGTTGGTATTGGCACTCCCAAAATTTAGTGCTGCTGCACTGATGTTGAACTGTATGCTTGCACTGGGTCGGTATGTCCAACAGGTCAAAACAAGCTCAAAGCAAAGTCTGTGCTGTACCCTGATTGGTGTTCTTGCTTCACACTTCTTTCGTTTTGACATTACGTTTTTATGCATACATAAGCAAAAGGAGCGACAGATTTCGCATGATGTAGTGGAGTAAAAAGTAAGATATTTGAAATGTAGTGGAGTGAAAGTAAAAAGTCACCCAAAATGGAAATACTTCAGTAAAGTACAGAAAAACTACTTAAGTACAGTAATGAATTACATTTACTTAGTTACTGTCCACCACTGCAACAGGGACAATGTAACAATGGACAATATAACTCATGATGCTGAAGAATCAACAGTAGATGCTTGTCTTAGCTATGTAGTTCTAGTGCAGGCTGTTTATATAGGCATCCAAATATTATGGCCAGGTGTTGGAAGTGAACTCAGGACAGTAGATCTCCATTAGTTGGAGGGGCTAATCCTGCTTACAGTTACCCTCTTGTTCCTGTTATTATCGCATGACTCATTTAAATTAAACAACAACTCTTTAATATGTCAGGACGGTAGTAAACTCTACCAGTGTGCTTGTACAGAGGCTTTCTGTCTCATTCTGCAGGTCTTATGCTGGTGAGTTGGGGCCCAAGCACTGGAGTAACGGTCGTTATGAGTACATCATGAAGCTCAAGCAGGCAGCGCTTAACTTCGCCAAGAAACGCTGGGCTGACTACATCCTGGTAGGTTACATTCTGGTAGAACGAGGTGCTCCCTCATACATACACACAGAAACATACACTTTCTCTTTTGAGTGTGTTATGAGAAAAAAAAAGTAACTGCCTTTTTGTTTTTGAAGAAATATTTCAATAATTGTAAATATCCTCATGTTTACTGGAAGCATCATGCAAGTGCCAACATGTGCCCATTAGATTCAATTCATTATTAGTCAGGTTGGCTTTTTTGTTGGGTATTTTATTGCTTTATATGCTTCTTTCTTCTCTAGTATGCAGATGCAGACAACATTCTGACCAACCCGGACACCCTGAACCTCCTGATTGCAGAGAATAAGTCTGTCATCGCCCCCATGCTGGACTCTCAGTCTGCCTACTCCAACTACTGGTGTGGCATCACCCCCCAGGTAAGCTTGTTTATTTGTGTCCAGAAACCTTATTTTAACTGCTGTTCAAGGTGAGTTTTCGCAATACTGTGTATCAGCATGGCATAGTGTATTGTACCTTATGAGCATTCTTTCACTTATTTTTATAGCCTTTTTGCATGTATGATAATCATTTTATGATGGTGAAATGTGACCATCAGAGCCAAATTTGACCCACCTATTTTATATCAAACCTGATTGGTTGATTACACTGTCAGTTGCTGTTTATGTTGGTAGTTAATCTAACATGTAAGGACTTCAGTCCTGCTCCTGAAGTGCTAACCAGTGTGAGACATGGTTTAAGATTTTAACCCTTTTGTTTCCAAACAAAACTTAACAATAAAATTAGAGCATTACTACAGTGTTTGCAGAGTTTAATACAACGAGCATGATTGATCTATTAAATAAAAATGAACTAAAAATTACAGACATGTATTTTTGTATTTCTGAGAAACCGCTAGACCTTCTCTGAAGGCCTAAAAGGCCTTGAGGGTTCCCCACTGTGTTCTTACAGTCTAACCAAGTGTTTATCTCTGAAGCATTTTTAATGTCAGTGAATAATAAACTAAACAGGGTTCATAAAATCTTTTTACAATAACCAGAGGACTTGTCTCTAAGCTATGTGGTAATGGGTTCGATCTTAGCTGATGGCATCTTGCCTTGCCACTTTGCTCTTGAGTTGCTCTTGAGTTGCTCTGTGATGGCCTTTCTCTGTAGGTGAAATCTCAGTTTACAGCCATATGTCCTTATAACTAGAGAACGATCACATTATAAGATGTGAAGTTATTTAAGTCAGGACTGAAAATTTTACCAGAGAATGTTGTGTAATGTACTGTGCCAGGATTTGAATGGCTGATTGATACAGGATAGATGGAAAGGTCATATCAGGGATATTCGCTATAGCGTTCTGCCACAAGATGCACTGATTAACAACAACACATCACATGGCAATAAATTGTATTATTCTACACACACTGCAGATTTATACTGGATTAAAATCACTCCACAATTATTACTATCAGACTGTAAAAACTACACTCACTGCAGATTTATACTGGATTAAAATCACTCCATCAGACTACAAAAACTACACACACTACAGATTTATACTGGATTAAAATCACTCCACAATTATTACTATCAGACTGTAAAAACTACACACACTGCAGATTTATACTGGATTAAAATCACTCCACAATTATTACTGTCAGACTATAAAAACTACACACACTGCAGATTTATACTGGATTAAAACCACTCCACAATTATTACTATCAGACTGTAAAAACTACACTCACTGCAGATTTATACTGGATTAAAATCACTCCACAATTATTACTGTCAGACTATGAAACTACACACACTGCAGATTCATCCACAATTATTACTATCAGACTATAAAAACTACACCCACTGCAGATTCATACTGGATTAAAACCACTCCATAATTATTACTGCCAGACTGTAAAAACTACACTCACTGCAGATTCATACTGGATTAAAATATCAGATCTTGACACTATTGTTTTAAATTACAGGGCCTCCCCAGATAAAATTACTTCATAATTAAAGTTGATCAGTTTTTGATTTTTTACTGTTGTACATCTGTTGATGCATTTGGGTGTATTTTAGGGTTACTATCGTCGCACAGCAGAGTATTTCCCGACCAGGAACCGTTACCGGAAGGGCTGCTTCCCTGTTCCAATGGTGCACTCCACCATGCTGTTGGACCTGCGTAAAGAGGGCACCAAGAAACTCGCCTTTCACCCACCACACAAAGACTACTCATGGCCTTTCGATGACATCATTGTCTTCGCCTTTTCCTGCAGGGTGTCAGGTAAGCTTACTAAGCCCACAACTGAGTTACACAGTTGTGATTTGTTCTGTAGTGTAATTATTAGCTGTATAGTGTGTGTTTTAGGACACAGGCCATATGGGTGGTCATTGCAATGAGCGCTGCTATGTGCTGTAGTTTGTGGTGGTATGTACATCAGACTGAAATGTGTGCTGTGTTCATCCAGAGGTGCAGATGTATCTTTGCAATGAAGAACGCTATGGTTACTTGAACGTTCCTGCCAAGCCACACCAGACTGTGGAGGATGACCGCATCAACTTCGTCCATCTCTACTTGGAAGCTTTGAGTGAGTTTGGCTTGTTACTTTGGCTTGCTCTGAACTGTTCTTTCTTTGTGGCAGTCTGTGACTGAGTCCTAACATTTACTCAAAAGAATATATGATATTGCTCTATACTGCTCTGTAAAAAATGAAAGTGTTTAAAACCTATCAGGGCTCTTTGGTACATTTTTTGCCAAGGAACACTGGTGCTCCTGATTTGACATACACGAGCCCACAGTAAACACGCTTATTATGAACCTTTCTTTATATCCTTTCTTTTTTCTGCCCATGAGTCATGGAGGGTGTTTTAATTCAGGAAACACATTTTTTCTACATTGTCCAAGCCCATTAGGAACTATCATTCTCAGTTATTCAATAGTTATTGTTCTTTTCTTGTAGTTTTTTTTCATTTCATATGTGTTCTTATCTTTGTCTAATTAACACAAAGTATGTGTTTGTACCAGCAGTTCTTATAAGTGTAACCTGCAAGTAAGGCTAAACTATTTGGGGAAAATTGTAACGTGCGAGAAAGATTTAGACGCTCGAGGTTAAAAGGGAAAAAAGAGGCTTTACCAGGTCTTTGGTCAAAAACAGGCAAAATGGTCATAAACTGGAATAACATACACAATAGATCGCTCAGTAGATCTGGATAGATGCAACACCTCACAACTAGACTATGCTAAAGCCTGGGCTTATAAACTAAACTACTGTAGTCATATGACTAAGAAGACAGCTGAACAGAGTTAGTATTCTGGTGACTGTGAGCGCTGATTGGAGCGCGAGGGAAGGTCAGGAGTCATGTGAGTCAGGTGATCTCTCAGAGGATTCTGGGAGATGGAGTCCAAGTGTGCCTCAGAGCCGGAGGGATGCGTGACAAAAATATCTAACTGCAGTTTTTCAATACTAATACTAATACTTCAAGACTAATATTGCAATTTAAATTGTGATTATATTTTATAAATTAAGGTTCAGTTCTGTTTTTTTGGCCAAAAAAACGGAATGTTCCAGCCTGAGGCCTAACCCCTGAATGTGTCCCAGACTGCCAGTAAGTTGTGTTTGTGATGTCACAACACATGGAGGTTTGATTGCCTCTGATTGGTCTAACTTATCTACAGGCATTTCACACGCTCTGTGTTATTAGGTTAAATTTCCCCTCTTAAAATATGAGACAATGAGTTTGATAATGTTGGCTATAATCAATAAAAAAAATCCTAATTTGAAATTTGCACTCTCTTAAATTGCGATTTTGATAGAAAAACTATTAATCACATTTATTGAAATAGTGTTTTATAATACAGCACAGATTTTTATTACCCAAAATCTAAAAAACTTGTGGAATTTAAAAATGGTCAGTTCTACTGAATAAAGAACCGTTTTTGGAGCAGAAAGAGTTCATATTCATGTTGCTGCGATATTTACAGCATGTGTTGAAACAATATAAAATGCACCTCTCCCTAGTTTATACTTCTTTAATGCAAACAAATTAAACGATCCTTTCGGGAGATTGTTCTGTTATATCAGAGGGTCTTGTTGTGCTGGTTGTTTTGTTTATCATGCGTTTTGGTAGCCTGTTTAATTACCAACACTCAAAAATCAACACTCTTGGCTGTAATTTGATGGTGTCGCATTGGCTAATAATATTTAATTATGATCATAATATTATATTATAATATTTAAGTATTATAATAAATTAATAATTATATTATAATTCTTCTTAAAAGATCCAGAGTTTCTAAGACAAAACAAAATTAATTCATGAAAGCAGAGAAAAGTCTTAAGATTCTTCCTAAAAAAAGAGACCAGAGTGACTTAAAACACAACAAAATTTAATTTAGAAAAACACATCTAAAAAGAGATAAAGCAGGAAGCTTGTTCTATAATCGTGGACGCAATACACTAAAAGAAGTGTGTAATAAAACATACATGTGGTTATTTCTGCCATTTAATCTGATATTCTACATCATTAATGTGATTTCTCAATCCTTTTGTGGCGATTGTTTGACATGTAGCGGTTGTGATGTAGAGATGTAGAGAGCTAAACCTTTTTGATCACAAAAACACAAGAACAGAAATATACTTCACACTTCAGTGGTCCTTTATTATTACTCAGACTGATAAAGTCAGTAATATGCTTTTAAAGATCTGAATCTGTGCGCAGTCACAGTGCATACAATAATAAAGGCAGAGAGGACCGTCTTGGTAGCACACAGAAAGCTCCAGTTTCACATTCAGATCCATTTGGCATCATCAGCGTGGACATGCACGCACACCAACTACTCTGGGGTAAGAGTTTAATGAATTCAAGGGTTCAGAGACTCTGAATCTGTGTATCTAATTTTAATAAGGTTAATTGTAGGGCTGCACCGATAGGGGAGCTGTGTTAATGTTGATACATAAACATATATAAAATGTAGAAATTAGGACTAAATCTGTCTGGATTAGAATTATGGAAAAATGTGTCATTTGTTTGTGGAATTTTACAAATGCAGTAAAATTAATAAAATGCAAACAAGTTCTTTTAAATTCTTTATTTTGTAATGATGTTTACTGCAGTTGATGGGCCCCCCATGTACGTGTCCCGCTACGTCCACGTTCCTCCAAAGCAGACAGACCTGATGGGTTTCGATGAGGTGAGTCCACATGAACCCTTTCATGAACATGAACCTGCAGTTTTTGTTGTATATGAATTAACAATAAATCTGAATATGACAAGTGATTCTAAACTTCCAATCTGCTCTATGCCTACACTCTTAAAAAAGCTGGTTCTTCAAGGGTTCCTCAGTAAAGAAAATATTCTTTACTGTTTACTTTACGGTTCTATAAAGAACCATGAACACTCAAAGAATCCTTTGCATGATTAAAGGGTTCTTATCATCATGAAAGTGCTCCTTTTTGAAAAGGGTTCTATATAGCACCCAAAAGGGTTCTTCTATTGTTACAAGCTTGACTCTGTAAAAATAGAAGAACCCTTTTGAGTGCTATATAGAACCCCCTTTCAAAAGTTCTATATTAAACCATCTACAGCACGTTTCTTAAGAACCCTTTCATGATGCAAAGAACCCTTAATTACACAAAGGGTTCTTTGAGTGTTCATGGTTCGTTATAGAACCATTTTCTTTACTGAAGAACCCTTAAAGAACCATCTTTTTTAATAGTGCACCCACCCCAAATTCCCCTTTTACCACACTCGCACAGGAGATGTGATTACAGTCGGAAGTTCCACACAGCAGCCTATAATTATCTTCCCTCACAGCATTGCTTATACTGTATGTTTGTGTGAAATAGAGATCTAACCATAAGAGATCTATTTAAAGGTCTAGCCCAGCGGTCACCAGTCTTATTGATAAAGGGCCAGTGCAGCAGCGGATCTTTATTGCAACCAAGCATGAGCATGCCTCATATAACTAATCAGATGTCTGAAGACTAGCTGATTAAAAAGTGGAAGCAGGTGAGCTTCTGCTTGATGGGAATAAAAACCTGCAGGAACACTGGCCTTTTGCAAATGATACAGGAGGCCTCTGGTCTAGACGTCTGTGCATGTGTGAAGAGTCAGGCTACCAGGTGGAAGAGGCACACATCTTATTCTTTGCCTTAAAGGGTGCTTTTCATCAATTTTGTAAAATGTTTGCATAATTCAGTAGTTGAGATGTAAATGAAGTCATTCAGAGTGGTTTGATGTGGAATGATCAATTGTAGAGAAGATTTGATTTATTTACAGTGGTCGTGAAAGAAACCAGGGTCAAGATATCTGTAACACCGAGTTTATTTATTAGCCAAAATGACCACATGTGTCTCCTGAGTTTTTATGTGGACCTCTTCTCCATGAATGAGTTTAAAAAAAGAGTGAAACCTTCTCCAAGTTATCATTATACAATGTCTCAGGCATCAGACAGTGAATTCATAATCAATTCATGTAATAACTATCTGTGATGGAGCTTTTAGAGGCATTAAACTCTTCAGATGTCTGGTTCCTATCACCACCACTGTGAACGTATCTGTTTCTCTAACACGAAGCGTGTCACATCAAACCACTTTTAATTACTTTGTCTATATTTTAACCATTCAATTATGCATAAATTTTGAGTGGAATTCCCCTTTATTATGGCACAGATCTGAGCCACTTTCATATGTGGATACATATCCAATTAGTGGCCATGTGACCGTAAAGAGAATGGCCTCATTGGAAATCATGTGTTTTTTCCCCACAGCATCGTTCTGTGTTCATAATACGGCAGCAACAGCTGGCTTGAAGTTTCTGCTTGTAAACACTTGTCTTTTTAATAATTTTTGTTATTTTGTATACAGTCATAACTGTAAATTTAATTATTATGCATTTACAAGAAAATGTATGTTTAGATGTTTTATTCAATGGTATGTCAGTGGTCCGAAATTGCTAGTAATAATCTTTTAACATGAACATACATTAAAGCTTAAGAAATGTTTTCTTCCCTTTTCCTGAAAAGTTACCGTTTTGGAAATTTATTTGGACAGCAACAATATGCATGTCTGTGTGTGTTCCTCAGATTTACCTTATAAACCTGCGCAGGCGGCCGGATCGTAGGGAGAGGATGCTGTGGTCACTCTATGAGCTGGAGATCAATGCTAAAGTGGTGGACGCTGTGGACGGAGCGTTAGTTCCTTCTCTTTAATTCTTAGAAATGAGTGTCTACTTCTAATGATTTCATCTCTACAGCTAGTCATTTCAGTGTTCTAAGTCACTCAGACTAGTCTGGTATGAAATGCTCCACTCTAGGGAATCTGTTCTGTTCTAGAATGCCTATAGAAGCCACCTTACAGAAAGTTATTACAGGAAATAGTTACAAATGCAATGCCTGATGCTTGAGATATTATTTAACGAGAGTTTTGAGAAGGTTTTGGCCTAAAACATATGTATGTTTTATATGTATATCACAGTGATTGAATTATGAATATATTATATTAAAAATCTGTGGAATTCCCCTTAAACCTAGAAGGGTCTGTATGTGGGCTCACATTTCAGTTCCTCACTTTTGTAATTACACCTTACATATTAAGGTGCTTTTATACTGGACAGTGTGGGACTGCACAGTACAGTTAATCTGAATCCAGGATTATTCCAACCTGGGATAATATAATCCAACCTGGAGGCTGTTTGGTGGTCACATGATTTCTGATGAAATTTAGTGTTAACTGTAAACACAAACAACGGCAACAGAAAGGGGGATGCTGAATAATCAGTTGAACAATTGAACAATAAGCCTACAGTTTAAGGAGTTCACAAATATCACAAATATTCGACTGTGTGTTTGTTTGTAGAGCTCTGAACAGCAGTGATATTAAGATCCTGGGTGTTGACATCTTGCCAGGATACAATGACCCTTTTTCTGGGCGCTCGCTGACCAAGGGAGAGGTGGGCTGCTTCCTCAGCCACTATTACATCTGGAAGGAGGTGAGTAACCTAAAGAGGAGCCACACACTCAGAAACATGCAGCTCAGTAGTCTGTAACTGTTATTCCATTGACCCATGTAGCTGAGTACAGCAGTTGTCATGACAGAAGAAAACTATACCTACAGAACACTCAGTATTCACCTTTTATTAGTGTGTGACATATATTGGGGTCTAAAAGTCTGAAAGCAAACTGAAAAGTCTTTGAACTTTGAAAATTTTAGAACAGACTTTTCAAAAATGTAAGTAAATTTAGGACATTAACCATGTTAAGATTTTTGTGTAAGAATGTCAGATTTTTTTAATCTCTTTCATTGAAGCCTATGTTCAGACGACTCTCAGGTGGGTTTGATTTACTCATCAGGGGCTTTTGCATGAACTTGTGGAGTACGTGGCAGATCGGCCTAAGTGCACGTTATCAGTACAGCAAAAGGGGATGTACTGAATGCCATTACTATTTTTACTCGCATTAAACTCAAAAAAACACTCAATACACAGATGTGATTGGAGGATGTTTGTACACAGCAGTGAAATATAGACAATAGAAACAATACACCAAACCTTTTTTGGACTGTGATGCTTGAAAACAGCCAAATAATTTCATTTTGGCCAAAGAGGACACACTTTATTAGACATTATGAAGATTCAGTGCTTTTTACACCCTTGATGAATATCATAGCTGATAACATAAGAGAGGGATAATGGGTGTCATATATGTTGGGAAATGGTCTGTGTTTGTGTGTGAAAGTCTACATCTCCCTCTCTCTCTCTCCTCTCTCTCTCTCTCTTTCAGATGGTGGACATGCAGCTGGACAAAGCTCTGATCTTTGAGGATGACGTGCGTTTTCAGGGAAACTTCAAACGCCGCATCATGCAGCTGATGGAGGAGGTGGAGCTAGCAGAGCTCGATTGGGACATCATGTGAGTGACAGCTGTATACAACAATTACCATTACCAAGAATTACCAATTACCAGTCCAGAGGTGCTCTGGTTGTGAATAGTACATAACATAGAATCATAAAGGATTTTGTAAAAACTTCACATCTACACCATTTACATGTGGGTCTGTATCTAAGGGTGACCTGAAACTGGTCACAAACAGTGTAGTTGTTTTTTGCCAGAGGAACCTGCAGTTTGTTGTTGGCAAATTTTGTTGTTGCTAGTGTGTAATTTTCATGTCAGCACAGGAACACACACCCACATAAATCCACCTTCTGGGGCAAAATGACAGGGCAAATGCATTTAACATGTAAATACATTTAATTTTCTTTTTTAAAAAATTGGGAATCGCTGTTTTTAATTATATTAAATTATATATATACTCCAGATACATGTGTAAATGATTATAATATAATGCTAGGACTGTACAGCTTAATAAGTTTCAAATAATTAACAGGAACAACACTTAAGCTGACCTAATTAATTTGGTTAGATTACAGTTATTTAAGAAACCATTCAGTGCATCATGAAATCTCAAATTTCACTATAATTCAGATCATTTTGTTAAAATACACTGAATGCACAAATGTAACTGGATGAACTATTTATAACTGTGAAGTGGTCAATAAAATCAAACAAATAAGCCTTTTTGACATTTTGACATTTGAAAATTGCCAGAAAATTTTGTTTTGGCCAGACAGAAAGCACAGTTTATTTAATATTATTATAACTGATTATTATAAATTGCAACATTCCAAAATCATTACAGTTGAATCATCACCTTCAAACTAATGGATTTTTACTCCCCCACTGACAGCAGGACAGCGCCTTCTGGTGCCTGACTTTCTGCTCTGTGTGTGTTTGTGTGTTTCAGATATGTGGGCAGGAAGCAGGTAAACCCTGGAGAGGAGGAACCCGTGGAGAACGTGAGAAACCTGGTGTTTGCTGGTTATTCCTACTGGACCCTCTCTTACGCCATCTCCCTGCAGGGGGCACAGAAACTAATCAATGCAGAACCGCTCTCCAAAATGCTTCCTGTGGATGAGTTTCTGCCCATCATGTACGACAAGCATCCCAAGTGAGTATGGCAAAGACATTAATGAGACCAGACCAGAGCATGAAAAATGAGGAAAAGGCATATGTAACATATTCTTTAAAGAAACATCAGGGTAAAAACTCATTTACAGTTTCTCTAAGTATACTCGATCATGTTTGGTGTCTGACGTTTGCTTCTTTAGTTTTACACAAGAGCTAAAGGTTCAAAATTAAAGTTTGATGTAGTATGGAAAGTTTTAAAGCCTTCCATACAATACCCAGTCCATACAGTCCATATACATGAAACAAACCTGCAGTAAAAGACCTGTTTTCAGTTATTTGATTCTGTGATGTCACAAATTCCACACATTCAGCCTACAGCAATTTAGCCTCACCCTTTCACAATGATTGTTTCAGCCTCCTTTTTTATTGTCAGTTTCATTCTACGGGATAAAAGGAGGTTGAGAAATGGTCGTGTGAAAATTAATTAGGACTGGTTTTGGTACATAGACCTTATAACATTCAAGAGAATTGTAGGACATGGGCCCCTAAAATAAACTCAAAAAGACCTGCTTATGTGGTTTCTGACACTATAACAGACTGTGATCTGTAAGCTTGGACAAAAGTATGGACAAATTTCAGACCTCAAAGTGGTCACTACTACTGTTTATCACTATATAATCTATGTTTGTTTAGAATTTTTACTCCAAACTTTTGATTTAAGAAAATGTAATATATGAATGGTTAACAAAGTGTAAACATCCAATAATAAGGAAAAACAGTTCAGTAACTTGCTGGCTTATGTGATAATTGGGCTGGGCAATGTAGTATTTATTGTCATTATGATAAATTGCTTCACCATATCTGAGATGGATATCTGAGTATCATTGGTACTTAAGAAACACTTCCCAACTGCTTGTTTAATGACAAAGATTGTGTAATTGGTCTTAGTGCTGCACAGTGTGCATAGTATTGGCGCTACCTTATAGTGACTGTTGAAACATTGACCAGCTGTATTTGATCATGTGAAAAGTGTTAGACACTCTGAAAAAGTATCTCTGGGTATATCAAACTCATTTTAAAAGTATATAATATATGAAGGATGAAAATAGGATATAATGCAAACATATTTGAACAAAGAATTCAGAAGGTCATGGCTTCAAATCCCAGGACTGGCTGGGTGTACCTGGTTGTGCGCTTGGTCAAAGCACTTCACCTCCTGCTGCCTCTGGTAGCACTGCTTTGCTGGAGATAACGTGCATATTGAAATAGAGATGGTCAGTATCAGCAGAAAATGCTGAATCTGATGTTGTAGAAAAAAAAAGAATGATGTGTGATGAGCTGTTAGCTGTGTAGTTCTTTCTGTGGGGTAGTAGCATGTTTTAGCGTGATAGACTACTTTTAGATGGTCATCTTTAGTGAAATGAATAAATTAAAAATAGATCACTTTATCGAAGTATAGCAGTTTTGTTTTATCAGTGGAGGCTTGAGGACTCAATATTGGTATCAGAAAATAAAAGGTGGCATGGTGCCATTTCTATATTGAAAGTTGTGATGATACAAGTAAAATGTATATATGTTTTACTGTTTCCATGTGGTGGAACTGTCTAAGCTTATAAATACCATCAGAGTTTTTTCCTGGAATCTAAGAAAAGATCAGCCTGTGGTATAGTGCCAAACTATATGTGCGGTTTAGGTTGTATGTGACATAACCCATAGTTAGGATGCTTGTGTTGGGCTGTGGTTTTCTAATTCTGAGGTCTTTGGTTGAAGTTCATGGTCCAGAAATATTACCAGCCTTAAACTCCCTGAGTTTAGAAAAATAGCTTACTGCAACATGTGTCCTATCGTTTCAGCCTGCATCACTATGAAAAGCAGACATTTCTCTCATTTTTCTTTCCTTCTCTCATTTTTTCCAGCCCCATGAAATGTGGTGGCATTTCATTCCCCAGATGGTTCTGAAATCCTGTAAAGACAATCAAAACTGATATAACTGAACTGAAAAATGTACTGTTCTGTAGTATTACTGAACACGTTATGACCAAGATTTAAACATTAGAAAGATTTGAGCACCATAATGCCTTACTAAATCAGGAATTAATTTAAGCATAGAACACGTATGTGTGTGTGTGTACTGGCTAGCTGCCCTTTCTTTCCTTCCATTTTCCTCTCGGTTTCTGGCTCTCTCCGCTTTTGCTGTGTGCCTGCCAGAAGCATTCCATCTCCTCAGCAGGAGATTCACATAGATTTTACTCTTCACATGCGCACACACCTCTGTCTCTAATCCAGATAAGCACACTCATTTAAAGATCCCACTGTTCACTAGGTGCTGCACAATTATTAATTTTTTAATAGTTAAGTAGTGATTCAAAAAAGTAGCCGAGTACTTGTCATTATCACATGAACATTTTATAACAGGCGCATTACAGATGTCTGTGGAAAGCATTTTAATAGTAGTTTGTTAATAGTGCTGGGGTGTGAGATGTGCACCACAGTAACTTATTACACAGACTGTCTGACCGGGTCCGGTTATCTGTACTTTGGTGCGCTGTCTGATAGGAAACAAGTGACTGTTTATCACTCTGAATCCCATTGGTTTCATGTAGTATTTCCGCACTAACAATGTACTTGAGGCCTTGTGTTTGGCAGAAAAACAGATTTCTGTTCTTATCTCCTGCCTCTTCACTGCAGTTTTTACTACTGCTGTATTTCAGGCACATAGTCGATGGCTTAAATTTGGTTTCCAGTCTTGGAAATTATAATCACTGGTAGTCGTAACACTAGCCTGTCCTCAGAATGTATCTCTACTGAATATTATTGTGCCATATGGGGGAGGGAGACAATAACCACGTTGTACAAATGTAAAATGTTTTACTGCTTTACAAAGTTTGCCAATGTATGCTATTCCCAGTGGAAACTTCTGAATAATTAAGTCATTGAGATGTAAACAAAGTCATTCAGAGTGATTTGGTGTGAAATGGTTTATTGTAGAGAAACCTACAGACTCAGATTTCTTTACTGTGGCGGTGATGGGAACCGGGGTTGCCGTGTCTACAGCACAAATGTAGCCATTTTATTTATTAACCAAAATGATCAGTGAACCTGCAGGTGTCTTCTGAGTTTTATACGGAATGTAGATGATGGGCAAATAGTGGAAGATCTGAAATTGCAAGTTTTAAAGTAAAGAGCTTACTCTCTCTACACTCCTTTTTTGGCTGTCCTGTATTCTGGGAGAATTTGTCACTGTTTGAGTTGGTGGAGGTCCAGCACTTTGCACTCATTCCAAGTTTGAAAAAACCCAGGAATCCTGTGCCAGCTGGCCAGGAAAAGACTTGTAAATAGTTGAGTGCTTTTAATAGTTCAGGTGCTTCTCTTACACACCTATTTCTCAGTCTAAGTGACATTTTATTATATTTTGTTAGCTTTAGCTCTGAGCTCTACAAGTATCAATTGTAACAATAATTCATCTTGTTTTCATGGCAACCACTTTGCTTATTCGCCTATTCAGAATACATATGGTGGGAATAGGGTAATCAGTCAGTCAGCAGCTATGGGAAAGTATATATTTACAGAACCATTCGCCCAGTTTCTTACACTTTTTCCTTCATTTTTACCAGCTTACCCAGGCAAATTTCAAAATGTAAGATGAATTATCTAAACATTCCCTGTTCAAGGGACTGTTTGGCCAAAATTAATAATTTCATAATCTGTTTTAATAATAAAACATTAATTATAATTGAACCATCTGTGAACCAACGACTAGGTAAACGCTCCTCTGGTGATGTAGGCCCATCTTGAAGGTGGGAGGCACTGCTGAAAAACTACAGTTGCTTTGCGATGGATTTTTGGGTGTTCTCTTTTGAAATGGTTTTCCATGTCTGTCTATCTATCCATGAATCCATTTGGCTGGCAAACGCAGACGAAAGGCTGATAGTCAACATTATTGCTAAACATCTTATTGCAGCCATATAACTGTAGCAGTTAGATTGTGTATGCAGTCTGTAATAGTAGCTATAAAGTCATTACAATGGAGAGAGTAGATAACCCAAATGACAGAAATTACTGCTATGCTCAAATATACTAGGTTATCTGCTAATATGTCATAGTATGTTAAATCCTGCTTTGCACAATCTACATATTCTTAGTACCATGTACTGCCTGTGTTCTGTTTTTGTATTTATTGTAAATCTTTCGTATTTATTGCACTGTATTGTTTGCACTGTGTATATTGTATTGTTTCACACTTGTGTTCCTGTGTTGCACCGTGGGCCTGTTTTCGTTCCATTATGTACTTGAATATAGCTGAAATGAGAATAAAGCCTCTTGAAATTGAACTTGAAGCTAAAAACTAAAGGTAGCAGGGTAGCTGGCTTTCTCAATACCAGTTTGGCTTTTTTATCTTGCTAAAAGGGTAAAAACTTCTTTCTGACATCTGTTTATGCTGAATAAAGATAGTGTCAGTATTTTCTTTCTGAATTTGTTTAAAAGCCTACGTAATGCTAATGCTAGCCTGATTGTATTTATTTTCCTGTAGTTCAGTGATTAGGCCAGCAATCAGGAGGGATTCAGCAATTCTCAGTGGTTGTATGACGTATTTACACTGTACATTTGCAGTGCTGGGTATTGTAGTAAGAGAACGCTGATGAATGAAAACATAAAATCATGCATTCTTTCAAACTGATAAGCCTGAGAGGTACAGAGTGGTTGTACACAATATTGCATAATATAACTAATAATATTAACATCTAGTTTTAGACCAGATTGCCCCTTTAACTATGAGAATGTGTCACACTAATGCCAGCACTTTGATCAGTGTCATGACTTTATTGTATTTGTTAACAGTGAGGACTACAGATCCCAATTTCTGAACCGGAACCTGCAGGCCTACTCTGCAAACCCCCTGCTGGTGCAGCCCTGTCATTATGCCGGAGACCCGGGGTGGGTGAGCGATACAGAAACATCCACACTGTGGGACAATGACAATGTGCGGACAGACTGGAGGGGCTCATACAAGACCCTAAAGGGAGGGACCCCGCCGGCTGGAATTCAAAGCGCCTCCTACAGGGATGAGCTGTAAGGTGCAGGCCAGTGAGCCACTTCTCTAAATGAGTTAGCCATTCGGGAAGTCAGGGTTTGTGAAAATGTGTGAGAGACTTTTCCATTGACTGTACCAGCTGTTCTTGGATAAGGTTACTCACCACAGAAGCCTATTAGGAATACTCACACACACTATAACACACACCCCTTCTCAGGTGGAAGCTGCTCCGAGAGACCCCCGCTTAGTGCCTATGTGTGTTTGTGCATCTGTGTATGTGTTCTCAGGTACATACAGTGCAGTCTGAATGAGCACAGCATGCAGTTTTTTATGGTTTTTACTTTGTACAGCAGTGCACATGATTTGAAACAAAACAATGACTTCATTGTCAGGTCAGAGTGTAGAATGTCAGCTTTAAAGGTGCCAGAAGGGTTCTTTGGAGTGATGCCACAGAGGAACCATTTCTGGTTCTCCAAAGGACCTTTTTATTGATTTTTATTTACTTTAAACTAATGAAAGTTTTTTTTATATAGAACCAAAAGTAGTCAATCTGTCAAGCATTTTATCTTTACTGTGTAATGTTTATTGTGGGCCATTTTTGCATGTATATGTTTATCCTTTAATTAATACTGTAATAGCTTTCTTACATGTGAGGCACACACTGTGAGACACAATGGTGGTCACTAAGGCCCAATCCCATTTCACTCCCTGCTCCTACCACTTAGCTCTTAGCCCTCTGTTTGCGTGTTCATGTCTAGGGGATGGGGTGTCCTGATTTTTTGTTGAGAAAGAGGGGTAGAGTGAAGTGTTAGGGCTACATGGCCCTGCAAACAGAGTGTTATGAGAAAAAAAAAAGAAAACTGGCAAGATGGCTGCACAAGCGACCAAAGAAACCCACAATTGCGAGAATTTCCTCTGTTATAAAATTACAATCTTATCTTATCTTGTCTTATCTTAGTTTAATGTCATTTCAATGTATTGCGGTCCTTTTCTTCACAGCGCTAATAGTATGCTAATGTCTCGGCAGCTGGCTAACTAAATTTCCCTGTTCCACCTTAAATAGTCCAGCAGTACTGACACCTGAAGCGCCAGAATGTAACTGCTGCTCCATTTAAGGTGGAACAGGAAAAGTTTGAATTAGAAGCTGGCGAGTAGCTGACTCCAGCTTCATATCACTGCAGACTGGCAGGGTGGCCTACAGAGCACCACTAGTAGCCTGTTAATGAAGGCTGTTATTTGAGGGTCCCATTTCAGAGGGCAAGATTTGGCAAATTGGCACTCAAAAACAAGGGGTAGGGGTAAAAATAAGAAATGGGATTGGGCCTAAGCTGCACATGTGTTGTTTCATCTGTGTATGAAGTATGTGGACCTAGCCATCACACCTATGTGAGTTTGTTGGACATCCCATTCCATCCCATGCGTATTACTATGAAGCTGCCCCTCAAACCAAGGCCTGGCTCACAATCGACGTTTCAGTTTACCCCAAGGGTGGTCAGTGGGGTTAAGGTGGGCGCTCAGTGGAGTCCCCTGGAGTTTGTCCACACCAAACTCATCAAACCATGTCTGGAGCTCGCTTTGTGCACAGGGGCACAGTCATGCTTGAACAGGAAGGGGTCTTCCCCAAACTGTTGCCAGAAAGCTGCAAGCATGTGATTGTATAAAATGTGTTTGCATTAGCTATTAAGCTAACTAATGCATCTAGTGCATTGCTACGTTTGATTTTCACATTTTTATTACTATCTGATAGATTTATTCATGTTGGCCTGGAAAGCTTCTGTTTAATTAACCTGGTCTGCTTTGCTGCCATTGACACTTGATTGGTGCTCATGCTGACAGACAACAAGAGCCGAATCCAGATAAAGCAGCATGTCAAAAATGTACTCTACACACTTTGTTCTGTCTCTTGTGCACACAGCCAGCTGAGAAACAGTTGAGCTGCTAATTGTTCACTTTCTTTCTGTCCTCTAAAATGGAAGGACAGTTCATCCAGTATTGGCACACACACCCATCAATTAAAGCTGACAGTCTGCACATGAACTGCACAGTCATTGTTTCACTTCAGATCCAGTGTTCTGGAGCACAGAGCCAAAACAACACAAACTGTTCACTGTTCATACACTTACAGACTGCACTGTATGTGGTTGCATTAGGTTACTGAATAGGAGTAACGATTCAGGAATAATGAGCATCCCAGTTATTATTTGCCAGTTTATTAGTATAGTTTTATTGTTCTTGGCTCATTTTTTAGATTGAGCATGTTTTTTTATAAGGCATTTTAAACACATGGAGGAAATGTTTTGTAATGTTTGTCAGATTTACACCAAAGTCTAAATTAAATAGAGAATAAAAATGGCCACTTTGCACAGATACTAAAAACAATCAGAGGAAAAAAACGCATGTGTGAAGTTATGTGTATGTTTGTGTGCATGAGTTTCTGATCAGTTGTTAACTTCTTTTCTGTACATTTTTCCAGTCAGTACAGTTTTAACTTTTGGTCCATCATCATCATCATCAATATCATCTTCATCTCCCTTAATCTCATGTTTTTTCTTATTTATTTAATGTAAATGTTGATGTATAACATATTTGGTCGTCTTTATAAAATGGTCTAATAAAAAAGTACATGTTAAGAATTTCTTGTTTTTTTTTTTGGTCAATAAAATATAAATAACCTGTTTTCCAAAATATTGTCAAGATCAAAAGATAAGTATAGATCAACTGGTCATTTTGGGTAGTAAATAAACTGGCTATATTTGTGTTGTAGATGTGACCCCTGGTTCCTGTCACCACCACTGTAAAAAAAAAAGTTTTTCTGTATGTTTCCCTGCAATGGCCAATTTCACACCAAATCACTCGAAATGACTTTTAATAAATACCAAATTGTGAATTTGAAATTTTGGAAAATTGGTGAAATTCTTCTTTATAAACCAGTCAACTGGAGGAACTCTTTGTCCAGCAGGGGTGCCAGTCGCCAGTCCAATGCAGCTTGTGTATTCCTACTGCCACCTTGAGGTGGATTTGATTGTGGAACACATCTAACTTGAAATCTGAGATTTCATGAGATTGCATTGAATTATTTCCTGAATAATCAGTTCATATTGTATGAAAGTCAGAGATTTGCAGCACTAGGTTTTCATGTTACCCTCCACACACTTGCCTGCTGTCAACACTTTATGGACTTTATGTTTGAGGGTCTTTCTCTGCACAGTTTTTTGTGAAAAGCGCTGATTCTTAGTTGGACTGCTGTTCTGTTAGCATCACTTGTTACATGACTGAAGTACTGATTGTACTGAACTTAGTTTCAGTGTACAATGCAGTTTTATGTTTGGAATGCAAGTTGTGTCATGTTGCTTCTCAGCTGCAAAGCATGGCCTGCAGTCTCAACTGATCGTCATAAGAGTCAGCACAGTCCAAACCAGTGGAGGACCATTAAAGTCATTACCTCATAATTCAATACCTAGGGACAGTTCTACATACACAGATTAACACTAGTCTTAGATTAAAGTACAATGTAAGAAGCCATTCCCTGTGGAAGACACTTTACGGACACCATGAAGGCCTTGATGACTGACTCGAGTCAAATCAGGTAGGTGAGTTAAAGGGCCTATATCTTGCATCTTTGTTGTTTTATTTTTTCTCCCAAGCTTCACTTTTGATGGTATGTACAAAAAGCAATTGACCATGTTCCATCCAGAAATAGACTGTATTTTTTTTACTGTACCTTTAAAACTGATGTATGTTAACAAGCTCTGTTCTGATTGGCTTTCCTGTATTGTGTGTCATTCAAAAACTGCTAAACTGCTATAAGCTAAACCGGCAGATATATGAAAATGTGTTGGTTTCTGTGACATCACAAAAACAAATTCAAAATGAGCTGTTTCAGTCTAATTTCCAAATTGAACTTTTGAAAGTTTAACATTCTTTACATACTACAACAAACTTAAAAAAACCACAAAAATTTCTCATGATATGAGCCCTTTAAAGAAGGGCAAGGCCTGAACTACACAGCACTACATCACACACAGTACAAGTAAACACTGAAACCAGAAGAGAACAAAACTTTTTACATAGGTTGTCAAACCAGACTTAGTCCAAAAAGAATTTTTATAGGTTTTATCATTTTGAAAGCAGCCACCCTGACTCTGCTCATCACACTGTCCCACCCACAACACTCTCCTTGAGTCTATCTTAGGACACAGGCCTGGGGGTCTTAAATAACAAACCACATTCCAAAAGGGACTCCTTCTCCATCGGAGGACTATTTCACAACCACCTTAACTCACACTCAGCACTCTAACTACCTTAAAACCATCTGTATATCAGGTACTTTTGTTTACATAGAAATCTACAAAAATCCATGATATTATTCAATATAGACATCCACCACTCAGAATTGTGTATGTAAGTGTTTTTGTCTTGTGTTTGTGCGTTGTTGTTGTTTTTTGTTTGTTTGTTTGTTTGTTTTTCTGTGGTCCTGCGATGGACTGGCAACCTGTCCAGGGTGTATCTTGCCTTCTGCCCAATGACTGCTAGGATAGGCTCTAGTACCCCCCCCCCACAATCCAGAAGGATAAGCGGTTTGGAAAATGTGTGTGTGTGTGTGTGTGGGTGGGTGGGTGAATGTGTGTGTCTTTGGTCTCATGCTATTTTATTCCTAAACTGGGCTTTGTTGCACAACTCTGTAAAGTAATCATGCCACCAGAGTATGGAGCAGAATGAGACAAAGTGCTAGAATATGGGTTACTACAACACTCAGTATGTTACAAACTTTATCTGTTATAACATTTTTTAAAAACTAAAAAAATGGGTTTTAAAATATTGAAAAAAGGCAAACAAAACAATAAAATATAATCAATAAAAGTGCAGTAAATAAAACATTTCCAAATGAATAATTATTAGTAAATAAATACATACAGTTTCAAAACAATATTAAGAAAATAAGATAATAATAAATACAAATGTTTCAGAAATATTTTTAAATGATTAATTATAAAATGTAAAAAGTTTTTAAAATGACCATATCCTGTATTTATCTTATAATTTACTTTTTCTCCTTTGTTCACTTGTGATGTTTGTGTGGTTTTATGTACCAAACACAATCATATTTTGTTTATACATGACCATTTCCCAACCTCTCTTTATTTCTTAGAATTAAGCAGGCTGTGGTTACTGCTCCCTGACATATCACCACTGTCCAAAAATCACGTATCTCCATTTTTGTTGATTTTTTGTATGAGAATTTCATGATGAATGGACCAACAGAAATCCTCCAAAATAGCTTAAAATAAAACCTCTTTACATTAACATACATAAAAAGTTAAGGACATTTTTGCCTTCTCCTGATACATTGTTCTGTGGACAGTGAGGATATGTAAATGAGCTCTGTTCTGTTTGGCTGCCCTGTATTGTGCCTCATTCAAAAAGCAGAAATACACCTTCTAACTTCACAGTGAATGGGTGGAGCTTCACTGCTGTAGGTTGAATTGTTGGAAATATGTAAATGCATAGATTTTTATTTTCATGATATCATAAAAACATTGAAATCCAAACAGGCTGTTTGTGCGGCTTAGCTTTCATGTATGGACTGTGTGGACTGCAGAGGGGAAAATTGGAAACTAGTAACATTTTGAGACCAACAATGTTTACATGCTACATCGAACTCGTATTTAAAAAACCAAGGAAAATCCAGTTTTCCATAATATGAGATCTTTAAAAAAACAAAAGTAATACTGGTTAACTCTGACACATCAGGACATTCCCTGTCCCTCACACCTGTGTCCACACTGTGACCAGCTTTATTCTGTCCTGTGCTGTCCAGACTAGCAAGATCTGAGCGTGCTGCGAGCGTAGAGGCGGAGGGCCTCGAGCCCATCTCTGATTGGCTGCCATAGATAGACAGGGTTCTCTAAGTTCAGTGACTCTGTCTGTGTGAGATTGAGTTTTCCTGAATGTCTGAGTGTTTTTTTCAGCCTCTGATAACTAATTCCCCTGCCAGAGGCCGAAGGTCAGCTGTTTTTTGCAGGTGGCTGTTCACTTTGTTGTTTGTTCTGAGCAGCATCTGACCCAAAAGGTCCATGAGTAAATTTTACCCAGTTTTTCACTGAGGAATTATGCGCTTTCAGCTAACTACAGCTTTTCTGCACAACATTCTGCTGAAACCAAATCACCAATGGGCTTAAAGGGGACTTCCACCAATTTTTTTAAACTTGTGCATGATTCAGTAGTTGGGATGTGACCAAAGTCATTCAGAGAGGTTTGATGTGAAATGCTTCACTGTAGGGAAACATTATTGACTCAGATTTCTTTACAGTGGTGGTGACAGAAACCAAGGGTAATGATCTCTACAATACATTTACAGCCATTTTATTTACTATCCAAAACAACCACTGAAGCTACACTTCTGAGGAGGCCAATATCACATCTGTGTTTATTAGCCTCTATATGAGCTACAGAGTGCATCAGCGGATTTCTTTATCGCTATAGGGACAGGTTCCCAGTGGTATTTGTGTGATGCATGCTGGGTATTGTAGTGATATGAGGTAAATGCAAAAAGGATACTAAATCATGATGTCAAACCAATGAGGCTGAGGGGTTCACTGCTCTGCTACAGAATATTACATAACATGACAAACGGATGTAAATATTGTAGTCTAGTTTTAGATCACAATGCCCCTTTTAAGTCAGTATATGAACAAAACGCTAAACTGACCGCAGATAAGCATAAAAACCCTCGTCTCCCCAGCACATAGCAAAGACTTTGTTTTCACAGAGCAGCCCAATCACGTGAGAGGGGAGCAGCTGGTTCTCTTTCTGCTCCACTCACTCTGATGTCAGTAAGGAAAGTGCTGCAGCTGGGGCTCTGATCTTCCCAAGAACGTCCCTGTCCCTTCCTTTCAGTGAGGATTGAAAATGTGTACATCATAAATATCATATATTGGCACTGACAAATAATTGTTAAAAAAATATCAGCAATGGACAGATGGTGGGCTACTACACTAAAATTAAGGTGACCAGATTTCTAAAATGAAAACCAGGGACATTTCCAATCGGTGATTAATACATCATTAAATATCCAATGTTTTTATCTATGAAATAAAAAGGGGGGACAGTTCCAGTTTCATGTATTTTGTCCTTGGTACCTGCTGTACTGTAACGAACTATGGTGAAGGCCGACTGATAGAACACCAACTAAATAACTTCGGAAACTGTGTCAGAAAATCATACAGCAGCCACCACGGTGAAGGAAGCTGTGGTAAACTATGGAATACTCTGTAAAGAAAATGGTCATCATGCATGGGGAAAAAATTACAATAGTCCTCTTAAAGATTTATATTTCTTTTTTTCCCCCTCGCGAGATCTGTCACTCATCTGCTTTTTAGAGAGTTGCTGAGTGAAAAGGGCCTCAAAAGTCACCAAGTCTAGCGGCTCAGGTAGGGTTGAGGCAGAAATACAATTTTTTTTAAGGACAGTAAATCTCAAAGTATACAAATAATAATAATAACAATAATGATAATAATAATAATAATAATAATAATAATAAGCAAGAAAAAGTAGCATATGGCCCCTTTGATGACCTTTAGTGTTTAATCTTGAAATGTATCTGACATATTAAAGGAGAATTCAATCTATTTTTCAAAGGTTCTGCAAAAATTAGTGGTTAGGATGTAAACAAAGTCATTCAGAGTGGTTTTGTGTGAAATGAAATGGTTCATTGTAGAGACTCTGATTTCTTTACAGTGGTGGTGATAGGATGTCTACAACACAAATATAGCCATTTTATTTACTATCCAAAACCACCAGTGAACCTCTTCCGATTTTTTTACATCGAATGCTGATGATGGTAAAATAGAGGAAATTCTGAGTTTTCTGTGGGGACTATTTTGCCTCATAACACCCTACATGCACCCATCCGCCACGAACGTGAGTGTGTGTGTGTGTGATTTAATGTTTTAGAAAAAATCTTCTTATAACTGTCGTAAAACAATGTTTCAGGCATTAGGCAGCATATTTGTAATCATTTTGTGTAAAACCGTTCTGAGATGTAGCTTTAGAGGCATAACGCCCTTAAGACGTCGGGTTCCTATCACTGCTGTTTTAGAGTATTGTTTATGACTCAGTAAGTTTCTCTAGAACGGCATCAAACCACTCTGAATGCCTTTCTTTACATTTTAACGACTAAATTACGCAGAAATTCTGAAAAAATGGTGGAATTCCCCTTTATGAAGTACACCCTGTTGTATTTGTCAGTATTTGTTTATCGTTGGAGGTTCATGCACGAGCTGCTTTTCTGATATGAAGCGTTTTTCTGCACACTTGTAGCCTCGTTGGCGTTTTGGCTCAATGTCTGCGCTACGCAAGCACAGCTGTGCGTATGTACCGTGGATTCCTGCACACGCGCACTTCACACACAACACTGCTAAGCCGCGTGTCAGTACACACACAGAGCTACGTTTGAACTTCACCGTTAGGCTACTTGTTTGTATTTCACCACACTGGACATATTCTGACCCGGACGACGCAAGAACGCAGACTGTAAGTTTTTTTTTACTTCTCACTGAAGTATCGTATAAAAAGCTCAGCGTTCTCCTGCACTACTGACCTACTTCTGCAGCACGGAGAGTGAAGTTTGCAGCTGAAGTGAGCTGGTTAGTCTGTGAGTGCTTGAAACTTAACATTGGTTGTATTTAAAAGGTATTTGTGCATAGTCACGTGCCCTCAACACAACTGAACACCAGCTACCAAAACAGCTCCCTGCTGAAAACATGCATGCATTTCATGCTGGTCTAAGCTGGTTTAATGCTGGTGTACTGGTTTGGTCATGGTCATGTTACTGCTGGTTGACCAGTGTGCCAGCATCCAAAATACAACATACTCTGGTTTCACTGGTGACCAGCCATGCTGAACTATGCTGTTTCTTCTAGCAGGAACTTCAGTTTTAAAGGTAGTTTGGAAATATATGAACTTTCACAAATGTGTGTAAAGGTTTAGTTCTGGTCTGGTGCTGGTTTAGCTGGTCACCCAGCATGTTACTGCTGGTTGACCAGCATACCAGCATTCAAAACACAACATACACTGGCTTCTTCTAAGCAGGAACTTCAGTTTTGAAGGTAGTTTGGAAATATATGAACTTTCACAAATGTAAATGTTTCTCCTGTTTCTCCTGAGTAGTGCAGTGATCTGTGCTGCTCTGCTAACCCATGTCCAAATTCAGACAGCTGTTTTATATGGCATGAAGACAAACTGGTTTGAATTTTGAAGTACTGGTTTAAAGTTGGGGTTAGTTATGGGAGCTGTCACGGACACTGAGTTTGTAAATGGCTAAAACACTTATAGTTAATATGCCAGTGTTACTTAGCAGCCTGTTAGTAGAACAGACTTGAATTAGGCCACATTCTTGTCTTTCGCCTAGGCAACTGGAGGAACATTGGCTTGTAGCCTGGTCCACCCAGAAAACAACTCTCGGCCTCCTTGATTCAGCATTTCTGTTGACAGCTGGTTTGTCTCACTTAAAGGGGAATTCCACTGATATTTCAACGTTTCTGCATGAGAAAATGGTTAAGATGTAGACAAAGTCATTCAGAGCTGTTTGATGTGAAATGCTCTGTTCTAGAGAAACTTACCAGTGTCAGAATTGTTCACAGTGGTGGTGACTGGAACCAGACGTATGAAGCTTTAAAAGCCTGTAAAAGCTCCCTCACAGAAAGTTATTACATGAATTGGCTTTTAATACACTGTCTGATGTCTGACACATTGTTTTAAGATAGGCTTTCTAGTCTAAAATGTATTTTTAAAATCTGTTTATGTTATACAGGTACATGCAGGGTGTTCTAAGGTAAAATACCCCCCAAAGAAAACTTTTTTTTTTAGATTTTACCAGTTTTAATTTTTATTAACATTACATATAAATTATATTACATATGAATTGCACAGGATATTCAAGCATACCTACACACACCGATCAGCCATCACATTAAAATCACCTCCTTGTATCTACATTCATAATCCATATTATCGGCTCCACTTACCATATAGGTGCACTTTGTAGTTCTACAGTTACAGACTGGAGTTGATCTGTTTCTCTGAATACTTTGTTAGCCCCCTTTTTTCCCTGTTCTTCATTGGTCAGGACCCCCACAGGACCACAACAGTGCAGGTATTATTTGGCCAGTGACACGGATGGGGTGGTGGTGTGTTAATGTGTGTTGCGCTGGTGTGAGTGGATCAGACAGTGCTGCTGGAGTTTTTAACACCTCAGTGTCTCTGCTGGACTGAGAACCAAAGATATCCAGCCAGCAGCGTCTTGTGGGCAGCATGATAAAGGACTAGAGGATGATCAACACAAACTATGCAGCAACAGCTGAGCTATTGTCTCTGACTTAACATCTACAAGGTAGACAAACAAAGTGGAAGTGTCTAACAGAGTGGACAGTGAGTGGACACAGTGTTAAAAAACTCCAGCAGCACTGCTGTGTCTGATCCACTCATACCAGCACAACACACACTAATACACCACCACCATGTCAGTGTCATTGCAGTGCTGAGAATGATCCATCAGCCAAATAATACCTGCTATATGGTGGTCCTGTAGGGGTCCTGACCATTGAAGAACAGGGTGAAAGGGGGCTAGCAAAGTGTGGAGAGCAACTGAAGTCTGTAATTGTAGAACTACACAGTGCTCCTTTATTTTACGTGGAGCTGATAAAATGAGACTTACTGTGTCAGTTTCTTTGAAAACTCTAGTTTTGAATTTTGTTTTAGGGCTGTAGGTGAAACTTTGAAGTCAGTTTGTTACACAGATTGAAGTTGATCCCAGGGATTTTACTACTGTTTTTTCAGTAGAAAATCCCAGCTTGATTTTGTTCCAACCTAGTTTTAAAGAGTAACTTTATATATTGTTAAACCAGCTTGGCCTCTATGTAGCAGCATGAAAGACAGAAATGTTTGCTGGAAGCTTGTGTAAGAGTCCAGCTTCTTTGTGTCTCTAATTGATACATCTGTGGTGACTGATATGTGTTGATAAGAGTGCTGTATCTACGTCGAGACCCCTGTTGTTTGTGTTTGTGTTTGTGTCTGTGCTGATTATTTTTATTGCATCATTTTATACCAGTAAGCACCAAAGGTCACTACACATTGATGTTCAGTCAATCAGAAATTGCAAATGGCTCAAACGTTGTTGGGATTAAAGTGCAGACTGTTAAATAATTGTTAAACCTTAAATATTTTTTTTTACTCCTTTAAAACTAAGATAGCAGTCTGTCACCACAATGACACTCTATTTAGATAATTTGTCATCACTTTCATGATTTTAGTACTTTAAACTAATCTGTAACCAAGCGGTAATCCAAAATCCCTGATTCCAGGCCCAACTTTGACTTCACGGGAAGTTAATAGGTCAACATGAAGGGGTGCAAAATTTCTGACCTGATAACCGTTTCATTTTATTTTTTAGGAAACTGGTTAGTGCATCATGAAATCCAGTTTAATATGATTTGGTTAAATTGTTGTGGTATTATATAGATTCACTACTGTATAAACAATGTGACTGGAAGAACTGTTTACACAGTAGTGGAAGAGTGACAATAAAAATAAAACACCAAGTTTTTTGATTGCTACTTTTGAAAACAGCCTGAGATTTTTATTTTAAAAATGAGTGCATACTTTATTGCACAGTCTTATAATCAACTATAATTCACTAGAATATTCCAAAAAAGATGTAACTGATTTGCCCACAGATCCTTCACTGATTAGTTGAATTAGATGTGTAGACTGTTTTTAGGACCACAACTAACAACCCAACTGTAGACCTTCTAAAGGGAACTATTCAAATAAGTGTTTGGGTTTGTGTACTGCCGATACTTACTGCCTGTCTGTATGTTTCAGGGGTCATGGCCGTTTTGGGGACGGCAGTGTGGAGAGTGTTGGGGTGTTGGCGCCCTCTGGGGCCACTGTGCCGTACCAGTGCCCGCTGCTATAGTGTCCAGAGTGAGCACACCACAAAGAAAAGCGTCCCCTACGCCATGACCCTCAAACAGGAGGATGGCCTCAGCGGACCCACCAAACCCCTGCCCAGAGCTGCAGACGCAGTGGTGATTGGAGGGGGCAGCTTGGGCTGCCAGACCCTCTACCACCTGTGTAAGATGGGCATGACCAATGTAGTGCTGCTGGAGCGAGACAGGCTGACAGCGGGCACCACCTGGCACACTGCAGGTAAAAATAAACACACAAGCCTGACAGAAGAACAAAGGCTGTGTTTGTATTATAAGTCTTATTGCTCAATTCTAATGTATTGCTCAGATCTGATTTTCATGCATTAATGGTAGGCCTGTTTTAATCATTACATTTTAGCTGACAGTTGATTGCCATAAGTAACTGTGATTAATAGTTGAATTGTCCTTTTTGTTCGGCGTATGCGACTATTAAAGTACAAGCCTAAAGTGGCCAGATTGGCTCATTAGCTGTCTTGCTTCTTAGCAGTCGTATGCAAAGATTAAAAACCCCACTTGTGTTTTTGTTGATTTTCTAAGTGGAAATTAAGTTAATCTACATCCACTACAGTGAACACACTTAAATATGGCAGAACAGGTACCTGGGTGGCCTTGCTAGAGAGAAAGAGTTGAATCCTCTGAATGTTGCAGAGAAGAAACCTGCATAAGTATGAGCTGAGAATGATAACTGGTCGACCAGAATCACACAGAGGCTTCTTGCGTCTTCAGATGGAATGACCAAAGAGTTCTCAAGTGAGATGGAAAGATCAAGGTGAGGACCCGTAGTTCCAGATGAATAGCAGCTCAGTCTTGCTAGGATTCAGGTTCAGGTGGTGGGCTGCCATCCATGAAGAGATGTTGGCCAGACATGCTGAGATGCAACTGGAAGCCTGTGTCAGAAGGTGGGAAGGTGGGAATTAGTGGGGTGTCATCCATTTTCAAGGACAAATTCTCTTTTTTGCACCTAAAAATCTTCCCAGCCAGGATTTCTTAATTGCTCGATTAAGAATAGGATTTAGCTTTTCTTTTATTTTGGCTTTTGCTTTCTACAGTCTGCCCCATGCTGCCCTCTTTTGCCCCCAGTGTCCTCTTTTCTGAAAACTAGTAATTGTCAGGTTTAGTGGAAACGTAGAGGAATTACTAAACTGTGCTGGAGACCCTATAATGTAGACATTTCTTGTATCTAAGCAGAAACTGGTTGAATTGAAGTACAGAAAGCTCATACTCAGACAAAATCCAATCTAACCTGAGTTGCCTTTGGCGCAATTGCAAATAATGCTCTGCTTAAAACTAGTTAAGCGAGTCAGTGTTTTGTTAATGTGTTGTTCTCATAGAAATGATCTGAAAGTAATTAATACTTTTGGTGCTTATGTTGATAGTGCTGTGCAGTTCATGTGCAGCAGTTTGTGCATGTGTAGGCTGTGTTTGTGTTTTAATCCTGCTTCTCTTCTTTCTCACTCTCTCAGGTTTGTTGTGGCAGTTGAGGCCCAGTGATATGGAGGTTGAGCTGCTGGCTCACACTCGGCGTGTGGTCAGCTCAGAGCTGGAGGCAGAGACAGGCCTGGAGACAGGCTGGATCCAGAATGGAGGACTTTTCATCGCCTCTAACAAACAGAGACTGGATGAGTACAAACGTCTCATGTCGGTACGTGACACAGAGCACTTTTGTCTGCAGCCATGGGCAGGTCCAGTGTAGAGTTTCCTGGCTTAACACAGATTATTCAAATCAATAATTTACTGATAATTAACAGAGGAGCTTAATTAACAGGAAATTTATCAGTTTTTTCTAAATTTGTAAGATGAGATGTAAGCAAAATCATTCAGGGTGGTTTAACGTGAAATGATTCATTGTAGAGAAACTTTTCTTTTTTTTTTTCTTTTTTTTTTGCAGTGGTGCTGAAAGGAACCAGGGATAGAGTTTTTATATGTCATGTTGATAATGGCAAAACAGTAGTATTTCTGAAAAAAACTGGGGGGTGGGGGCTTTAACACCTCATGACACCATGCATGTACCTCTATGCCATGGATGGATTTTAAAAGAAACAATAAAAAAAAAAAATCTCAAAACTACGACACAACACTGCATCTGGCAGTGCATTTGTAACTAGTTGTAACTCTTCAGACATCTAGTTCCTATCACCACCACTGTGAACAATTCTGAGACAGTAATTTTCTCCTTAATGGTGCATTTCACATAAATAATGTATTAATAATGCTGAAATTGCTATTTAATGCAGGTTTGCTGAGTTTTAAATGAATTTCAGGATCTTTTTGTTTTTAAAGCTCGTAACAGCCTATGATGTTCACACATCTCTGAATACCTGATAGACTGTTCCAAATGAAGTTCTGAAGACATGGTTTTGCCTTGCTGAACATGCCAATAGTTAAGCACAAGAGAGCTGCAGAGATTAGGAACTTGCTTTTTATTTATGAGACATCTCCTTTTACCTGTTTAATTTTTTACTGAAACAATTAATTAGCATTTATCATGCTGTGTTTTTCTTTAATAATTCAGTTAATATGCACATTAACAGTTGGTTCTGTTTCTCTTAGTTGGGGAAAGTGTACGGTATCGAGTCTTATGTGCTGTCACCAGCTGAGACCAAAGAGTTGTACCCTCTGATGAATGTAAATGATCTGTATGGTACCCTGTATGTGCCCAAAGACGGCACCATGGACCCTGCTGGAACCTGCACCACCCTGTCCAGAGCAGCCACTGCCCGTGGAGCCACGGTACAGCATAACTCTGTCTCTAATTTTTTTTATTTTTTTTTTTAGCCTTGTAAATCTTCAATAAATTTGTACTTTCCTACTTTTTTTTTCAATAGTTTTACTTCTACTGAAGTATATTTGTGAGGAAAGGAATATTTGTTATTACTTAGTTACACTTTATTCATTCATTTAGACATTTTTAATTGTTTAATTTCATTATGTTACATGGGCAACATCTATACTGATTTGCGACTGGTCTCACCAATTAATAAAAGTTTTATATTCATAAGTGTAAAATCTCAGGAAAAAGGCCACTATTTGTTGCCCTTGAAAAGGAGATGGAATGTTAAATTGAATGAATGAATGAATTAATTTAATTAATTCAGTTAATACAGCTCTCTTTAAAACAAATAGGATGGTATAGCATGGTGTTCCCAATAAAAACAGAATATTAGTACAAGTAATTGGGTGAGACTCTTAACATCACATAACATTCATCTGCCAGTGTACATTGTTCTGGACTTTAATAATCTCTTTGGTTCCAGGTAATAGAGAACTGCCCAGTGACTGGCATTCAAGTACAAACTGATCATATGGGCGTAAGGAGAGTGAAGGCAGTGGAGACAGATTTCGGGACTATCAAGACTCCATGTGTGGTCAACTGTGCAGGTATACTGCAGCCAGGGACATGCAAACCCACAACTAACACCTCCACCCCTAACACAACCACACGAACAAAATGGACAACTATGTCTTACCTGTCATCTTTTTATAGTTAGCTAACTGCCATCAGATCGTCCAAATTAGCACTTCTTATGGAAACTAAATGAAAATATCTGTACATTTTACAGTAAACAACTGGCAGCTGTGTTCCCAGCCATTTACAGAGACACTACTGTAAATGCTTTTTACAGAAAACTACTGTAATTATATAATGCAGTAATTTACAATAGCGTTCTAAGCTGTATAGTGTAGATTTACAATAACTTTACTGTTAAAGGGGGATTCCAACAAGTTTTCAAAATGTATTCATAATACAGTGATTAAGATATAAACTAGGTCCTTCAGAGTGGTTTGGTCTGAAATGCTCCATTCTAGAAAAATGAGTCACAGTTGTGCACGTTGGTGGTGATAGGAACCAGACATCCATCTCTAAAAGCTCCGTCACCAGAAAGTTATTAGATGAAACAGTTGTGAATAAGGTGCTTGGTATCTGAGACATTGATTTTACGGTGGTTGTTTTACAAAGTTTTGGTCTAAAAACATCATCAATGCATTTGAATCCATTCTTGGAGGGATACATGAAGGCTGTTCTAAGGCAAAATAGTCCCTAAAGAAAGTGGTGTGGTCAGTGGTGGTTTTGCACAGGAAATAAAATGGCTGTATTTGCCTTGTAGACATTGGGACTTCTGGTTCCTGTCACCATCACTGTAAAGAAAATCTGTGTTGGTAAGTTTATATACAAATGAATTATTTCACTGAATTTCGCTCTGACCGAATTTATGTCTTTTTTTTTTGTAATATTAAAGAAATATAGTGTTAAATATTTTCACACATTGTCCAGGCCTAGTGCAGCCACACATCACTACTGGATGTTCTACCAAATTTTAAGAGCACTGACTGACTTTATATCTTGTTTTGAAAAATAAGCAGAATTCCCCTTTAGCAAATGTAACAGGCACATATATTAAACATGTATGAATTCCAGCTTTTTAAAGCCAAGAGTTTGATCATACTATTATGCACAACAGAATTAAACTCATTTGCAAGGAAACTTAATACCAAGATGCTTGAGCTTATCACTTGCGCCAGTCAATAAGATAACTGAGCTGGCAGTAGCTGTTTTAATGTGACACTGAGGGATAAACTGGTTAACTGAAACACAAAACACTGTCATGGCGGGAATAACAAAATAAAATGCATTCACTTGTTTGAAAACCCCCTTTTCTAAGTGAAAAAGTTAACACTCTACAGGGAACAAACAAATATGACATTTTTCAGATTTTAGTGGTACGACAGCTTGATTTACACCTCACCTTCAACTACATCTTAACACTGTTTACACTGTTCATTCTCAAGCCTTCATGAGTTGGTTAAAATGTGCTGGAGCTGGAAAAACAAAATTCATTCATGTGTTTCTATCACCAGGAGAGGGCGCTCAATGATCACACATTACAGAGGCTTATTCAGCCAAACCAAGCTGATCTTTTCCTCTGTTTGTTCAGACTGTTTGCCCTGTTTTGCTTATTCACAGACATGTGTTAGAAACAGTGACACTGTTGATAAGAAAAAGTATTCTTTGACCAGGCCTGATTTACGTCCAGAACATTGTGACCATTTAAGGCTCTGAAAAGTCCCTCCCTGAAATTCATTTGCTTTTCCCTAGATTCAGCTAATTCAAGTGTTTCAACTATTTTGTCTCTGATTGTTTGAGTGCGTTCGACACCCTGGGTCCATTCAGCCTTGAAAGCCCTTTAATTTAATCAAATCACAGCAGATTATCTGCGTGGGCTGAGTGACCGCAGGCTTTTTTTTTAAAACTTTGATTGATTAGAATGACGCTCCAATATCCTGCTGCAGCCCTAATGTTCCTACTGCAAATTTGCCACCCTTAAAAACTAAAGTTCAGTGATCTGGTGCATCCCATTTCCAAAAGCAAAGCAAAAAAAAACAGTAATGCTCACTGAAGGAGGCTGCAGAGACACTGCAGAGTCTGACAATGTCTGACAGTGTTGATGCGTTGAATTGATAAGATAATGGACAGAAATGCTCATCAGGTCTGATTTTGATTTGGGGCGTGATGAGGACACTGTAGCTCCTCTTCATAGCAAACGGCCCACAGATTCATCAGTGCACCTGCAGTTTGGTGCTGAAATGAAGGAAGATAATAAACTACAACCACAATCTTCACTAAACTGCACTTTCTAATGATCATATTTAACAGAGATATAGAAGCAGCGCGGCCGCTTGGCGCTGTTTCTGCTCCCGTCACAAGCTGCGGTGTTAGAGATCATCACACAGGTACAGGAAGAAATGATCAGCTTCAATTTGTTTTGACAAACTCAAATTAAACACAGACAAACATTCATGTGGGATGAGGTCAAATGGCAAGAGAGATCATCATCATCATCATGATGGAGATATAATGGAGATATAATTCCTCCAGCGGGTCCTAGGATGACCCCGGGGTCTTGTCCCAGTAGGCCGTGCCTGGTACACCCCGACCAGGAGGCGTCCAGGGGGCATCCGGATCAGATGTCCGAACCCCCTCAACTGGCTCCTCTCAATACGGAGGAGTAGCGGCTCTACTCCAAGCTCCTCCCGGATGACCGAGCTCCTCACCCTATCAAATAGAGTGTAGCCCGCCACCCTGCAAAGAAAGCTCATTTCCGCCGCTTGTATTCGCGATCTCATTCTTTCGGTCATTACCCACAGCTCATGACCATAGGTGAGGGTCGGGATGTAGACTGACCGGTAAACACTACACTTCACCACTACAGTCCGGTACAGTGACCTACTGCTGCCGCCTGTCCCAGCCTGCGGCCGATCTCACAATCCCTCTTCCCATCACTCATGAACAAGACCCCGAGATACTTAAACTCCTCCACCTGGGGCAAGTCCTTTCCCCTTACCTGGAGTGGGCATGCCATCCTTTTCCGGTCTAGGACCATGGACTCAGACTTGGAGGTGCTGATCCGCATACTGACCGCTTCACACTCAGCTGCAAACCGCTCCAGTGAGTGCTGGAGGCATCCATGCGATCCAGCCAAAAAAACAACATGGTCTGCAAATAGCAGAGACGCCACCCTCCGGCCTCCACACGTAATGTCCTCCTGACCTCGGCTACGCCTTGACACCCTGTCCATGAATATCACGAACAGAAGTGGAGACAAGGCACAACCTTGGCGGGGTCCAGCGCTGACACTGAAAGAGCCTGACTTTCCGAGTACACGAACATAGCTCTCACTCTGGGAGTACAGAGATTGAATGGCCCGGAGTAGTAGCCCTGGCACTCCATACTCCTGGAGGACCTCCCACAAGATATCTCAGGGAACACGGTCGTAAGCCTTCCTCCTAAGTCCACAAAACACATATAGACTGGGTTGGCAAACTCCCATGCCCCCCCAGCAATCTGTGAGAGGGTGAAGAGCTGGTCCATTGTTCCATGACCGGGACGGAATTCGTTCCTCCTCAACCTGAGGTTTAACTATCGGTTGACGTCTCCTTTCCAGCACCTTGGCATAGACTTTCCCAAGGAGGCTGAGCAGTGTGATACCCCGGTAGTTGGCACACACTTAAAAATAGGGACCATCACCCCGGTCTGCCAGTCCAAGGGTACTTTTCCCGAGGTCCATGCAATATTGCAGAGGCGTGTCAGCCACAACAGCCCCACAGTATCCAGAGCCTTAAGCATTTCCGGACTAATCTCATCCACCCCCTGGTGCCTTGCCTCTGAAGAGCTTGCCAACAACCTCAGTGACCTTTTTTGCCTGTCGGTACCTATCTACTGAGTCGGGAGTCCTCCGGGCCATCCAGTCCATAAAGGCCTCTTTCTTCAGCTTGACAGCCTCCCTCACTACCAGTGTCCACCAGGGAGTTCTTGGGTTGCCACCCAGACAGGCACCCACAAGGTTTTTTGCCACAGCTACGCCTGGCAACTTCCACAATGGAGGTTTTGAACAGGGTCCATTCAGACTCCATGTCCCCTACCTCCTCTAGGACATGGGAAAAGCCCCCCGCGGAGGTGGGAGTTAAAATCATTCCAAACAGGGACGTCTGACAGTCGTTCCCAGCACACCCACACTGTTCGTCTGGGCCTACCGGGTCTGACCATCAGTCTTCCCTGCCATCTGATCCAACTCACCACCAGATGGTGATCAGTTGACAGCTCAGCACCTCTCTTCACCCGAGTGTCCAGAACATATGGTCCCAAGTCAGATGAAACGACAACAAAGTCGATTATTGACCTTTGACACAAGGAGCTCTGGTACCATGTACACTTATGAACTTGGTGTTCGTTATGGACAATCCATGCCTGGCACAGAAGTCCAATAACAATTCACCGTTCAAGTTTAGATCGGGCAGGCCATTCTTCCCAATCACACCTCTCCAAGTCTCCCAGTCATTGCCATGAGCATTGAAGTCTCCCAGTAAGACTATGGAGTCTGTAGGCTCCAGCCCACTCACTCCAGGAAGGCCAAATACTCTGACCTGTTGTTTGGTGCATAAGCACACACAGCAGTCAGAGTTTTCCTCTCTGCAATTTTAATTTGCATTGAAGCGACCCTCTCGTCCACCGGGACAAACTCCAACTGCACAGTCACCAGCCAGGGACTCGTGACTATCCCCACACCCGCCCGGCGCCTCTCACCGTGTGCAACCCCTGAGTAGGAGAGGGACCAACCCTTATCAAGGAGTTTGGTTCCAGAGCCGACACTGTGGGTGGAGGTGAGCCCAACTATATCTAGTTGGTACCTCTCAACCTCCTGCACAAGCTCCGGCTCCTTCCCTGCCAGTGAGGTTACATTTGATGTACCAAGAACCAGTTTCTGCTGCAGGGGTCTATGCAGCCAAGGGCCTCCCTGCCATCTCCCACTGCCTATACGGCACTGCACCGATCCCCCATGCTGGACCTTGCGGATGGTGGGCCCACATGGTCCCCCCACATTGCCTCTTCGGGCTGAGCCTGGCCGGGTTACGTGGGCTGCCCAGCCACCAAGTGTTCCCCGAGGAACACTACCCTCAGGCCTGGCTCCAGGGGTAGGTCCCCGTGACCCTTTGGATCGAGTTAGTCTGGGTCTTCACTCCAGACCTGTTCACCTTGGGAGACCCTACCGTATTGCTCCCGACGACTTAGCTCTGAAGATCCCTAGACCACACAAGCCCTTCCACCACGGCAAGGCCCCGATGGATTAGATGTAGATATATTAATGTGAGGATGTTGAAACGCTGTTCATTTCTTCCTGTAATTGTGTGATGGTCTCTAACACCGCAGCTTGATGCAGGAGCAGAAACACCGTGGGCCGTTTGCTGTGAAGAGGAGGTGCAGTGTCCTCATAACCCCCCAAATCAAAATCAAACCTAATGAGGATCTCTGTTCATTATCTCATCAATCTAACACATCAAAACCCATCAGACATTGTCAGGGAGCTGTTAGCGTCCTGTATCTACTACATTTACTTTGCATGTGAATCAAAAAGACAATTAACGTGCATTCAGTTAAAAAAATAAAACATGACCACGATTAAAAGAAAACGAGAGAACGAATTATAAAATTGTGATCACAAATAAAAAAAAATGTACCCACAAAGTAAGGAAAACGTGCACACGATTAAAAGAAAACAAGGTAATGAATTAGAAAATCGTGATCACGAATAAAAAAATAAAAAAAAGTACCCATGAAGTAAAGAAAACGTGCACACTTTTAAAAGAAAACGATGGAATGATTTAAGAAATCAGGACCATGAATAAAAGAAAATATGCGTATGAACTGCAAAACGTTCACTCAAATTAATAATTTTTTTTTTTTTTTTTACCTCTGTCCCCTCGGGGGCTCCGTAAATTAAGTCTATATGTCTGTATGTGTTTATTTCTCAGAGGTACGCTGAATTTCCCATTTTTTTTCTCCCTTGTTTTTATCAGGAACTAACTAGGCTACATTTAGAAGTAGAGGAAATATATCAGCCTCCCAGCCATCGCAAATGTCTGCAGTTTTATTGCAAACTATACCCAAACTACCAAAAAATAAAGTGCAAACATTGCTGCAAATTGAGAAAAGCCCCTGCAAAATCAAGCATTTTAGCTTGCCATGTGCATGAAAAAAGCAGTGAGGCACTTGAGAGACTGTGCTACTATTTGTAGCAGTGGACTTGTATCCATTTTTGTAGATAACAGTAGAGCTGAAAGATTAATCATTTTCATACTGAAATCTTAATTTGAAAGAATTGCAATTTAGAATCAATCATTAATCTAGGTTGTCGTAGCATGTCCTAAGTGGGGAAATTTAACTTAATAACTCATTAACTGGTAGTCCGGCACACTGTATTCAGCAATCAAGCCTCTGATCTAAAAAAATTTGCCTAGAAAAAAATCTAATATAAATCACATTTGCAGCATCCTTTAATGTTCCTTTAATTCTGGTGATGTTGAGCACCAGTGTCGCACTGTGTACTAGGCCTCTAAAATATTGCAAAACTACTTTGATCTTACATCACACTGTCAGATACGCACTGTGAATTGCCAACATTTCTAGCGGATCCCATTGTAATGTGCTCTATAACTATTACTTTTGACTGAAATATGTCGGTCATCATGGAGTTCTGTTATAATGGAGTCTTCTGGAAGTACAGGTCTTGCATTTGCAGCCAGTTTAAATGTACAAAAAGAAAATTCAGCAGTCTTTACAGTGCACTGTGCTGTGGAGTTTGTAGGTGTATTTTGGATTCTGTTTTACTGTGCTGTCTCTGATTGGTTAGGTGTGTGGGCCACTAAGCTGGGGAAGATGGCGGGCGTGAACGTGCCTCTGATTGCAATGCGCCATGCCTACGTGGTCACAGAGAGGATTGAAGGAATCCAGGTAAGAGCATACAACTAATCTCAGCTCATGGCCAAGTGGGCTTTTCACAAAGCATTTTTGCACATTCAAAAAGAAATGTGTTGGTTTTTGCTGTGTTACCCACTCTTAGGACAGGGCTACTCCAGGACAGGGTTGAGAACCACTGCTTTAGCAGTTTAGTAAGAGTGCTGATTTAGGATCCAGGAATTTTTGTGATAGCAAGATTTCACATAAATTAATTTAATCCTTGCAGTGTTTGGACAAAATTGCTCTGGCAGTCAGTGCATTATTATTGCATTAAACATGTAAACCTGTGAGGTGCCTTCCACAGTCTGATAATCTGGAGTGTCAGAGCTAAGCTGGCCAAATCATAATTTTGTCAGTTTGTCTATCTGCATGTCTGTGTCAATGCTCCTCAATGTTCTTTGCAAGTAGTTGCTTGCTGTATGTGCTGTGACTAAACCATTTGTAGCAATGTAGATGATTGATGGTTTTGCTCTGTGTTGACTGATGCAAAGCACATTAGCTGCTGGGTTTAAATTAGCTCAGAGTTGCACCGCTACTAGATACTTTAAGTACTTTATTTTAATACATTAAAATTTAATACATTTTCTCAGTACCAAGTTCAGTTGGTAGAGAGTTCATGTGGATGATCTATCAGTACTTTGTTGTTGAGCCTGGCCGGAGGACAGCAGCAAGGATGCCTGGACGGCAGCAAGGACCTGCCAGCGGAGTGGCATGGCAGCCTGTGGGCGTTGACCACGACCCCTCAGCAATGCTTCAGGCAGGCCCCAGCAGCATGGTTAGCCAGGCGGCTGCTTCCCAAGGAGCAGATAGGCGAGTTGGTGGCGGGGCAAAGTGCTTTGGTTCAGCAGGCATGTCCGGCATTTCAGAGGGTGGTGCAGGAGGAGTTGACGCAGGGGCACTTCCTGAGCACCATGCTGCCAGAGGAGCTAAAACAGCTTGTGCAGCTCGCTGGACCAGCTGAAGCAGTCGAGGAGTTTCGCTGTGAGAACGCAGTGCTCAGTCTCTCTGCTGCGGCACACTAATGGAAAGGACGCTGCCCCAGTCAAGCAGTGTGCGCCTTGCAGCATTTGTGTTGACCGGGGCGGTGGATAGTATGGGACCCCTGCCTTAAAGAAGAAACCACTGAGTGGGCTACATGCCTCTCACATCCCAGGGATTCTGCTCGCGCTCTGAGGTCGGCGGGACATCCTGAAGGGGGTACTATGTAGAATCCCGCCACTGGTGTGGGAGCATGGAAGGCATGGCCATGCAAAGTGGCTGTACAAAGAGGCTCTTGGGAGGTGCCGCACTCCCAAGGGAAGAGAGACATTTGTCCATTGATGTTGTTGTGGACATTATTAGCACAGCAGTGTCTTTGGTGCAGTGTTCTGTGTTGGGCTGTGGGGTAGTTGGTGTCTGTGTTTGTGTCTACCATGAAGGGAGGGTGTGTGGCTGGAGGTGATCTTCCTGCTTGAGGAGCACTGGGCGGCAATTGTCCCTTGCTGCCTTTTCAATAAAAAAAGCATTTGCCCACCTGCACAGTGTTTCCCATGGTTCTTCTTCACCTAGACGCTACAATATTTTGAATCTTTACATCTTGAATCTGTTGCTTTGCATGTTCTTGGATCTCAGAGGTACATGTAATTTTCTATTTTTAGACAGAAACTAAGCAGACTACATTTAAAGCAAGTTAAATCACTATCAGACTCATAATCTTCACAAATGTCTATAGTGAAACACCTCCAAAAATTACTTGAAGAATTTGCTGCAAATTTTGCGAAAGTGCTGCTGTAAAACTGAACATTTTAGTCTGCAACAATCACTAAAACGGGCTGTGGAATCCTGGCAGGTCTGATAAGGTCACTGCAAATAAGAAAGGCATCTGACCCTGTAGGTCTGTGTTTTTCTCTCAGCAGCTGCAGTGTGATGTGATTATCAGCAGAGGGCGTTGTGCTGTGAGAATTAAACGCAGGGCAGAGGAGTGCTGGGGTAGAAAGCACTGACCGTGAGTGAAAGCCTAGGGCTCTGAGTCTCTGAGTATTTATCTGCCCTTATTCTCTCTCTTTCTGATTCTCTTTCCTCTGTACCTCTGTCCTTGTCCTTATTCCTCTCGTTGTTTATCCCTGTCTGCCCTCTTTCTTTTTCTCTTGCTTTCTGTTATTATGTCTAATGTCTTCTCTCTCTCTCTCTCTCTCTCTCTCTCTCTCTCTCTCTCTCTCTCCTGGGCTGTATAGTAGCCCTAAGGCTGTGTGGGTGGCGAACGTCTCAGAAAAGTGACTCTTATTCACATCCCTCCTTATGCAATAACACAGATTTCACACTGCACCAGCAAAACACAACAGCCAGCGTGAAAAAGCGCTTAGCCACAGCTGAAAGCCTCTGCGTACATTACGCAATCTCCCTGTGCGAGTGCGAGTGCTTTCAGCACATCTACAAGTCTCTCTTTCTCTTATCACACCACCCAGTGTGTCATGAATCATGCCAGAAGTATGAAGCACTGGTATGTCACCCACATGCTAATTTGCTCATAAGCCTGATGACGAATCTGGGGGGCTTTTAGGGAGAGCGGTGCAGTGATCCGAGAGAAGGGACTAATTAGGCCTTAAACTAGAAAACTAGAGGAGGCACTTCACATAGACCATCACATCCAAGAAACAGAGCCAAACTGAAGTCGCTTCAACCTCTTGATTTGTTTGAAATTTCACTGTTTTTAAGATGTTTTAGAGATTTAGTTTTAGGTGTAAACTGGTTTAAATTGGTGGTTGAAAGCTTCCTTTACTGGTTAGGTACAGCCTTAGGGGAATGCACGATGATACTGGAATCATATTGGTATTAGCCGACCAGACTTTAAAAAAAAATATTGGCATGATGGTTAGATTTCACCAATGTCTTGCACTGATATTTGACCATGTATTTACTGTACTTTGGAAGAGCAGAATGTTCGGCCCTCCTATTATCTTTGGGGTCAGTTTGACCCTGTTCAATGTTTAGTGTCTCTAATTTTTTTTTTTTTGCTTCATTTCCTAATTTAACAGGGACAGCTGGATAACATTATCCACAACATTAACATGATATATTATTCAATGTCCTGTACGTATGTGTAGGGTTCTCCACACAAAACACAGCCGCACCAGGCACAAAAAGGGCGATACACCCATACAGAAATCTAATGAATGGCAATTTATAAATTTTAAATATGTGACGTATTTTAGTGATTATGGATTTTCCTTATATATCCAACTTAAATTTATGGACATATATGTGACTTACAAGCAGACTTATTTGAAGTTGAAATATATGTGACATATTTCAGCCATATATTCAAAAATATATGTGTAACACATACATATAGGCCAAAAAGGCCCACAAAAAGCACATTCAGGATGAACCCCCTCAGTCAACACTGGGTTACTGTGCTAAAATGTCTTTGTTTTGTTAATTTTACTGCTTTTGCATTTAATGTTAATCTAGATACATGTAGTTTCAGTTTCTTCAATTTATAAGTGTATTATGTAATGGAATCAGCTGATATGTACATGGAATACCAGATAGCTGCATTGGCCAATAATTCCCATATTGATGCATCTCTAATTAACTTCTTAGGTCCAGTGAACACCTGAAAAAGCAAACTTCAGACACCAAATGTGTTGACTCTTTTGATTTTCATTTTTTTATACCATTTGCAAACACTATCTCATGTGAGTATTTCATGTGGACCAATAGAAGTGATCCAAAGTTACTAGTGAGACTTGACTTACTTATAGGAGAATGGGCAAACCTTAACTTTAATGATGGCAAATTAATAACAAAAACAGTTACTACAAAATGGGCTGATTTCGCAGCTTTAGTTTTCTTGTATGGGCTGTATGGACAGAGAATTGAATGGTACTTTTTGAAATTTTAACAGTGTTTATATACCGCATCAAACTTTTTTTAATACAAAAAGGATTTTTCTTTGTCTCGAGCAGATTTTGCTCTCCTTTTATTTGGATGGACCTCAACAGATTATATACAGATGTTCAAAATATTAACAGACTCTCTGGTGAGCTCAGTTGGGCTTAGGACCAGGATTAGGGTTAAGATTAGGTTCACAGGTAAGCTTAAGGTTAGTTTAGATGTCTACATTGGCCTAATCCAAATAAAGTTGCTGATTTTTATAATGATTCTATTCATGAATCAACTCTCAGTTTGATCCTGAGCTGATGAAACTGTCCATAGCTCTGATGTCAAGAAAACACTCACTTATGAATGTGTGTTGTAGAACATGCCCAACGTGAGGGACCATGATGCATCTATCTACCTCCGTCTCCAAGGTGACGCCTTGTCCGTGGGAGGCTACGAGAAGAACCCAATCTTTTGGGACGAGGTAAGTGTGTTTCAGGAGCTCTGGGAGGAACTGAACGCTTCTTCTTTAAATGTATTGGGTTATTGGGAGTGATGTGTGAGTGAGTGCAGATTTCTAATTTCAGCCTTCGTGTGGGAGTTTTTTAGCCTTCCAGTTTCTGTCACAGTAGCTGTGTGAAAGTTTCTTTTTCCAGGCATCTGAATGTGCAGCAATGCATCGTGGTTTTATTGATTTTATTGAGGTATTTTATCTGGCTAGCTTGCTGTTTTTAATCAAAGAAAGCAGCAGTGAGATCAAGCTCCCTCATAGCCAAGCTACAGAGAGTGGAGCAGGGAACTGAAAAGCTTCTGGCCCATCTAAACGCAAGAAGGTTCGCCCTGGAAGCGGCAAGCGGAAACGAGAGCCGCAGCCAGTAGTGTCCATCTGCAGAGCTGCAGTATGCAACTTTAGCCCCGGCACTTTCAGCTCCCTGCGCCTCTGTTTAGGAACTGCAGCCACGTTTCGGCTCTCATGAGTACAGGAGTAAATGGTGCACTGAACATCTGCTACATCACTCTTATTAGATGAGAGAAACCATTTTTAACAGAGATACTATTTGTATTTATAGTAAAATGTTTGGTTCTTTCAGTTCTAAAGTATATTTCAGTGCCGGGCTGCTATTCTACATGCACAGGTGTAAATCATTAGTGTTTACATAGCCAATCTCGGTGGCTCGACCACACCACAAACTTCCTTTTATTTCAAGATCACTTATGTTGAATGTCAAATGACTCCATACTTCCTATGTAGTGCATACATGACTCTGGCACCCAAACAGTGCATAATATGTCTAACAAAGAGCCATTTGAGATTTAGCCACACGTGCACAGTTCTCTATAGGTAGTGAAAAATTTTTGTGTAGAAGTCCAAATTTCATAACTCACATACTGCACTATGTAGGGAGTAAGGTGCCATTTTGGACTCAACCATACCCAGCAAACACACAATGCACAGATGCACAATCCGATAACTTCAGAAAATCTGATTTTGTCAGTAATCCGATCAACGCGTTTACATGCACTTGAGTAATCAGTGTGAAACTACAGGTCTACATGAGTCGGACAGTAATCAGATTTGTGCTTTGCAGTCGGCCAATAAACTCGCAGAAAACAACGTGACGTAAACATAATGTAAAACTCAAGCTTCATGACTTCAAACATTGAGCCACTTTACCTGAAATTATGAACATACATCATCTAGAAGATCAAGAACATTTAACTCCTTCATTTCGTCAAGCATGTTTTTGGTTTCAGCGTCGCTCCAAAAGTGTTTGTATCTTGCGGCAGCACTGCTTGCGTATTTCCGGTAAAGCCGTCTGTTTCGTACATGCACAGACTGAGAAATCCAAAAGAAATCAGCGTAAGAGTTTACATGCACTGAGAAATCTGATTACTGAGCTAAAATCCAGCTCTCTTTATTGGATTTCTTAATTGTTTTTCTAGACCTTACTCCAAGATAAGAAATTGGAGTATACTGTTTACATGACCGTTTGAATAATCGTATAACTGCAGAAATCTGATTATGATTGTATTATTGAGTGTATGTAAACGCGCTCATTGTTGCCACTTTGTCTGCTTTCTTACAACGTTGTTACAGTGTTGTCAAAAAGTAGTGCTGTTCACATTGTCTCAACAAGGTGGTCACAACATTGTTGAAACCTCATAAAGAAACGTTGCCATATGATATTATGACTAATTGCCATGGAGTTCTGTGTACAACATAATGGAACTTATCCAGGAGATTGTGACAGTGTACCAACAATGTTGCCACTACGTTGTCACAACTTCCTAGAATGTTGTCAGATAACACTGTCACAACTTTCTGAGGAATTACAGAACAATGGGTTGTCGCAATGTTGTCACTATGTAACTGTTTCTAAAAACTGCTTTCCATGCCCTCCATATAGTAAGCCACAATGTATGGTAGCTACTAAGCCTCATGACCACTATGTAACATCATACGTGGTGCTCAGAAAGTGTGGCTCTGCAGTTACACCCTTCTTGCAGCAGTGCTGGTGTTTCCCTCCTCATCCACTGTGTTGCTATATTTGCATATTTAAGGGCACTCATTCATTCAGAATCAATCATGTTTCTATTTAAAGGTCTTTGCTGATGAATTGTGTCGTAGTTCACGCTATGAATACATCTGAATGCTAAATATAGAATGGAATAACAACGTAACAAATGAATACTCAAGTGTTTAAATAATTCAGGACAGCCCCAATTTTGACATCAAGAAGATGGAGCAGTGGACATTGTATTTGTTATGCCATCTAATTTATGTGCATTGTTGGAACGCAATCAACACCACCCTCCAGTGTGTTGACCTCATACACCACTCTCCTCTCTCCTGTGTGCACACAGTCATCCTTTTGCTTCATTCAGATGTTTCTCAGAATGTCACTGGAATATCAAATCACGAATCAAATCAAATCAAGGACTGAGTATATCATTAAACCTCTATTGTAGTGTGTACTTGTGTGTGCAAAAGTTTGGGCACCCCTAATCAAAGTACACATTCTGTTGATTTTCTCAGTGTAACTGTTATGCCCCCTGGTGCAACCCACAACAGCAGCACATTACACAGGACTACAATGCATAGCACATTTTAAAGCACAATTACTGTTAATTTGCTGAATTTAACATATTGAAAAGAAATGTCATATTTAAGTGTGTTCTCTCTAGAGGGTGTGTTAACTTATTTTTACTTAGAAAAACAACAAAACACGTCATTTGACCAGGGGTGTTCAAACTTTTGACTGTATGTGTAGACGACATGAACTAGCATTCTCTGTTGTACTATGTGTGTGTGTGTGTGTGTGTATGTGTGTGTGTAATGATTTGTGGGGTGGTTTTTGCCTGTTATGTTTTCATCCCTAGTGTATCAGTTTCTCAGGCCACGTAATTAACCTCTATGCAGTAATGTGTGGGTGTGCGCGTATGCATTTGTGTTGGTGAACAGAACACACACACGCACAAACACACAGACTCAGATCCATCTGCAGAGTGCATTTTGTGTGCGTGGGTATGCGTGTCTATGATTATGCTCATAACACTCTGTTCAAACTAACATCTGTGTCACCCACAATCACATCACACCATTTCTCTCTCTCTCTCTCTCTCTCTCTCTCTCTCTCTCTCTCTCTCTCTCTCTCTCTCTCTGTATTTTTATTTATTGCTTTCTCTCTCTTTTCTCCATCTCAATCCTCCTTCTCTTTCTCTCTCTCTCTCTCTCTCTCTGTCTCTCATTCCCTCTCTATATCGTTCTTTTTTTCTTTCTCACTCTTTCTCCTTCTTTCTTTCCCATTCCTTCTGTTTCTCTCTCTTGCTTACTTGCTTGCTTTCTCTGTCTCCTTCTTTTTCTTTCTCATTCTTTCTGTCTGTCTGTCTCTCTCATCCCCGCTCTCTGTGTCTCATTCTCACTCCTTCTTTTTCTTTCCAATGCTTTCTCTTTCTGTGTGTGTGTGTGTGTGTGTGTGTGTGTGTGTGTGTGTTTGGGTGGGGGGCTCAGATACTTAGTAAAACTTTTGTGCTCGTTTAACTTTCCAGTCCATAAGGCTCTGTCTGTAGCAGAAACAATTTACAGCCCCTATTTCAGGATGAAAAAAAAAACAAAGCAGTGGCAGTTCGATAGTTTGGGTGCAACGTGGGTGTTTATAAATAACGACGCTGTCCTGCTCTGCCCAGCCAGGTGAGCCTTTTAATGAGACAGGACAGGGAAGGTCGGCATGGCAACAGCACCTGCAGATCATCCAGGAGTTTATTTTTAAATCGGAGCACATACTGTGCCCACACACTGTCCACATGCACTCTCCTCTCACACACTGTTGCATACTGTCTACTCACACTGCCCCCCTGTACAGTCCAAATGCTGCTCCCACTGTCCAAACATTGTCCCCTCACACTGTGGCTTCGTACAGTACAAGTGCTGTCTCCTCAGACTGTCTTCCATTCTGTCCAAACACTGTCTCTTCATATTTGCCCAAATGCTGTTCCTTGGACCGTCCCCCACGTTGCCTGGATTGTCCATACATTGTCCCCTCACACTGTCCACACATGGTCCCCACATGCTTTCCCTGCATGCTGTCCATACACTGTTCACTCAGACTGTCCCTACACACTGTCCCAACTGTCTAATCGATGTGCCATCGTACTGTCATCTTATTCTGTCCATAAACTGTCTCCTCACACTTCCCCATAACACTGTTTGCTTTTACTCTTCCCTCACACTGACTTCAGTGTTTTTTCTTCACTCTGTCCCCTCATGCACCCCAGTCTCTGCCCACTGTCCCCTCACCCTGTCCCTTCACACATCTCCTCTGTCCACATCTCCTCTGTCCCACTGTCACCACACTTATCCTTACTGTCCCATCACACTGTCCCCCACACATCCCTGTTTTCCCCCACACTGTCCCCTCACTCATCCTCAGTGTCTCTTCACACTGTTTCCTCGCATCTTCCCTTCACACTGTTCCTTCATAGTGTTACCTCAGAACCCTTACTGTCCTCTCACGCTGTCTCCTAACAGTGTCTTCTCACACTGTCCCCATATTGTCTGCACACCCTGTCACCCCATGCTTTTTACTGCCTGTTCAGCTCCTCCACAAACTGTACTCTGTCCACACACGCACAATCTACTGCCTGCAAACACTTTCATTCACTCTAACTGTTCTGTTCTTTTTCTCTTTTACTGTGTTTCTTTCCCTCCACCTTTGAGCATTGCTTGTTACTTTTCATACTTGACCCAGAAAGCTTACCTTTGGGTGTGTGTTTAACAGGCATCCCTAACCTATTCAGTAGAGCAGGGCGGCAAAAAATAAACACTGCGCAGTGGGGCTCTCTTTTCTTTTGTGTGCCTATGTGTGTGCATGGACTGACTTATGCTGTCTAGCACATAAAGAAACTGTTTGACTGTCTTTCCATCAGATGTAGCCCGGCGTGTACTTTGAGATCCTTATTAGGTGATGATGTATACATATCTCTCTCTCTCTCTCTCTCTCTCTCTCTCTCTCTCTCTCTCTCTCTGTCTCTGTCTCTGTGGGAATCCCACCGAAACTTGAATTAATCTATGATCTGTGATTCAGAGCAGATTGTAGTAAAGCTGCTGTTGTGTTTTGGTCATGCAGGTGTCGGATAACTTTGCCTTTAGTCTCTTTGATCTGGATTGGGATGTCTTCATGCAGCACATTGAGGGGGCCATCAACAGAGTTCCTGCACTGGAGCAGACCGGGGTCAAATCCACTGTCTGCGGACCAGGTAAACATATTTACATACATATTTTAAATATTTTATTTCATTACAGTTCATTGAAAAATATGTATATATGAAGAGAGTCCAACATATTTCATTAGTCCATAATTGCTGTACCATGTATTGGTTAAAGGAAGCAGTATTTATTTTATTAGATCAATAAAGTCCTCATAGAGTGGTTGCAAACAAACACGAACGCTTTTTGTTACACACTTGTATAACCTAAGAATAGCTCAGCCAGTTTGCATTACTGAATAATAAGCCTTAGTATGTAATAAGCCTGGGATTTGAAGGATTTCAAAGGTCTCATATCAGGAAAAAACAAACAAAAACAAAATTTCCTCCCTTTTTCTAAATAAGAGTTTATAAGCTGCAAAAGCCTATTTTGAATTTATTGTTTTTGTGATGTCATGAAAACCAATACATTTACACACATCTGCCCATTTGGCTTGCAGCAGTTTAGCCCCGCCCCTTCACATTGAAGTTTTAAAGAATGTTTTAGCCTAGACTGCTTTTTGAGTCAAATACAGGGAAGCCAATCAGATCATTTACATATATCAGTCTTAAAGACACAGTGACAAATACAGCCTTTGTAACTGTTTAAATCTAAGGGATAAAGAGAGGTTGGGAAATGGTCACATAAAAATGAATCATAACTTTTTTTGGTATATAAATCTACACAAACGCTAGATGTGGAATTAAATACAATGCCAGAAAAATGTAGGATATGGGCCCTTTAATACTTCACTGACTGTAATTGTACATGTGCAGATGATCTTTAACAATATATTCACAGTGTTCACAAACACAAAATCAAAGACTCATGTATAAATGGCCTTTTAATCTCAGGCGTTTGCTAACACTGACATTTGCGGGCAGACAGTTTTGAGCCTGTAAATGTATATTTAATCACAGCCGTTTACTGCATGCTGACCTTTTACGAAATGCAAATTCTTACACACAACATTTTTCTAACGGACAGCCAGATGTTTGCCTCTTCTTGCAACAATAGAATATCAAGCTGTTGGATCACTTAGTGGAGTCCCATGTTGTAACCCCTTAAGTGTCGATCGCTTTCTCTCTGCAGCATGACACCCAGCTGGCTTATTGGCCTGCTGGTCACATCATCATTCTAGGGCTGCAGCAATAGCTGAGAAAGTTGATTAGTTGAAAATGATATTGAATATGAAAAAAAAAAAACTTACTTTAAGACAAAGCCCTCCATAATGTTATGAAACCTCTTTTACACATGCACTTCTGTGCTGCCATTTAAAGACCCTTGCACTCAAAAATGTGTTTTTTTGGCTGGCTTATTTTGATTATATGGACTAATATTTGTATCAGATGTGTTATCACAGCACAGACTTCACAATTTTCCATTGGAAACACAGGCTTTTTCTGTACATTTGAAAAAAGCAATTCATGGGTGCTACATTGCAGCTTGGCTTTGTATGTCATGAATTCTTAGCATGCAGCAGTTCACAACAACACGGCTTCATTCCTGCTGAATCATCACTGATGCAAGTTTAGAGAATGAAGACTACAATCTGAATGAGTAAACCTGTGTGTTTGTGTGTGGAGCTGCTAGCCCAAGCTACTTTTACCACGTTTGACCATGTTCACTGGAAGCTAGCATTAGCCTAGCTTGAAAGCCTAAGCTTTACACACAACCATGTAGGTTCATTCCAGCTCACTGACGCAGGTTTAAAGCATAAAAACTCATGAGTAAACCTGTGTATATGTGTTTGGAGCTGTTAGCCTAATTAGCCTCCCAAGCTGGTTTGATTTTTGTTGAAAGGACAAAATGGCTCTTCTTAACATTTGGGTTGTTGACCCCTGGTATAGGGGATGATATGGCTTCCAGTGTTTCATAGTCTACTGTACAACTTGTCACCCAGTTAGAATTTTAAATGATGTTGCGGTGATGGGCTGAAAGGAAAGGAAACCACAGAGCACAGAGTGGTTGGATTAGTCATTTAATTGAATGGTAGTTGGTAAAAAAAAAAAAAAGATGAATCAGTTGTAAAAGTAACCGTTAGTGGACTGGCTGCTCAGGCCCTGGATGTGGTTCTAGCACTGCTAGACCTGTTGGTCCTAGGCTGCCTCTAATAGGAGCTGACAGGTGTGAAATGCTGCTCTCACGGTGCAGCGGCTGCAGGTCACACCCACACACTGCTCTCGGGGCAGCAGAGCACCGCTCCTGCTATTACACTAAATCAGTGTTACTGAAGGGTGATGATCCCTTGTGCCTTTGTTTTTGTGAGGGGAGATTATGAAGGAATGTTTCAGCTTGTGTGTGTGTGCTGACTCTCTTCACCTGCTGGGGTGTAGAAGAGTGAATCACTGTAGTTGTTTGTATACTAAAATAACCAGTGCGTGTTTGTGAGTGGTAATGTAATGGAGAGATGAGACACGCTGTAGGTGAGAATTTAAAGGAATAGTTTGACTACGGTACCAAAAGTAGACCATTAGCCAAGTCATGTTTGGTGTGTGAAGTTTACTTCTTTAGTTTTGCGCTGGAGCTACAAGGCTAAAGAATCTAATGAGTAATGGAAGCTTACATCAACTAATTAACATACAGTGTCGGAAACAACATAAGCAAGTCTGTTAGAGATTACATAACCATTAAATGTGGTTTGGGGCAAGTGTGGGCTGATTTAGGTTTGCAGAAATTTGAATTGTCCTTGTTTTTTGTCAGAAGTTTGAAAATAGTAAAAATATTGGCAAAGTACGTTTATTTATATAGTGTCTTTCATACACTGCAAACATTCAAAAAATACAAAGATAATTCAGATTAAAATCTAAAAAGATGTAGGAGAATAGAAATGAAAAAACATAATTAAAATATTTAAAAGAGAAGAAATTAAATTCATTCATTCATTTGTTCATCATCTTTAACCGCCTAATCCAGATAGGGTCGTGTTAGCATTTGGGAGAGCAGAGAATCTCAAATGACCCTGTCCCCCATAACTTCCTCTAGCTCATTCCAGGGGACCCTGAGTCACTCTCAGGCCAACTTGGAGATATACTCTCTCCAGCAGGTCCTAGGACAGCCCCAAGGTCTCGTCCCAGTAGGCTGTGCCTGGTAAACCCCGACTGGGATGCATCCAGGGGGCATCTTGATCAGAGGCCTGAACCACCTCAACTGGCTTCTCTCAAAGCATTCTGGAGGAGCTCAGAAGCTCTACTCTGAGCTCCTCCAGAATGGCTATGTTCCTCACCCTGTCAGGTAAAGTGTGGCCGATCTCACCATCCCTCGTCCCATCAGTCGAGAACAAGACCCTGAAATACTTAAACTCCTCCACTTCCACTTCCACCCAGTTTTTAAACATTAAATGACAAATCAGACATTAAAAATATAAAGGGCTCATATCTTACATTTTTCTTGTCATGATTCGTTTTATGTAACCATTTTCCAACTTCTCTTGAGCTCATAGAATTAAACCTGCTGTTTTGCTGCTATGCCTTTCATATTGATGTAAACATGTCTTAGATGATTGACTAAATTTGGGGTAAGGGGAAAATTATGTAAATTTAATTTGTCATTAAGCTCTTCTTTTGCTTTAAATTTGCTGTAAAACCGCTAACTCAGGGCTGCATAGTGAATCATTTTCTTGGCAAAATCAGATTTCATACGCCTTAAATGTGGTAAAACATTGTGAAATGTTTGATCCTTAAATTATAAAGTGAAGCCTCAGGGTTTACCTCCTGTACATGCATTATTGATACACAACCTTTTGGCCTGCAGTATATTCTTTTTCTTAGAATGTTATTCAACGAGCAGTTTCCTATCAATCTCTCTCACTTTCTCTCTTTCACCCCTCCACACCCACGCACACGTACAGATACCCATGGAGCTCTGTTCCCCAGAGGGGCAGGCTCACTGTAACGACTTCATCTCAAACACAGCTTTATTGCTGCCTCTTCACATCGTCCATTCATTTCAGGACCGGACAGCTTCCTCCAGTTCCCGAGAGCGAGCAATGGCGGCAGTTCTCCTGCAGGCTTTCCCCCGAGACACACTGATAGCTGTGTACAAACAGTACACACAGCTCATAGCATGTGGTCCCTGATGTAGTATCAGTACCGGGTTAGTCAGGATTAACCTCACGCTGCGGCCCAGAGCTGTCTCTTAGCTGTTTAAAAAGTGAATTCATTTAGCTGCTAGGAAAAAGAAGCTTTTCAAGTCTTGTGTTTTTGACTAGGACACTAATTAGGGGTGGGCAGTCTGTGATAGTGGACAGTTGAAATTCTTCCTGAGGAATGAGTTTTGTCATAACCGTTATACCACACATAAACACAGATAAGTCATACTGTGCAAATCACACTAACTTCCTGTTAAACTGAGTGGCTGAGTCATGGATGTTTGTCATGTTTCAAATGAAAATGAAAACACAGTAGACCCTCAACCACCTCCTGCTGTCTAGTCTATTCCATCTAGAGTAGTCCTCTTTGTTTTTTGAGGCAGTGGACATAAAGGAATGGCTGGTCTTTTGGAGTTAGCCTTAGCCAAATATGGGCACCAGAGCAGTTGCTGTGCTTCTGTTTCCTCTTGTACTGCCCAAGGAGGCAGCCTGAGTCGCTCAGCTGCATCAGAAGATGTTGCGGTTTTCATGGTCCTTGTGTGTGAACTGTGGACCAGCTGATACTGAAGCTAGAATGATTATACTTTTTCAAGAATTTTCCAAATTCCAGTCTGTTTTGCTGAAAGAACTGGAGGCTAAGGTTTAGCTACTGTACTTGGCTCGTGCTGTATGTGACATAGTTCCACATTCAACTGAACAACTAATAGTGTGGCTGTTGCACGTGGAATTTCCCTGTAAAATCCTATTCCAAATCTGCTCTACCATCACATCTACATTAGATCACAGAGGACATGCAATGATGACCCAAAACATTATGACTTCCTAATAAGCTGTTGGTCCTCCTCATGCCACCCACACAGCTCCAACTCACAGAAGCATGGACCTTTCAAGACCTATAAAGGTGCCCTGTGATATCTGGCACCAAGACTTTAGTAGCAGATCCTTTAAGTTCTGTAAATTCTACCAGCTTGTCTTCTTCCCACAGTGAATCCTGGTGCCATCACTTTTCCAGGTAAATGGTGCACACGTACCTGGCCATCCGCATGTAAAAGAAAACGGGACTCAGGTGGAACTTCTTTCAATCTGGCACTTTGACCAGTCTGCAGCTATGCAGGGGGCAATGTACTGTGTTGTGACACATTTCTCCTGTAAGCATCTTTCAAAATTTCGGTGACTTGTGCCACTGTAGCTCTTCTGTCGGTTTGGACCAAATGGGACAGCCTTCGTTGCCCTTGTGCAGTAATAAGTCTTGAGCGCCCAACACCCTGTCACTGGGTCATGGTTTGTCACTCCTTGGGCCACTGTCGATAGGTACTGACCACTGCGGACCGAGAGTACCCCACAAGCCTTGCTCTGACCCCATTGTCTGGCCATAACGATCTGACCCTTATCAAAGTCTCTCAGGTCTTAACACTTGCACATTTCTCCTGCATCCAGCACAACAACTGCGAGAACTGACTGTTTGCTTACCGTCTGATATATCCCAGACATTGGCATTTGTTGTTATTATGAGATAATCATTGGTTTCTTCTGTGAGTGGTCATGTTTTGGCTCATTGGTGTAGATCACTTGCCATCAGCCATTTTATATATGCATGTTTTGTTTGTAAATGTTAACGTTTTCCTGAATGTTCAGATCTATTATATTGGGTATTTGTGTTTAGTAAATGGCACAACCGGCAGGCTGAGTTTATTCTGAGTCAGAGGACACAAATACAGTAAAACATCCCTGAGTTGCCATCAAAAATATCAAGATATCTCCAGGTGGCCGCTCTCAGGTTCAGATCTTACAGGACAAGTAGGTTCTATGTCACTGCTACACTTTCATACCACAAGAGTGGCTGAGAGGAGCTGACTGAAGCAGCAGTCTCGGTTTTTATGGAGTCTCTAGTGATCATGGTCTGTGTATGTGGGACTTGAGGGATGTAGAATTGTGGTGGAGAGAGTGGACCGTGGAGAGAAAGAGAGAGGGAAGGATGGATGAATAAAAGATGTTTCCAGCCTTGCTGCGGTCTCTGTCCACTTTTGTGCCCTCCCTTCTGTATGTCTCAGAGCAGATGATCTGGCAGTTCTCTGTCATGTGGAAAGCATGTTCATTTTATCCAGCACTACTTCTTGCGCTTCATACCGAATTTTGTAACAGATATCAATACCAGTTCAGTTTAGCATAGTCTCTGTGCTGTTTAAAAGCCAACTGTGAAGAGAATAGAAGGGATAACACCTAAATTCAGGCGTGTGATGTATTTACTCTGTTATTTACTCTGGTTATACAATGTTGAACATTAAATCATACAATGCCGAAACTTGTAGTGTACATATCTACCACACAATGCACAATAGTTAGAAATAGAAAATGTACAGACGGTTTGGTTTTATACAAATATTAGTTCACTCTTCATATCTCCTCACTTTCTCCTGCCTTGCTCTTTCTCTCCTGGCACTGAGGCCAGGCTGGGATACTCCATTGTAAATGCAGAATAATAAGCCATGACTAAAACACTTGAGTAAACATGTGACACATTCAGTCCACAAAATGCATTTTTATGAGCTCTAAAATGAGCTCTTGCATTATACCTCATTTTTGCACCAGGCCTTTGGGGAAAATGCAGAAAAAACTGTTTGTGTTTTTGTATTTTAGAATCCTTCACTGCTGACCACAAGCCGCTGATGGGCGAAGCTCCTGAAGTCCGAGGCTTTTTCCTGGGTTGTGGATTCAACAGTTCAGGTAAGTCATCACACATGCATTTACTGTATATAAATATTATTAACAATATGAAGTAAGACTTTTTTAGCATATTTGAAAATACAGTTATCCGATCCTCATTTAAACAGTGTTGACAGATAAAGGTAGTATTGGTGTAACCCCTAAAATTTGTTATCCTTTATATAATAAAAATAAACAGGAATGTAATTTCCTTATGTAGAAAAAAAGTACGTCCATAGGTATATCAAATAAGTCAAATTGAAATCAGGTCGCCTGATCAGGTGCTAATGATTGGAGCACCGATCACGGCTATCATCATGGCTAGATCAGAAGAGCTCCCTGAGGCCTTTGGAGTAACAAAGGTGGTAGATGCTTACGAGTCTGGAAAGGGGTTTGAGAAGTGTTTCCAAAATATTAGACATCAATCCTTTGACTGTCTGAAAGATCGTCTACAAGAAGTCCAGGTCAGGTTGCCACAGCAAATTCAGAGAGCAGAGCACAAGATGTTAAAACATGTCTTTAAAAACACTAACATTTCATCACAGGATCTGGAGGCAGCTCTTGCCGCTGTGGTTGTCAAAGTGCATGCATCTATCATTAGAACGAGACTTCGTAAATTTGACCTACATGGGACGAGTTCCAGGAGGAAGCCTTTGCTCTCTAAAAAGAACTTTAGGCCAGGACTAAAGTAGTGGAACTAAAGGACTAAAGTGGTGGAAATGTTATGGCGTGATGCTGGTTTGCAGCCTAAGGGTCTGGCAAACTTGCACTGATAGAATCGACTATGAATTCTCTTTCATAATAGAGAGTGCTTGAGGAGAATTTGAGCTGAAAAAATTGAAGCTGAAGAAGTTGACCTTCCAACAGGATAAAGATCCCAAAAAGTAAATTCTCAAAGAAATGGCTCAGAAATGGAGGGTTGTGGAATGGCCTAGTCAAAGCCCAGATCGGAATCCCACTGAAATGCTGTAGGGGGATTTGAAACAAACTGTACATGCAAGAACCATTAAACCTTGCACAGTTTAAATAATTCTGCATGAAGAACTGGCCAACAGTTTCTCCCAGGGGAAGCCTGAAACTGGTAAACAGTTATAGGGAATGCCTACATAAAGTTGTTTCTGTCAAAATTGGCAGAACCAGTTACAGATGCCAGAGGTGTGCTTACTTTTTAACAGAAAAAAAGACATCTTACTTCATTTATTTTTAAATAAATACTTGCAAATTTCCTTGCTTTTTTCTTGTTTTATTGGGTATATATACATACTTTTAGCTGATATACGTGTGTATGTATGTGTATATATATATATATATATATGTATGTATATATATATGTATAAATGTGTGTGTGTGTGTGTGTGTGTGCGTACTCTCATGGCTCTCGTGTGTCTCTATCCACTCCTATCTGTCTGGGATGTTTCCTATTGTGTTAGATGCTGCTGAATCATTTATTTCTTCTGTAATGCAAAGCTGTAGAAGTCACAAGTACTCGGATTGCACTTGGGCTATTCATCTTCATCAGAGAGAGAGAGAGCGGGAGACAGCAAGAGAGAGAGAGAGCTTCAGCAGCCTTTTTTATGCAGACAGAGGGCTTAAAGCCAGCTACCTTATCAGTTTTATTAATAATTTCCAAGAGGTTCTTTGGATGCAGATTCACCTAAAGGTATATCATTATTAGCCAGGTCTGCTGAGACTAATAAAATATTGGTAATTCTAATGTATAGTTGTTAAGTAATCTCGAATACACTTGTTTTCTGTTACTGTATGACATATATCGTTATCTATAAAATGGAAATACCAAGCATTGGCTAGAGGTGTATAAAATCCCCAGCATTAAGCTGTAGAAGAGTGGACCTGCATTATGAGTGATGGAACACTTCAGATACCATAAATGTCTTTGCTGATTGCATTTTTAAGGAATGGGGTATAAATCTGAATTTTGGCCAAACTCTTGCTTAATAGTAGGGGTGCGGGAAAAAAACAATTGTTAGATGCATCGGACATGAATGATTCTGAATCGATTCACAAATGTCAAAATCGATTTTCCAAATATTTAATTTATAACGTAATGTTAACAGAGCGCAAAAGGCGGAACTTGGAAGTGGGTAAGTGCAGCGCCCGGACAGTCTGTGACGGCACACAACAAAATCACAACTGGATGAGTGAGAAATTCGACCGGCTCCCTCTGCATTAAAAGCCAGGTTAGGTCAGGAGTCACAACACAAATGATAAGAAGAGCCATTTTGTCCTTTCAACAAAAATCAAACCACCTTGGGAGCCACAACATTTAATGTCCAGTATGTCTCAGTATGTGATAATGTCCTAGTAGAGGCTAAACAATATAAACGAAAACGCAGATTTACTTTGCTCTGCTGTAAGCTTCGCCTGCAGCCGCTTTCCTCCCATTTCCGCTAGAAAACTTTTCCTCAAAACTAGAGCAGTTTCTTGTAAAATGTCTCTCAGCGTTCGGCTGTCTTACGAGACTGAAGTCACTTCTCATTCGCCAGCTTCTTGTTCGAATTTTCCCATTCCACCTTAAATTCTGACTGAGGCGCCAAATGTAAATGCGGCACCATTTAAGGTGGAACGAGAAAATTCGAAAGAGAAGCAACTTCATCTTTGCGACTTTTTACTGTTTGACAGTCTCTCCTTGCAGATTTAACTTGCCAGGACACCAACTGCGCTGCTTATAAATGCGAATAACGCATCGTTGCTATGTGACCTGCAGTCTGCATGGCAGTACTCAGTCGTTGCGAAACTGAGCTTTCGCGCAATGTTGCACACGTCACGTCATATTTTACTGACACAGCGAACCCCGTCTCTACAACGAGAGCAAAACCAAGGTTATAAAGTCACTAAAAACGGGTACGACAGCTGTAACGCGCTGCGTAGACATCCATTGCCACTGGATCTTATTTCACCGTAACTGCGCGTTTTATCGCAGATGAGTGGCAGCAGCGTCTCGTGCTCCAAAGGCATTGAATGAGAGCCTTCTAGTTCACTTGCCACATCACTTCCATTTGTTTTATTAATAAAAGATATTGGAAGTAAATTCATTATGGATCATTACAAATACTTTGCTTTAAAACTACCAAGTCCTCACACAGTGAGAAAATAGAAATGATGTATAGAAAAAAAAAAAGATGCATCGAGATGCATCGAAAATCGTTTTATGATCGCATCGCAGCCCTCTGAATCGTAATCGAATCGAGTCGTGAGGTGCCTAGAGATTCCTACCCCTACTTAATAGTATGTTGATTTTTAGAGAATGACAGTTTGATTTTAAAGGACAGTAGGGTCCAGAGCTGGGCTCTAGAGTTGCGCTGATCCAGCTCAGCTACGGTCACCTTGATCTGTCCCAAAAGCTGCTGACCAACAGCCCATCAGTGCTGTGTGAGCAGATCAGAATACAAATCATTACAGCTGAAGCCAGATATTTAGGATGTATGCATATTGGTTGGCTTGTTTATTTATTTATTTATGCTTGTTTGTTTGTTTGTTTGTCTGTTTGTTTTTCAGTCATTCATTCATTCATTCATTTATTTTTGTATTCCTTTTTTAATACCACATTTCAGCATTATTTCAGCATGACAAAAGTCTGCAGTTGTTGAAAACTGAATGGGAATATTTCGTTGCAGTAAACTTTATTAATATAAAGTTTGAATATGAGGGTCAGTAATATACAGTAATATAATTGTTTCAGAGCTGACAGGTGTTGTATTTCACATGGCATATAATCTCCCAGATTTCTTGTGTTCTGCAGAGAGAAAACCAAAAACTGAAAGGGTTCCAGGTAGAGTTGAAGACTGAATGTTTAATTAGAGCTCTTAGTGCTGCACTGCAGGAGATTCCCTGAGGAGAGGGAGAGTTGTGAAGACCATCAGTATGCACAGACATGGAGTCTTCGTCCTTCCCATCTGGTTTCAATCCTGTCCCTTAATTCTTCATCTGTTCTCTCTCTCTCATTCTCACTGTCCTGTCACCTGATTTTTCATCTGTTCATCTCTCTCTCTCTTTCTCTCTTTCTCTCTCTCTCTCAGTGAACTGTAATAGTTGAGTGTTTTACTGTGCGGTCGAGGCAGTGATGAAGTGTTCAGGTGTTTTAGAGAAAATGTCAGCCCTTTGATATGTCTTCTGTCTCAATTTCTCTCACTCTCTCTCTCTCTGTCTCTCTCTCTCTCTCTCTGTCTCTCTCTCTCTCTCTCTCTCTCTACCCTCCCCCCTCTCTCTCTTTCCCTCCTCCTGTCGCTCTTTCTCTTTCATCACCCACTCTATGGCTCTCCTCTCCTTTACCCAGTCTCCTTTCTTTCTTCTTTTTCTCTCTCTTTTTCCTTTTCCTCTCTTTCTCTCTCCTATTATTTTGGTTTTGCCATTGTCTCTTTGTTCACCGCCTACTCCATATCCCTCCATTACTTATTTCTGTCTCTCTCTCTCTCTCTCTCTCTCTCTCGCTGACATTTGCTGAAATATCACCGCTGATTGCTGTGCAGAGTGAACTCAGCTGCTGTAGATTGGTATGTTTCCTCCTCAGCTCTGCAGTCCACAGGCAGGGTCAGCACCCGACTGTGTAGTTTTAATGGAGCTCTTTTGCACGTTGAAGCTTTTTTCTATGTTCATTTTTCATTATATCAAGTGAAAATGGTCTTCGGTCATTGACCTTGTAGCAATTTGAGGATTGAGTAGATGAAGAGTAGGGGTCATTAAATTTAACTTCTCAATGGATCAACAGTTGTTGCATGACAATAATGCATATTTTAAATTCTTTTGCGTGTCTGTATTGTAGTGAGAAACTGAGAGTATGGACCCACCCATTTATATTTGGATTTATTTATTGGAATGTTTGAAAGGCTGTGCAAGTAGTAATGTATTGATCATTAATTTTAATGGCCGAGTCTGAATTCTTTTTAACTCAAAGTTCACACTGTGTGGGTGAAATGAGCACACTAGCGCATTTCCAGTACTTTCTGTTAGCTGAACTTGCATTATAAATAACATTATTTGCTCTGTAATGGGCCAAATGGCTGGCATTTAAAATTCTCAAATGTTTATTTAAGTAACATAAAACAAATAAAGTGCTCCAGTGAAATTAAGAGGAGATCTGAGGTTTAACACAGTAAATCATACATAATTATGACATTTAGATACAAGTGTAGCAGCATTCACATACAGCGTGAGTGCACTCACCTAAATCACATTATTTACACAGATCAGCCAAAATTAATAATTGACCAAGAGACAATTACATGTGGATGCACCCGATTACTAATACACTCGATGGTGACAGCCCTAAAAAAGAGCGGTTAGCTTCAGTTGATGAGAGAAAACTGTTTTTGGAGCCACAAACAGTGTGTGAGTCTTGCATCCTGCAGTATCTCGGCTTGGTTTGACTGTATTTTGAATGTGCAGGGTTTTTTATGCTTATCCACCAAACTCCAAATGACTCCGAAAGTGTACAGAGTTCCACATACAGGCCGTTGTCACGCCCCCCCCCCCTCGGGACTCGGCTTGGACTCTCCCTGGCTCCGCCCACTCTCCTCTTCTCTCACACACCTGCGGCACATTAAGACTCCCATTTAAACCCCTTAGTTTTTCAGTTGTTGTGAAGTCTCTGTGTTTTTACCTGAGTTACTGAGTCTGTTTTCTTTATGTTGTTTCCCCATTTTGATCCTTGCTGTGTCTGTTTTTTGGATGGCAACAAAATAAAAACACTTCACATGTAGGCAGCCCCTGCGTTACAGCTGTGTTGGAAACATACTGTTTGTTTCATGTACTGAAGGAGTGACAGCAACTGCTGCTCTCAAAATAAAAGTCTTAATAGGGCTTTCACGATCATATTTTAGCTGATGATTAATTATCATATAAATATTTACAATCGATGACTTAATTGTCTTTTCTTGTTCATTGTTTTCAACTATTAAAAATACAAGTCTGAAGTGTCCAAATTGGCTGATTAGCGTGATCTTACTTGCTAGCTCTGTTTGCTTAGTAGCTAACACTGGCTGTGCTGTTAAATCATTGCTGAACGTTCGCACAAACGTCTACAGTTACACAGAATTATGTGTAGTTAAGCTGCATGTTGTTCATGAGAGTGAAAATATAAGCAAAATCCCTCTTTCTGCTAGCATACATGCTAAAAACAATCAGTACTGCTCTCTAAAACATGTTAGAGCACCATGTTAGAAGTTTTGTGTTTTTTTTGTCTCAATGAATGTGATTACTGCTGTCTTTAATTGATTTATTTGCCTCAACTCAACAGACCCAGTTCACATTCTGCTTGTTGCAGCATAATATGTGAAATCTAAGCACTGTGGAAAATGACTTTATTTAAATAATTGTTCAAATAATTGTGATTAGGACATTATGTAGCCTAGTAATTGTGACGGGCCTAGATGTTAGGATAATGTTTTCGTTTCTTGCAGTATTTGATTCACTGATTTGCCGAAAAGTTCCACTGAAATGCCTGCATAATTTAGTCACTGTAGAAATAGAGTGGATTGATGTGAAATGGTTCTTTGTAGAGTGACTGACCCTGATTTAGGACTGGTCAGCATGACAATATATATTGTTATTATGATAAATTATGTCACAATATAATATAATGTTTTTCGGAAACATATTCCATATATCATCACTTCTTGCAGAACACTGACCAACTGCATGTTATAATATATATAATATTTTAGTTATAATGGCCTCTTCTACTCTTGATTTCTTTACAGTGGGTTGCAATGTATGCAACGTAAATATAGCCACTTTATTTACTATTCAAAATCACCAGTGAATCTGCAGGTTTTTTTAATGTAATGTTAATAATGATAAAATAGTAGGGGACAGTGCATCATCAGGACTATAATCAGAAAATGAATTTTAGTAAGGTCTGTGTTGCTGAAATGTGACCTTTACACAGTGCACAGTGGATATATCCACTACACCGAGTGCGAGTAATGTTAATTACCTAGTAGTTACTTAGTTGTTCATTTTCTTTCATTATTTCATAAACTGCTATTACTCATCCATAAACTGCCTTGAATCTAGTTAGACTGTCTAGTTAATACTTTATTATTTATTAACCAGTTTAATTTAAGCTGAAAACATATATTGAAGCTGATATATTAAGTTAAATTATAGTTTAACTTTTACATAAAATTCCAATTATTAGTAAACTTTTATTTTTTAATTAATAAAGTTACATTCTTTAAACAATATAATTATGCAGTGATAGGAGTGCATAGATAGTGAGTCTACTCTCACTACCCGCCAGATGTAAAATAACTTGCTGATTTAGCTAGTCATGTTGAGAGCAGTCTGAAGAACAATTTTTGGGTGTTGTATTTTACAAGTGTTGTATTTTAATTCATTGCCCTTGTAAACACCTCGTATTTATATCCTAAATACTCATAAACTCTCTCCTTTATTTCAGTGGTAGTAGTGTTGCGTGCATCTTAAGAAGAAGTCGTAACATCTAGTTAAATATAACTAAACATAGTGGCCAGTAAGTCTGTAGGCAAAATCACAGCTGCTCTGAGATCAGTGGAGAATCTGTCTGTCATTCTGATTGGATAGTCTTAGAACGCAAGCTTTTCCACAATGGCTACACTCTACATGACCACACTGCTGTTTCCACATATTCATAATCAGAGTCATTATTAGAGACTCACAACCTTCCAAAATTGCTGAGGTCCAGATTTCTGTGTCCTCATAGTTATGGCCATGTGCATCATGGAGATGTTAACATGCACTGGGGAGAATGGACATGCTATTATTTATTCTGTTCTGGTAATTAACACCACATTGCGTAGACAACAGTTGCAAACAGTTATCTCTAATCAACAGCTCACTCCAGCACTCCTCCTGCCTCCAAGTTCTAGTATCGTTATTAACTTGTGCAACATGATTGTAGTCTATTTAGATTTTTCTGTATTTAAATTTTGTTTGAAATAACATGAGTAACAATTTAAAACTTGGTCTCATGAAACAAATCGAATCATGGACTGAGTGTATCATAAACACTGCTGAAAATCAGAAAAAAAAGTTTTCTTTGGGTTTATTTTCTGTGTGCACCTCTCCACTCCAAATATGTTTAAACATCAATTTTTAGCCAAAACCTCATCTAAAAACAATGTCTCAGGCACCAGGCAGTGTGTTCATAATCATTTCACATATAATAACTTTCTGTGAGGGAGCTTTTGGAGGCTTTGACCGTCTGGTTCATATCACCACCACTGTGAACAATTGAGACTCTGTAATTTTCTCTAAACTGGAGTATTTCTTTATTTTCTATGTAAATATTTCTATCTTGATCATTTAATTATGCCGAAATTTGGAAAAATCAATGGAATTCCCCTTTAAGCATAAACTTTTAGATCAGAGTCTCTGTAAGATTGAGAACAACATACAAATCAGGTGACCAAACTTTTGACTGTGTGTGATATAGAAGCAGTAGGAGGATGAAGCTGTGTGTGTCTCAGTGGTAGACGGCTCATGTTAATGAAGTCATCAGCCGCCTAATGAGCCAAATGTCCTTTAGAGACGCTGCCATGACCGAGGGGGAGCCATCAGCTCACGTAGTCTTCTCTCTTCCCCCACTCCCCTTTTTCTTCCTCTCTCTTTCTCTCTCCTCCTGTTACTTTTGCCGTTGTCTCTCTTTAATCGCCAACTCTCCTCTCCCTCTTTTTTTCCTCTTTTTCTCTATCGTTCTCATTTTCTTTTTTTTCCTTTCTCTCTCCTCTTGTTGCTCTTGCCATCGTCTCTTTTGTTCATCGCCTTCTCTATATCCCTGCGTCACTCATTCTCCTCTCCTTCTTTCTCTTCTCTCTCTCTCTCTCTCTCTCTATATATATATATATATATATATATATATATATATATATGTATATATATATATATAAATATACTCTCTCTCTCTCTGTTTAACTCTTTCCTTTTCTCTCTGTGGTTTTTCTTTCCCTATTCTCTTTATCCCTCTCATTTTCTCTCTCTCTTTTGCTTCATCTCTGTGTCCTCTCTAACTTTAACATGCCCTCCATTCCTCCTTATGTATTCCTCCTGCAGCTCTTCCTCTACTACACAGTCTGACAGCATTAGACTCAGGGGACACATCATCAGCTTCTCATGCCTTTCTTAATGAAATGATAGACATTATGTCAGCCAACATCTTCAAGGGACTTTAGAGGGAAAAAAAGTGTTTAAGAAATGTGTATTTGGGTGTCATTCCTTCTTTAATTCTTTTATTTATGTCTTCCATGTCTTCTTAATTATTCAGCTGGAGAAATGCATTTGATTTACAGGTTGCCTGTGATTTGATTGACAGGTATGATGTTAGGTGGCGGCTGTGGGAAGGAACTGGCGCATTGGATCATTCATGGCCGTCCTGAGAAGGACATGTATGGCTACGACATCAGGTGTTTCTGAGTATCCCATCCTAAGCATTATATGGGCTGGGTTAGTTTATCAGAGGATGTCATGTAATATAATTTGTAATTAAATTACTGGGCAGTTTGCACAGAATAAAGTGTGTGTAGTTTCCCTAAATTCCCACAAATAGCCTGGATTGAAAGGTCATAGCCCGGATGTTCATGTCATTGTTACACCACAGGACACACTCAGTAACAACATACCGCACACCTGTGTTTATTAGCAGGTCTTGTTATTCCATTAGCATGAGGTGGATTAGAACAAGACTACCATTACTAAAAGGAGGTCTTGGATTCAGCCAATTACTGAAGACCATTTGCTTCACAATTATTACTGACAGACTGTAAAAGTTACACACATTGCAGATTCATACTGGATTAAAATCACTACACAGTTATTACTGACAGACTGTAAAAACTACACTCACTGCAGATTCATACTGGATTAAAATCACATCAGTACTTAAATTACAGGCCGCCACAGATAAAACTAATCCAGTTCTAATAGAACCTCAGGTCTAAAATCGGTCACACCGAGTGTGTCCTCTAACTACACGTGAACCTCCACCTGAAATACTTGAGTGATTACTGATCAATGAGAAAGGGAGAGATGTAATAAGAGGTCAGGAAAGGAAGTGTGTGTGTGTCTGTGTGTGAGTGAGAGAGTGTGTGTGTGTGTGTGTGTGTGTGTGTGTGTGTGTGAGAGTGAGTCTGTGTGTGTGTGTCAGTGTGTGAGAGTGAGTGTGTGTGTGTGTGTGTGTGTGTCGGTGTGTGAGAGAGAGTGTGTGTGTGTGTGTCGGTGTGTGAGTGAGTGATTAAAATGTGACTTCTCTTCTGTCTCATCTCTTTTAGCTACAGCTCTGTGGCTGACAAGCTGTTATCAAAGTAGCGTGAAAAACATGCACTACAGAGTACTCTACTGTAGCGGAGTCTACAGAGCGGAAGACATAATAACACTGATTGTGTTTTGATATCAATCACACTGAACATTGCAACATTGCGCTGCTCTAAATTAAATGATACTCAAGTCTTTTAAATGTGTAAAAAGCACACTGAACACATTCTCTGCCGTGTATGTTTGCTTACTTATTTATCCGGTTATGCTCTTTTAGGAGGTTCCATCACTCCCTGACCAACAACAACCGCTGGATCAGAGAACGCAGTCACGAGTCGTACGCCAAAAACTACTCTGTGGTTTTCCCCTTCGATGAGCCCTTGGCTGGCCGGAACATGAGGAAAGACCCGCTTCACCAGGTCATCTATTTATCTTTATGTCCATATATATATATATATATATATATATATATATATATATATATATATATATATATATATATATAGTCTACCAGTCTATCAATCAGATGATCTGTCAGTCTATCTGTCAGGGGTGTTACGATTCAAAATGATACAGTATGCTATGCTACAATATAATACGACGTGAAACGTTACATTGTATTGCTACATCCCTGCTATCTATCTATCTGTCTATCTATCTATCTGTCTGTCTATCTGTCTTTCTGTTTGTCTGTTTGTTTACCTGTCTCTATCTACATATATCTCTGTTTCTGTCTACCTGTCTACCTATATAGCTATCCATCTCTCTGTCTGTATCTCTCTCTAGCTATCTGTTTATCTATCTAGTTATCTGTTATCTTTCTCTATCTGTTTGTCTGTCTCTTTCTCTTTCTTTTAAAGACTCCTTCAAACTGATGTAGGGACAGTTTTGGGTTTTTTAAAATAGACTTTATTAATAATTATGCAGTGTCAGTATAGCATGAGAATTAAACAATATATCAAGAGAAAACAATAACTATACAACAAAAATAATCTAAAAACTTATTGCAGACTTCTAGCAGGTTGGTGGTAAAAAGTTCTAAAAGCAAATGCATGTAGAGCACAGCACAAATCACAATTTAATTATCCCAGTGTTTACAAGCAGGAACTTTAGACTAACGAGCTGAGCGCAGCCTAAATCACTAAAACTGTGTGTGTGAGGGAGAAAAACAGCTTAATTCTTATTTTTTTATTTTTTACATCTGATTAGGTACATGTAGGTACATCAGGTACAAATAGGTGCATGTACAAATGAGTGACAGGAAAAAACAGCATAAGTGTCTTAGTAAGGTGTTGGACATCACAAGCCACCAGAACAGCTTCAGCGTTCCTTGGCATAGCTTCTACTCTCTGGATCTGCACTGGAGGTTTAAAACATACTCTTTCAGTTTGTGTTTTAATGATTGTGATAGAGAGCACCATCTAACACATTGGTCCAAAATCTCTCATATGTGTTCAACTGGGTTGAGATCTGCTGTATGTGAAGGCCAGCATATGATTTAACATCATTATTGTACTCATCAAAACATTCAGTGATCCCTCGTGCCTTGTGTTTGGGGACAGTGTCATCCTGAAAGAGACCACATGTTTCGTCTCAGCATAAAGGTGATCAGTCAAAAAAAACTTAATTTACAGGGACTCTTCACTCAAAAAGGACAATTGGAACCAGGAAAATGCCCCTCATCGCATAACAGATCCACTGGACCCCCTTACTGTAGAGGTTCAGCAACCAGGCCTGTACTGTTCTCTTGGTTTATGCTGCACATGCACACACCCACTTGAGGAGAACACTGTGAAGGATGCTTCATCTGAACATATCACTTTTCTCCACATCTCTGTAGACCAGTATTGATGGTTTTTCACCACTGAAGTCTCAAATGGTCATTCGTTTGTAATGAGGAGTTTATCCACTGCAGCCCTACTATAATAATATTATAACATCTCTATGTAGACAAGGATGGACTGTTCTCGCTAATTACGTCCTGCACTCACGTGTGTGTGTATATAGCACTCTTCATGCTGGTGGCAGCTCAGAGTGCTTTACAGGCTGTTGTTAAAGCTGATATAACAGTAGGTGAAGAAATTGAGTATTAATTTAAAATCATAAATAAGACAATGACACTGATCAAATTAAAAAGGTAAATATTAAGAGACGTAAAGTTTTAATTAAGCACTAAGTTAAAGTGATGCATTTTTGAATGTCTCTTAAAAGTGAATGCTGAGCTTGACTGTCTAATAAAAGGTGGCATTGAGTTCCACTGTTTTGAAGTATAATAACTGAAAGGCCCCTCTTTATTTTCTGTGTTTTACAAAAGGTATTTGCGGAAGGTCAGTATCTGCAGATCTAAGGTCACGTGGTATAACATAAACAGATGCACATTCTGTGATGTAAGCAGCTACCAGGTCATTTAGAACCTTGAAAACTAGTAGCAGAACTTTAAAATCTACCCTTAAAGATACAAGTAGGCAGTGCATTTCTTTCAAAAAGGGAGTAATATGAGCTCCGTTTTTTGTTTTTGTAAATGTGCACTTTGGCTCACAATTTCCCACAGTTTACTGATGTTTTTCCTGCAGATCTGAATGCAGATGTCGCTATTCCTATTGAAACATAAGCCAGTTGAGCAGCCTGTGTGACTGAAGCTCCTGCCGTTCATGCCCCAACAATGAACCTTCTTTTAAAGTCAGTCTGTTCCTCTTGATCCACACGTGAGGTCAGCTGGGCCTACTCAGAATTTGTATATATACCACAGAGCATGGTAGAATGTTAACTGCTTAATTTGATTGACAAAGCCAACTTGCTATTCTTTGTTTTCTTCTAATTGTTCTACTTTTTTTTTAACCATTTTCATGAGTCACAGTTTTTGAGAGAGAGCCATATTTTACAGGATCATAAAGGCTATATGGAAATAGTGCACTTATGCTTTGAGAACCGATCACACATACAGTTTTTGTGCACCATTCGTTTTAACATTTTTTTTTCCATAGGAAATGAATTGTGAAATGTTCAAAAATTTCAGCTCTAACTGGGATACCATAGCAACAGCTTAGCAACCATCTGGGATAGCATAGCAACAGTCTAGCAACACCTTAGTAATGACCTGGGATAACAGCAACGGCCAACGGCCTTAGTGATTACTTAGGATTCCATAGCAACAGCCAGTCAACACCTTAGCAACCACCTGGAACAAATAAAACAGTCAGTTAGCACCTTAGCAACCACCTGTAAAAACATAAAACAGCCTAGCAACACTTTTAGCAACCGCCTAGGATGCCATAGCAGTGGCCTTGCAACACCTTAGCAATGACTTGGGATTCTACAGTTTGTTAAGGCAGCTTAGTTTGTTCACGAACTTTCCTCTTCTAGTTCTGTCATGCAGTACCCCTGTCTGAAGCATCTTTTCTTCTGTTCCGCTCTCTCATTTGTTCTGTTTTTTCCTTTAATTTGTCACCCATCTGTATATAGGGACATATGTATGGAACTATGTGCTGACATCATATAGAAACAAATGTGTCTGTGTTTGAATGCATGCCATGTGTGGAACAAATGCTCCTTATCTGAAGAACACAGTGATCAAATTTGTTTATATACAGTTCCTTCTAAAGTCTTCAATTCAATGACACAGGTATTTAAAATATCCTAACCACAGTGAAATTCAAATTCAGCTGTTTCCTTTCTTTTTCTAGTCAAACAAAAAAAGCCTTCTTTTCTTTCCTCCGTGATTCAGTAGTTTATTACTGACTCCAGGCTACATGTAGCTGTTGAAAAGACTTGTTGCTAAGCTACTGCTAAAACGATGGAACTTAAGTGTTTCCAAAAATACCTCCTGTGCTGGTTAGCCACGCTCACAGCTCATCCCAGTGGAGAACACAGAGCTGAATTAAAGATTGGTAGCAATAAAGACGGTGGGTGCTTATTTTTAGCTACATGCCCTGCTCAGATGGCCTTAAATGAGACATTTACTCTGAATGTTCTGCCTTTTTTCTCAGAATCTTATGTCCTTTCATTTTTAACCTGGCTAATGGCTAACTATAGAAATATACTGTAAGGGGTTCACAAAAGAATAAGGACGTTCCTGTGTACTGGATTGACGTAAACATGATATCTGCAGAGAGATTAGTGTTCTGACATCTACTGTGTGTAGAGGTCAACTTGCATACGTCACACACATGTACCACCGCAACACCCACTGTCATGCCACTACCATGTTGGTGACACTTGAAATGCCAAGCAACATTATTCATCCAACAATATGTATATAGTATGTATATATATGTAATATGTAAACATCCATCCATCCATCATCTAAACCGCTTATCCTTCTGGGTCGCGGTGGGGTGCTGGAGCCTATCCCAGTTGTCATTGGTCGGAAGGCAGGATACACCCTGGACAGGTCTAATATGTAAACAGTATGTATATATAAAAGATAGGTAATGGAACAAAAAACAAAGGAAATTTGACTTATTTAAAAAAAAGAAATCAACCAACTGTCATTTTTGTCTGTTGAAAAAGTAAGCACACCCCTGGCTTCAGTAACTGGTACTGCCCCTTTTGACAGAAAGAACTTTATGTAGGCACTTCCTATAACTGTCTACCAGTTTCTGACATCTACTGGGGGAAACTTTTGCCCACTCTTTCATGCAGAATTATTTCAGCTGTACAATGTTTTAGGGGGGTTCTTGCATGCACAGCCCATTTCAAATCCCCCTGCAGCATTTCAGTGGGATTCAGATCTGGGCTTTGACTAGACCATTGCACAACCCTCCATTTCTTCCTTTCGAACCATTTCTTGGTGGTTTTACTTGCATGTTTGGGAAAGTTATCTTGTTGGAAGGTCCACTTCTTCAGCTTCAACTTTTTGACAGATGATCTTACATCATATAGCCCTCTCTAGTATGAAAGAGAATTCATAGTCAATCTTGTCTTTGCAAGTTGGCCTGGCCCTGAGGCAGCAAAGCAGCCCCAAGCCATAACAAGTCAAGTCAAGTCAAGAGGCTTTTATTGTCATTCCATCTATGTACAAGTACACAGTGGAGCGAAATTACGTTCCTCCAGGAACAAGGTACAACAAGGAACAAAAAGTACAAAAGTACAAAATTACAAAATGTGAACGTGCAGACAGTGTGCAAACAAAAATTAAGTCTGTGTGAGGGATGGATGGGGTCGTTCACAATGCTGGTGGCTTTGCGGATGCAGCGTGCAGCGTGTGGTGTAGATGTCCATGATGGAGGGGAGAGAGACCCCGATGATCTTCTCAGCTGTCCTCACTATGCGCTGTAGGGTCTTGCGGTCGGAGGCGGTGCAATTCCCAAACCAGGCGATCAGAATGCTCTCCACAGTCCCCCTGTAGAACATGGTGAGGATAACATTTCCGCTTTACAGTTGGTTTGAGGTTCTTCTGATCAAATGCAGTTTTTGGTTTTCACCAAACATGGCTTCTGATACTGTGACGAAACAGCTCTATCTTTGTCTCGCCTGTGCATAGCACATTGTTCCAGAAGTCCTGGTCCTTGCCTATTTATTTATTTTTATTTTTTTTTTGACAGCAAAGCCTTCTTTTCGTTCGAATGGTAGATGCATGCACTATGACATCCACAGTGGCAAGAGCTACCAGCAGATACTGGCCCGGCTTTAAGTCTCCTTTACTTGTCGATGATCTTCCAGACAGTGGAAGGACTGATTTCTAGAATTTTGGAAACACTTGTCAAACCCTTTCCCAGACTTGTAGGCATCTACCAGAGAGCTCTTTTGATATAGGCATGATGATACCCCAATGTCTATGTCCAAAAATGCAAAAAAAAAAAAGCCTAAATTTTTCACTGGGTGTATATAACTGTATATATATTCAATAATATGACCCACAAATATATATACAGTACTGTGCAAATGTCTAGAGACCTCCTTTCATTTATTTTATTTTCTGTCACAGCGACTATGAAGTAAGTTCTTTTCTTTTTCAGCTTCAGGAAAGATAAACAACAAAACATATATTGAACAGAAAATAACCGAATACACAAATATAAACTACAAAATGAGATTTTTCGGTATTTAGTTTGTCAACCTTTTGTATGTATTACAGCTTTCATCTTTTTCAGGAGACTTGTTGTCAGTTTTATAAAGACATTTTTCAGTGCCAGAAAAAAAAAAAAAGCAGAAAACTAAGGCCCAAACCCATTTCACCCCTTGCCCCTACCACTCAGCTCTTACCCCTCTGTTTTGTGCGTTCACTCCTAGGGGTAGGCTGTCCCAATTTTTCTTGAGATAGAGGGGTAGGGAGAAGTGTTAGGGCTTCATGGCCCTCCAAACATAGGTTTTTCAGAGGCACAATCCAAACAGAGTGTTGTGAGGGAAAAAAAGAAAAACCAGCAAGTGGCTGTGCAAACGGCCAAAGAAACCTACAAATGTGAGTATTTTCTTCGTTTCAAATTACAATAACTATTGTATTAGATTAATGTCTTTTCAATGTATTATGGTCCTTTTCTTCATAAAAAGCATAAAAAGTTGCTAATAGTATGCTTAGTATGTCTCTGTAGTTAGCTAGCTAAATTTTCCATACCACCTTAAATAGTCCAGTAGTTCTGACGCCTAAAGCACCAGAACATAACTGCTGCTCCATTTATTTAGAAAATTCAAACAAGAAGCAGTTAGATAGCTGGCTTCGTCATATCACTGAAGAATTAGGGGTGGGCGATAATAAATCGCAGTGAGATTGTTGAACTTTACCCTCCTCTTCTATCACTGTAGACTGGCAGGATTGCCTACAGAGCACCACTAATAGCCTATAAATGAAGTCATGTTCTTCTTTATTTGAGGCTCCCATTTCATACGGGAAGATTTCAGCCACAACCCCTTGTGACTTAGTTCCAAGTGGCAAGATGACACTTAAAAACAAGGAGCAGGGGTAAAAATAAGAAATGGGATGGGCCTAAGTCTCAGAAAATTAAGTCTCATGAACTAAATGAAATACCAAACTTTTCAGTGTGTCCACGCTTTACCTTGATTACAGCTTACATTCTGGAGACTTGCTTTCAGTTTTACAAAGAAATCTGCAGGGATGTTTTTGCACACCTCCAAAGTTCATTCTTGCAAGTTGGATGCACATTTTCTAGTTGCATAATCACAGACACATTCAATGAGGGTGAGGTCTGGGCTCTGGGGTGACCATTTCAGTGAAAGCAACTTCTTGGTTTGATTATATTGTCTCTTTCATCTTCTCAGTAAAAGCTTTTTGACAGCTACACATCCTTTCAGACTCATAGTGCTGAGATGTCTTTTCACAGTGGAAGGATGGACAGAAACAGCTGTGTATTTTTTTTAGATCTGAAGCAGCTTGATTTTCTCCTCTCTCTCAAAGATGAAAGCTTTAAGTGCTGTTTATCTGATGGAGACAGTGTTAGTGGTCTGTCATGCCTTGCATGGTTGTTACAATTCCAATTTTCTGTATATATATTTTTTAGGTTTTGGAACCTCCTGTTTTTTGACTTATTTTCCTTCAACTTTCCCCTTCCTTATGCAAGTGGATCATTTTTATTTACTGTCTTTAGAAATATCTCTTGAAAACTTTACTTAATGGCCATTTTAACTGCAACTGAAATAAATGAGGGGGGTCTCTGACTTTTGCACAGTACTGTATATGTAAGTACTTAGATGTGATAAAAATGTAACTGTTAACGTTGTTGATTCTCCAGGTTAACATTTCTTTTCTCTGATTTATGAAATCAAGATGTTTTTGTCCTGAAATCGTATGAATGCAAACACGAATACATACGCATATATACTCACACACACGCACACACACACATATATACTCACACACACGCACACACACACACACACACACACACATCCTGTTTACTCAAAAAATAAAGCACAGGTGTTGTTTGAGTAATAAACTAGAAATATGCCGACATTAAGTGCATTTGCATTTTATGTTGAGGTCTATATGTGCAGACTGCTCAGCCTGATTTAATGTACTGTAACTAAATGTCATGCATTTGTTTTTTGAGTCTAATACAGCTTGCACTGCTCTGCCTTCTGGATTATCCACACATCACCTCACTGAACTGTACATCTCTTTTATCTTTCTTTTCTAACTTATTCTCTCTCAGCTCATCACAAACGCTCTGCAGTTGAAATGCTAGCTCCTTCTTTCGTGTAACAATCCGAGCACACGCACACAAACAGAAACTAGCCTGCCCACTGTGCATCATCGCATGGCAACCGAGGTGGCGGAGTTAGCCCACAGAGATTATTTTTATCTTCTATCAATTACACAACATTACCATTATAAAAAGCAATAAATAACAGGGTTACATTCTGGAGAAGACAAGCTGAGAGAGTATGACTCACACACACATACACACAACGTACACACGCGCACAACATCTCCAATGGCCAGGCCCATCCTTCAGACCAGGAGAGCCTTCAAAGAGCATGGAGGAGAGCAAGTCGCCTAGCAACCAGCATTCTCTAGGTCTGCCAGAGGGAAGAAAAGAAAGAAAGATGGAGAAAGAAAGGCTACTGCTGTGTGTGTGTGTGCGCGTGTGTGTGCGCGTGTGTGTGTGCGTGTGTGTGGTTCGAGGGCTGGTTTGTCTTTTGTTTCACGTTTCAGGAATAGCTTGAGAGATCGTGACCAGCTGTTTTGAAGCATGTAGTTATTTTTCGAAGCTGAAGTTCAGCTGGAGAGAGAAAGTTACAGTCCAGAAACCCATCAAACAAAATGTTAGAAAAGTGAGCAGTGTTGGTTACCTGTGCATTTCTGTTTCAAATTACTGAGCAAATATGTTTTTAATTTTTTGATTTGGGTCCAAAAAACACTATATTTTCCAGTATATTACAAAATATAAGATATTCACAAAACAACATCGGCCATGATGGTGCATAGAACATACCAAGTGGTGCACTCGTCTAAGTGTTGTCGGGAGATTGATAGTTCAATCCCAGGCGATGCTACAGCCATCCGTAACTGGGGGTCTAAAAAAGCATCATTGGCTTTGCTCTCTGAGTGGGTTGGGTTTCCCAGCTTTAACACAAATACAAAACCAAGTAACTGCTGAGTTGAATCAGGTGTGTTTTGAGCATGGAAATCACCACACTGTGCAGGAATCTGGCCTTTGAAGTTCTCTGAATAATTTTAAAGAGGAGGCTTCATAAAAGGACCTATTTTATAAGAGCTGTGTGAGTGCTAACAACTGCTTTAAAGAATCTCCATATAATATCAAACAGTGGTAACCAACCCTCCTTCTGTAGATCTACTTTCCTGTGGAGTTCAGTTCCAATCTGCATCTAACACTCCTCCTTACACTAATGCATTTGATCCAGCTAATCGTAGACTTAATTAGCTGGGGCTGAATTGCAGAAACTTTCCATCTTTTTGTCAAAAGATTTGTCAAAACTTATCTGAACTTGAGAATCTTATCTTACAAAATCTTATCTCAAGTTAGGATATCTTAATCTACTCAATCAAAATCGACAGTCAACTACCATATCACTGTTGTCGGAAGAAAATCTTCTATCTCCAAAATGGTAACTTTACAGGAGAAGGAAAAAACATACTTCACTTTTAATGTAAGTCAGTGGAACCAGACTTGTTTCCCTAAGTCGTTTTGGGCCGTTTGGAATTAACACACAATATAAAAGGCAACAGGCATTTTCAAATTATGTCAAAAACTGAAAAATGACAAAAATGGTGATACAAGGTTTTCTTCCAACAGCAGCAAAAGCAACTGACCATGCGTGCACAGCTGCAATGTATACACGTGTTCAAAATAATTTACTTAGTTAGCCAGATGGCTAGCTGCTGTTACTGCAATACGGCCCATGGAGACTGAAAACTAGGCTCCTCAGTAAGGTAGATCGCCAATATCAGGGTTGGTGACCACTAATGTTAAGGTTCTCAACAAATTAAAGGTTTCTGCTAGAGCTTTACATCCAAGAAACATTTTGAAACTTTAGTGTATTATGTGTTGTGTTATTTTAATTATATTGTAATGTATAATGTATTTGTGTGTTGTAGGTGCTGCAGGAGCAGGGGTGTGTGTTCCAGGAGAGGCACGGCTGGGAGAGACCAGGCTGGTTCCATAAAGAAGGACCTGCACCGGTTAGACATCGAGCACACGTGCTGCTCTGTTTATCCTCTAGTTGAGCTATTTCATTGCATTGTAAAAATGAATTGGTTGAAATGTTATTCTGCAGTGTGAATGATATACAGGGTATCTGCAGGTAACTATACAGTAGCGTGCAAAAGTTTGAATACCTCCAGTCAAATTACACAGTTTGTTTTTCAGAGTGAAAACATGCCAACACATCCTCTACATGTTAAAAAAAAAACTTCTATTTCTAAACTTCTAGTTCTATCTATTTGTTTTTGCACATGCCACATTTTATGTGGTGGTAATCTGGTGACCAAAAAGTACTTAAAAAGCAAAACGTTTTTGCACGAAACAGTGCTGTTATCATATGTTCATTCTTATACGACAAAAACTTAAAAAATCATGAAATGACTGCAATATACAGTGATGGGCGACCGAAAGTTCTCCTCATTCAGCGGTCAGTGGTTGCTTAGCAACAATACCGCACTCTAAAGGAACTACATTTCTTGGTGTAATACTTGTTTATGTCGATTATTATTAATAAGAACTTAAGTAATTATATAAAATATTGTGTATTTTAATATATTTTATGTTGGCCGCCGTTTTATAAAAGCAATAAGCCACTCGAGGCAGTGTGTTACTGCGATTTTATCATGGGGAAGGGAGTTCTTTGGCATGACGCGAAGCGGAGTAAATCAAATAAAAATAAAATCGCAGTAACCCACAGCCTCGAGTGGCTTATTGCTTTAATATACCATCTGAATGTCTGCTTCAAGTACCTCAAATGCCTGTGCTTAAGTAGAGTTGGCCTAAGTAGTGTTAAAACCAGTCCGGGTAACATGAATGTACGGCACCGTTAGCCTGGTGCTAAAATAACATTGAAATTTCAATAGAACGATATGTGGAAATTAGCATTATGAAAGTGCTGGTTCTCAGAGTAATTATCAAGTAATGATTTCTGATAAAACACAACTATGTAATGATAGACTGTGAATGTTTTATTGTTTGGGCTTAAAATTACTTGGATTAACAATTATAATGATCAGTAAATTATTTGATCACTAATATAATCAATAGTGGCAACCATAGTCCATCTAAAAAATCAATTTCGGAGTGAGTTTATGTAGGTTGTGATGTTGTTTCAGTGTTTGCAGTTATACTGTGATTGTGTAACCCTGTGATTAATCTCTGTGTGCAGGTTTTAGATTATGATTATTATGGTGCTTATGATATTCCCACGCACAGTGACTACAAATACAACCAGCTCCTGGGCAAAGAATATACCTTTGACTATCCACCCCATCACGACACGGCAAGTGTGTGTGTGTACATGTGCATGAGTGTGTGTATTTACATGGATATGTGCAGCTCTGTGTGTGGTGTAGAAGGTTCCTACTGTACTGTGCCAAAGGCAGAGACCACCCTTCATTTCTTTAATATTCAGTAAAAACAGCCATTAAGTACACGTTATTCATTTTCAGAGGATATTTCTGAGGAGATTACACACTAGATAATGTACTTAAGCGTAAGGAAGGAGAAAGTCAAAGAAAAATATGTAGAAAAAAGAGTTTCCAAAACTGGAGCTCAAAAGAAAATCGGACTCCTAACACCCATGCAAGACCTGCTAGACCACCAAAACCATCTCCATCAGATAAACAGCACTTAAAACTTTCATCTTTGAGAGAGAGGAGAAAATCAAGCTGCTTCAGATCTGAAAACATCCACAGGTGTTTCTGTCCATCCTTCCACTGAGAGAAGACAACTCAGCGCTATGAGTCTGAAAGGATGTGTAGCTGTCAAGAAGCTTTTACTGAGAAAAGGAAACAGACAAAAAGAAGCTGCTGGTTTTCTCAGAACAGTGAACTGACCACCCGAGAGTCTCGACCTCAACATCACTGAATGTGTTTGGATTATTTGCATGGTGAGAAGCAGAAAATGATAAACCGACTTCAAAGACTGAACTTCGGAGGTGTGGAAAATGTCTCAGCAGATTTACATTAAAAACTGATAATATTTGAATAGTGAAAAATGAATAATGTACTTAATGATCATTTTGACTGCAAATTAAAGAAATGAAGGGTGGTCTATGACTTGAGCATAATACTGTAAGTACAGTGAGCTAAACTGCAAAATATGGGCACTGTGTGTGTGTGTGTGTGTGTGTGTGTGTACAGATCAGAGATGAGTGTATGGCCTGTAGGAACGCTGTGGCGGTCTTTGATATGTCTTACTTTGGCAAGTTCTATCTGACTGGCCCTGATGCCAAGAAAGCTGCTGATTGGCTGTTCACAGCAGACGTCAACAGAGCACCAGGTGAAGAGACACAGAACACCCACGCACATATTACGTATAACGACAGTACCTGACACAATAAAAAGTCTGAACATTTGTACATTTGTGTTTTGTGTTTTACATTTCAGGATCTACTGTGTACACCTGCATGCTGAATGAGAAGGGCGGGTCAGAGTCTGATCTAACTGTCAGTCGTTTGGAGCCTGGCCCCGCCCACCTCCCCCTGACTCCAGAATCTAATGGTAGGCAAAAGCAGACTTATGCTCTTATGCTCGTTCACAGACTTATACATCCATGTTATCATTGTCATAAGGACACTTCTCAATGTGAAAATGAAAACCTTTTCATTTTCATTTTGCATGCATGTGCATGTGTCTGTGTCTGTGTATGTAGGAGATGCGTACTACTTGGCTGTAGGAGGTGGTGTGGCCCAGCACAATTGGAGTCACATTCAAACAGTCCTGCAGGATAAGGGCTTCAACTGCACTCTGACTGACCACTCAGAAGATATGGGAATGATCAGCATTCAAGGGCCAAAGAGGTGAGAACACACACACACACACACACACACACACACACACACACACACACACACACACACAAAAAATATGGGATGCTTTTACCCCGATCTTCCTGTACAGTTCATGCCTGACACCTGTTTAGACTAGCTCCTGTACTCATATGCTGCTTTGATGCCCACACGTATATATTTTTTCTTTCTATGTATTTATTTTCTTGTGTATTTATTGTCTAGCGTATATTGGATTTTCTCTTTCATTTCACACTGTTAAAACTGCTATTGCTATGTGTTGTGCCGAGTATCAGGTAGTCATACAAAAAGTAATCCCTTGCAAGTTACCAGTTTGTTCTCTGCAAATATTATGTGGGTACATTACTTATCACTTTGTGGAAAATGTAATCTCATTCTTCATTACTTTGCATGACGGTGTAAATCCCACTTGCACCAACTGTACAAGGGAAAACTCAGTAGTCCTTTTCAGTAATTTATCAAAAAAAAAGTCAATCACAGTAAATATCATTTAAAAGACATGTCAGTATCCTTGCCTTTTCACAAAACAAAGCCAGTTTTGCTGGTTTTAAACACGAACGATTTAAAAACCTGTTTAAAAACCTAGAAACTAGCCAGTAGAAAGAGTTCAAAACATAATTGAAAAAATTATAAAATAAAAGTAAAATATTTCTGAATAAAATGTAAAGCTTACAGAGCTGTTTTGAAAGAAAATCCAGTCTGGCCTGTTATAATATATATGATATAATTGGGTCTTTATCCGTCAGTTTAACATTAGTATGATTAGATGCTTTGACAGATTGTTTGCAGAGTTTACATTTTTCCCACACTCACACTGCGCTGCTCATATTCCCAATCAGGGTCATACATGTAGCACACATACAAATTATGTACAGGCACATGTAATATAAATAGAGACAATTGATGATATACATGCATCGCACGTGTTCTCTTAAAGACGTGTGAGTAATGCAAGTAACACTAAGTTCTTCTTTTAAATTTGGGCTGCAAATAATGAAAAATGAATGGGCCTCATTCACCAACTTTCTTAAAGAGAAATTCCTTCTTAAAACCCACTTGTGCAGTTTTCACAAAGATTTTGACGTTCACAGTGTTTTCTTATTTGCGATTTGTTCGTAGGTAAGAACAGAATCTACACACACTCAAGAGCACACAGGTGCAAACTGTTCTGCAGTTTAAGAGCACGTCATGAATCTGATGTAGACTTTTTCTTAGAACTTTTCTCAAGAACAAATTTAAGATAAATTGCAGAGGATATTGGTGAATTAGGCCCAATGATGTTAACCAGTAAAACTGAGATTTCAGATGATGAGTTAAGAATGATTGTTTCCAGTTTTCGTTCTTCGAAGGAGTTTAAAGCCCTGCGTATTATAACAACTGAATGATGACATTTGACATCACAGCATCCATGTGCCCTAAGTCCTGATGACTCTTACTCCTCTTATTATGATAAGAGAAAGATTACACTGCTGGCCTCTCCTGGTCTCTCTCCGTCTTATTCTCATTCTCCTTTTCTTTGTGATCAAAAAAGGGGGGGGGGCACTGAACCATAACCATGAAATCCCACCTAACCTGCACACCCATTACAAAGACGTCTTACTTGCAGTAAAATAAAGGAGCTCAGTGTTGGTAATAGTGCAGCAATGAGATTTTCTTTATGCTAATGTGTGCGCTCTTTGTGTGTGATTTCACGCTAGGCGAAGCAAGTGCTCTTCGCGCAGGAAGCGTTTTATAAAGCAATATTTAGCCGCCGTGGTGGCTCTCGTTGTAGCAGAAAATTAACGTCCTTCCCGCCTCCTTTTTATTGCTTCCTGTGCAGGACTGTGTGTAGTCAGCATTATTGAGTTATAATGTAGGCTCTTATTAAAGGCTGAGTACTCAGAGCTGAGCCGAGGCTGAGTGGTTGTAGCATGCAGACTGAAACTGGCCCTGATGCTACACCAGCAGCTGGTCTTGGGGTGATGCTGGGTTTACACAGTTCAGCACAGCAGCATGTAATCACAGCAAACACTGACCCGAGAAACACCGCACTGTGTGTGTCCAGTAGTGTTGGGCTAGGTACTCAAAAAAGTAATCCATTACAAAGGACTTACTTCTTACATCACTCACTGCTTCCTGGAAAAAGGTAATCTCACTACTCATTTCTTATTACTTCTGAGTTGTTGTCTAAAACCTGCTTGTAGCTACTATACAACAATATAAGAGTAAACCCAAAAGTTCTTTTTATTAATTTATTCAGAAACAAATAGTCAGTTAGAGTAAACATTATTTAAAAGCCCTGTCTGTAGCCTTGCCTTTCAAAAAGACACAGCAAGTTCTGCTGATTTAAAATCATAATCCTCTGATTCTGTTTGAAAGCCAAGAAAGTAGCCAGTAGAAACAGTTGCTAATATAAAGTATTTATGAAAAAATGTAAAACTGATTCTGAATGAAAATTTATTCTGGTCTGTTTAAGTGAGGTTCTCCCTTTCAGCTTGGGATCTTTATTGTGCTCATTGTCCATTTTATCAGCTCCACTTACTATATAGGTGCACTTTGTAGTTCTACAATTACAGACTGTAGTCGATCTGTTTCTCTGCATACTTTGTTAGCCCCCTTTTACTCTGTTCTTCAGTAGTTAGGACTCCCATTGACCCTCGCAGAGCAGGTACTATTTGAGTGGTGGACCATTCTCAGAACTGCAGTAACACTGATGTGGTGGTGGTGTGTTAGTGTGTGTTGTGCTGGTACGAGTGGATCAGACACAGCAGTGCTGCTGGAGTTTTTAAACACTGTGTCCACTCTCTGTCCACTCTATTAGACACTCCTACCTTGTCAGTCCACCTTGTAGATGTAAAGTCAGAGACAATAGCTCATCTGCTGCTGCACAGTTTGTGTTGGTCATCCTCTAGTCCTTCATCAGTGGTCACAGGATGCTGCCCACAGGACGCTGTTGGCTGGATATTTTTGGTTGGTGGACTATTCTCAGTCCAGCAGTGACACTGAGGTGTTTAAAAACTCCAGCAGCACTACTGTGTCTGATCCACTCGTACCAGCGCAACACACACTAACACACCACCACCACCACATCAGTCTTACTGCAGTTCTGAGAATGATCCACCACCCAAATAGTACCTTCTCTGTGAGCTGATAAAATAGACAATGAGCGTAGAAACAAGGAGGCGGTCATAATGTTATGCCTGTTCGGTGTATGTCCATATTGTGCAGCTCTTTTCACTGATAAACAAGTAGTATACCTTACCAACCAGGCAAGGAAGAGTAAGAAAACACATTGAGGAATATGACCATTTTGTTATGGCTTAAGTGTTGCTGTAAAATACTGACACGTGTGTGGTATGGATCGTGCTGACATTTTTTACAAATGAAGTTTAAAAAAGGAATAAAATTAAGGATTTCTTATGATGGTGATGGCGAAAGTTGTGTTTTATCCTTTCAGTTTTTATTAATCAGCATAATTTATTATGCTTTGTTCCGTGATATCTATAAATGGCTAATGTTCACATCCCTGTTGGGAAGGGCAAGCTGCTTCGTCATGCTTCAACACTAACAGACCTTAAGGGTCTCTCTCGTCCCCTCTCTCCCTCTCTCTGTAATAATAATGAATAAAAGCCAGTGGGACACGATTGGTGTCTCATTTAGAAAATGCTAACTCGCCTTTCTTTAGGGAACAATTTATAACATCAGGATAATCAAATTGATTTGATTTGTGTGATTTTAAATTATTTTAAAAATATACTATATGTACAAATACCAGTTTAACAAAGAAGTAAAATATGGACAGTAAATGACTAGGTTTGAAAATGACCTGAGAATTTTATTTTTAGCAAAAAAAAGAGCATATATTATTGAATATTATAATTGATAAGAACTGGTTATGTTCTAATGCATTTGAATCACCATTTTTACACCCCTAGATGTTGGCATTTTTAAGTGAAACTGTGTGACTGTTAAAGGGTGCCTATTGTGGAAAATGGAAAAAATTCCACACTTTTTTTTAAATAGTTTTATTGTCGTATGTAAACATTGTTAGTTTTAAAATGATGGTTGACTCCCCCAGTAAAGCTGCAAAAACCGTCCATTTTGAATTCATTGTTTTTGTGATGTCACAAAAACAAACGCATACATAATATTATCAGGGCCTTAAGTAGGATGGAATTTTTTGTCCATTTTGCAGAAATGTGACCTACATCTCATAGTGAATACAATAACTGCAGCATATGAATATTAAACCAACCGCAAGCTTCTCTTTTAGATTTTTTACCATTTTTTTTGCCAAATCATTGGTACTTTTTTAACCCATCCATAACTGTTATGCACTTTTTATTTGTTCTTCCCCATCCCTCCATTCTCCCATGAACTGCTATTATTAGTCTTCAAGAAACTGATTTGACTCCAGTTGCCCTATTTAAGTTTATTTAAATAATGATATAACTATTTATTCATGTTTCTTTTAAGCTGAAAATGTGTTAAAACCTACACTAAATCAAGGGATAGTTTCAAATTGATTTTATTTCATTTGCCGCTTTCTCTCTCTCTCTGCTTCTGTCTTTTGCATCCGTCCTCACTGATTACTGAAAAAGCCTGCATTAAACATACATTATAAAAAGCTGTCTTTACCAAACCCCAGCTAACGGTAGATGCAGCTACTTATACTGTTAATGACACAAAATGATACTATACCATCAATATGCTGGTTAACAGTGAACTTTCTCATGCTGGTTAACAGTGAACTTTCTCATGCTGGTTACAGTATGTAATGAGTACGTAACACATTACAGCTTTATTTCTCAAATAATCATTGTTATAGCCAACAACAGAGCCTGTAGCCTAAACTGAGCAGCTATTGGAACTAAAACATGCTGATTTAGCCAGCAACATTACGAGCAGTCCAAACAAAAAAATGAAATACAGGGTTTGCATTTTACAATCTTAATGTGTTAATTGTGCTTTCAGCTAGCTACATATTTACAATAGTGATGTTATAAGTTAGCCTATAGCATGTGTGCTGCATACCTGAACATCTCAAGAAGTCAAAGTTACTCTGGTCATCAGGGCAGTGTAGCGTCTCGTACAGAGGTGAACAGAGCAACAACAGCCGTTCTTAGGTCAGCTGAGAACCTCTCACTGCTCATTGGTAGAGATTCATTACACTGAATTTCATGAAACCCTTTTGAACTTCCAAGGACCTCAGTTTCCCAACGCTAGTCATGAACATGACGGATGCTGATTACTGAAGCAAGTGCAGATAGCAATGGTTGCTAAGCACTGATTGGAGGGTTGAGGAAAGTAGCAGATTTTTGGCCATACAGTGCTCACAGAGAACAAATCAAATTTCATATCATAAAAAATTACGCATTATAAATATTCAGCCCCTATTTGGGTAGGTCTGTGACAACGTGCCTGCGCCCCTGAGTGGTCTGCTGTATTATCATAACGGTGCTGGTTTTACATTTAATCTCATGAATGGAGAAAATTGAGAAAAAAATCCTTTTAAAACTACTGAGGTCCTGACATAGTTACGACCATGAATATTGGCTCCTCTAATTCACAGTGAAGTTATAAGGAGTATTTCAGCCTAGACTACTTTTTGAATGAGTCACAAAATAGGTCTAAAACAGAGCTCATTTACATATATTAGTCTTAATGACACTGACAAAAACAGACTGTTCAAATCTAAGGAATAATGAGAGATTGGAAAAAGTATGTAATGCAAAGTGAATTATGAGTGAATTAATTCCAAAACCCACATGAATGTTGTAAGTGTATCAGTTTTATGAGCTTTTTAAAGCATGAGTGGCTTGTTCTGCTGTGTGAATTTGTATTCAGCCTCAGTCTCAGCCTCTCTCTCCTTGAACACATCCAGCCTGCTCTATCTGCTGTAAGTGATTTCATTAAGAGTTCATATCTGATCTTCAGCTAACCGACTGCTGAAGGAGAGGCAGGCCATCTAATTGGACACACGCACACCGCAGGCCGTGTAATTAGTCTGCTTGTTGGTCTGTGTGCTGTAGTGAGCAAGGTGGGGTGAAAGTGGGAGGGAAAGAGGAGCATCAAGTAATAATACCACGAAGTGAATGTGGAACGCACAAACACAGACACAGAGCAGTGCGCGCACACACACACACACACACACACACACACACGCTGTTTATGGCATCAAAACCCATACATTAGAGGGTAAAACAGACATCTCTGTCCTGGGGGTGTCATCTCTGGCTTCTTTACTAATGGTTTTACAAACTATGAATGTGAATGTGAAATGCTAATAAAAACAGAAAGTGATTCATGAATCCAGTTTGAACTGTATTAAATTAAAAATGTATAAAAACATATTTTAAGTTTTACCTTCTTAAACATAATTATCTATTTTGTAAATGCATGCTTATTTCATATTTGAGGCCAGCAACACTTTCCAAAAAATTTTGGCAACGAAACTTGTTTACCATGTTGCATCACCTTTCCTTTTAGCAACACTTTATTAATTTACATTTTTTTGCTTGTCTTTGGATGCACAACCATACAAGGCATTCATCGTGCTTTGCTTTATAATGCACCACACGTTTTCAGTGGGAGACAGGTCTGGACTGCAGGCAGGCCAGTCTAGCACCCACACTCCAGTATCACAAGCAGAATGTGTTGTAATGTTGACATGTTGAGTTAAGCCTGGACAAACTTGAAAGTGCTGTCATCTAGAAGGCTGCATATCAGAATCAGAATCACTTACCATAACAAACCGTGGCTTTTGGACTTTATACTGGTAACAATCTGGATTTTTTTCTTTGGCCTGGACAGCACAACATGCGTTATTTCCTTAAATGATCTAAAAGGTTGACTCGTCAGACTACAATATGTGTTTCTGCTGTGCATCAGTCCATTTCAGATGAGCTCGAGCCCAGAGAAGTCGGCAGCATTTCTGGCTGATTAACGTGCATTTGTGGATGCAGCAGAACACTTTGTTTATTTAGGACGGTTTATCCAAGTATTCCCAAGCCCATGCAGTCATATCCATCTCACAGAAACATGGTGGTTTGTAATGCAGTGTCATCAGAGGGAACGTGGGGCACAGTAGAGGGTAGAATACCTCAATCGCAATCGGAATCAAGGAACATCTGTTCTTTAACTGTTGAATTATTTTCTGATACATTTCTTGAGCAAGGTGATGAGCCTCGACCCATTCTTGCTTATAAAGACCTTTTGTGGACGACATTCTTGCACAAGCATTATTGTGTCACCCATATGAGATGTTTTATAAACATTTATGTTTTGCAGGTCAAGTCGATAAGGAAAAGATTCAGTATCTTGAGTTTGAACTTTTGTCTCCTTTAAGTACAGGTCAATTTACACATCACTGTCCTCTCTTTATATTTGGCTTTCACATAGCCAAATATAAAGAGAGGACAGTGATGTGTAAATTGTCCTAGCTTTTTGGGCTTTAGGTTTGCATGTAAAAATCAAACGTTAATTTGCTAATAGTTCCCTTTTTGTCATTAATAATAATTCCCTAGTTATTAATGTTACGTTTGTAATAGAGCAAGCTGAAGCCACCCTGTTCGTACATTGTGTGATGCTAAGATAGCAGAGAGAATCAAGTAGCTCACTTGTTCAAATACAGCTTTGAAATGGCTTTTAAAGTGATACTTTCAGTACACTGTATGGAAATTACGTGATCTTCATGTTCAGGTTTATGGCAAATAAGACAAATGTGATCAATTGTGATGAACAGGGAATCACAACTAATTACTTGAACTGTTTCACAGCCATAAAATGTGCATAATCAAGAACTGAAAAAAAGAAAGAAATCTCAATTAAATAAAACATAGTTTATTGGCCAAATTCCCTTATTAAAATCATTAAAGTCCAGACAACAAAGCATCACAGCAATCTAGATCTGAGAGTATGATAGTCAAAGTTATTGGACATTTTAATAGGAAAAGCTGTAGTTGTCATTAATGATAATGATCATGTTGAAAAGCCTGTTTCTTTAGCACCAAATTCTGGCATTGAGTCCAGATTGTGGATTTAATTAATGTCTCCTGTTATCAGCAATTATCTCTCCTCTCCTCTCCTCTCCTCTCCTTTCTGATCAGAGATTTTACTTTAAAGGACCAATAATCTACATTTTTCTTGTATTTTATTTTCCTCCCTGAAGGCCATACTTAATGGACCATACTTTTATGTAACTGTATGTAGTAAAACAGTCAGCATTCATTTTTAATTACCATTTCCACCTTCTCTTTATGACTTCTGAAAATAAGTTGACGCATCCTCTACAGAAAACACATGTCTGCACAATTTGCTGAATTTAATATATTGGGGAAAAATATTATGGCACATTTTATGTTGTATGTTTTATTTTTTCCCAATATGTTAAAATTGAATTGTGCATAAAATGAAAAAATAAAATAGAAAAATGCCATATATAAGTTTGTTCTCTATAGAAGATGTGTTGACCAATTTTCTCTTAGAAAATCAACCAGACACCGGGAATGTTCAAACTTTTTACATAGGACTATATATAAATTATCCCTGTTCTGATTGGCTGCCCTCTCAAAAAACAGATTTTTGTTTCTTTAAAATATCTGCATTATTCAGTCATCAAAATGACTGCATTATTCAACAAAGTCATTCAGAGTGGTTTGATGTGAAGTGGTGCATTGTAGAGATACAGTGGTGGTGATAGGAACCAGGCATTGTGATGTCTGCCCTGCAATTATAGCCATTTTTTTGCTATCAAAAACCAAGAGTGACCCTACATGTGTCTTATGAGTTTGTCTATGTAATGTTGTTATCCAAAAATAGTGGTAAATATGAAAAAATGTTTTCTTGAAGTTCTAATAATACCCAGCATGTACCTCTCCACCGTGAATGGACTTAAAAAATATATATGAATACATTTTAGGCCAAAACTTTCTCAAAACTATTGTAAAACAATGTCTCCGGCATCAGGCATTGTATTTGTAACAATTTCTGTAATGGATTTCTATGAGGTACCTTTGAGACGCATTAAACTCTTCAGACGTCTGGTTCCTGTCACCACCACTGTGAATATTCTGACTCTAGAATGGAGCATTTCACATCAAAACACTCTAAATCACTGTGTACATGTAACCATTTAATTATGCAAAATTTAAAACAATCTGTGGAATTTCCCTGTAATGTGTTCATGATTCTGAGAGATGGTCCTCAAGCAAGTGATATAAGTAATTCATGCAAATAATATGCATTTGTGTTTGTGTGTGTGTTTGTGTTCGTGTTCCCCAGTCGTGATTTGCTGCAGGAGGTTTTGGATGCAGACCTGAGCAACGAGGCCTTTCCTTTCTCCACACACAAAATTATGACCGCTGCTGGACACAAAGTAAGTCTCTGGCTCTTTTTTATTACACTACCTTATTTTATTTACATATTAGTGAATGTGCATTCCAGTCGCATTTGTGTAGCAACTGTTTAAATTCAGATTTTTCTTTCCATAGAAATAAATTATATAAATTTCCATTTATATAATCCATTGTACACCCCTCTTATGGAAGTACATAAGTAACACCCTGGCAAACACCTGGGATAACACACCAACCACTTATAAACTCCAATAACCACTTGAAACACCTTAGCAACCACCTAGCAACATCTTAGCAACTTTGATGGAGAACACTGCAACCAAATATCATAGCACACACATAGTAACACCCTAGCATAGCAATCAATAGTAACCCCCTAGCAACCACCTGGAATACCATAGCAACTACACAGCCCCACCCTAGCAATCACTTAGCAATACCATGGCAACCACTTGAAACTCCGCCTAGCAACCTCCCAGCATCCACCACAGATACCGTTGCAACCACCTAGCACCACCTTAGCAACCACCTGGGATAACGTAAGAACTGCTTAGCAACCCCCTAGAAACCAAATAGGAATTGCTGAAGATGCACAATCACTCTGCATTTTCTTTAAGAGATGCACTTTTCTATGTTTTTTTTTCTTTTCTTTTTTTTGCGAATGTTAATGTTTTTAAAAAAATCTGGACTTTTTTTTACTTTTTTTTATATGACTCACTCAACATTTAGCTGAGGTGCATTTTGTCCATTCCAGCTTGTTTACAAACCTTATTAAAGCTAAATAATACCGATATAAATGTGCTGAAGCACATAGAGAAATGTTTTATTCATGCGCAGCACTTGTAATGGTGAGTAATGGTGTGCAGCTGAAGACTGATGCTTGTTGTTTATTATTTGTTGTTTGTGCTGTGGTTGCTCTGGTGTGGTGTATCTCTTGCCGGTTGCATCATGTTGTGATGTTGCGCAAATTGCAGTGGTAGAGTTGTTGTGAGGCAGGTGGTTTGGCCTAGTTTAGTAAGCAGATCCCAAGAGTTTGGTACAGTTTGTGGGGGGCTGCGGTGGGCTTGGACAGATGGCAGCATGACAGCACCTCCTCTGGGGCTACTGACATTTAACTCTCACTCTCTCTCCTCCACTCTCTTCTTTCCTTCTTTTACTCTCTGACTCTCTTTCATTCCACTTTTCTCTTTTTCTCTCCCACTCTCTACTTTCCTTCACTCGTTCCCCTAGCTCAAATTTTCTTGCGCACATTTATTTACATTCTCTCTTTTTCTTTTTTGCTGTCTCGCTCTTTTAATTTTTCATTCCCCCTTTTCTCTTTCTCTCTCTCTCACTTTTTTAATTTCCCCAAGTCTTCCTCTGTATAACTTTCTTCTAATGTACTCTTTAAACTCTTTTTCTCACTGTCAGCACTCTGAGTCTGTGGTTCTGTAAAGCTAAGTTTGGCTGCATGCAAGTAACACCTTATCTTGTGCCATGCACACCCACACAGACCCACATACAGAAAAAGAGCGGATTGTGTTTAATGCTCAGTCAGTCTCTGCTTCTCTTTCTCTTTTCACACTCTTTGTCTCTTAAATAACTTTATTACACTTGTGAAAAAAGTGAATGTTTTAAAGCAGTAGTTAAACATATTTAGGACAGAGAAACTAAAATTAACAGAATAAAAAAGTGTATTTATAACAGTCTAACTGTCCTTTTCTCTCTCTCTCTGCAGGTGCGTGCTATACGCTTGACCTTCGTGGGCGAGCTAGGCTGGGAGCTGCACATTCCTAAAGATTCCTGTCTGCCTGTGTATCGTGCTGTCATGGATGCTGGTGCTAAATATGGTGTGCGAAATGCAGGATACAGAGCCCTCGACTCGCTCAGCATCGAGAAAGGTATGAGAGAGTGTCTTTGTATATTACAACTTTAATCCGACCTGGAATTTTGGTCCAAACCCAGATACATTCCTTGTCCAGATCTGACCCAATTTAACCCACAATAAAGACAGTTTAGAAGCCCCCAAAGCCCGAGAAAATTCTGTATGAACTCAATGTCATTAAAGTCTATAAATAATGGTAATTATCTGACTCGCTCCAGTGGTTGGATCACATGCCACATACCGAAAGTTTTTACTGAACTGGGAAAACCTGCCTTTAGTTACAGTGAGCCAGCAAACTGAAGCTCAGTCATTTTAACTTTTACTCTCTAACCACCTCCACTCTGCCTGCAACTGTTTTACCTGATTTTTACTATTATTGTTTTATTTTCATTTTTTTTCATTTATTTATTTGTTTATTTATTCTTGTTTTGATTATGATTATTTTAATATTATTTAAGTCATTTTAATGAGTTTCACTTTCCTTCTTTGGTCTTATCCTCCTTTTGTTTTATTTATCTTCTTTTGATTTTATTGCCTTTTACATTTTAGTTACGCTTTAATGATTGTTTTATATTTTCTACTGTTTTTATATAGTTTTGTTATTGTTTCATTTTATTTTTTATATTTGCCTGATTTGAGTCATTTTTATTATTAAATATACTTTTATTATTTGATCTGCTCTTACACATTATCAATCTCTTTTTCCTGTATCAACTCGACAGCATTGTAAATGAGGGTCACCTTCAGTGTTCTCCAAGGTTAAATAAAGGTTGATTTATTGATTGACAGTAGCCCAAAAAACTCGGTTGGAATCTGAATGAGCCCAGTGTTACTCTCTCTGAATGTGACTACAGCTGACAAAATCCTATCTGAATCCATCTATAACCTGAAAAAATTTGGTTTGGATCCAAATGTAGCCAAACATAACTCAGAATCTGTCTGTAGCCTGACAAAGGAGGGAGGAAAACTAAGGGTGGATAAATGGAAGCCAAAATCCAATAAAGGTGACTTTAAGAAACCCAGAGAAAAAAATGTCCAAACACAACCGAACCTGACAGGAACAGTTCGGTCCTACTGGTTCGGGCAGATATTTTAAGCTCCAGTCTGTGTATTTGTGCTCCTTTTTGGTTTTTGTTTTGTTTTGAGAAGTTACAAAGCAGAATGTGTTATTTGTCTTTATTTGAATAAACACATGAGCTATAATCTGACAAATACAAAAAAGGTACATCTGAAAAAGGTGCAAGTTGTCCACACATGGTGTTTTCTAAAAGTTTTAGTACAGATTGTATATGTCTGCTCAAAGAACTGAATAAATGCTTGAAGAGCTGTATAGATGTGCAGCAGTCACTGTGGCTGATTTGCAGGTGAACACACACACAGTTACAGACAGACAGGGAATCAGGTGGTGGTGCAGCAGTTCAGCTGAGGGTGAGTGGGCACGGAGAAGCAGAAGTAATCTGATCCTGTTTCTGTCAGATAGATGATGGATAGAGAAAAGAGAAAGAGATGGACAAGGGGGAAAAAGGGGAGAGAGAGTGTGTATTTTAACAGCACTCTATCATGCTCTGTGTCCAGTGGGTTAGTCCTGGGGCTCAGTGTAAAGCTCTGCAGACTACACTGCTGTGTGTGTGTTTGTGGTTGACGCTGACGCTGTGGCCTGACAGGTCACCGTGTGTGTGTGTGTGGTTTTATGTGCTGCATGAATGCTCTGCTGGCCGCATGACTGAGCACTTCTGTCTGCGTGTGTGTGTGTGTGTGTGCACTTGTTTATGTCTGTATCAAAAGAATGAACTGTTTTCATTGATTTCTTTGTTCTTGTTCTTTAGTTTATTTCGTTATCAGTTCGGTAGTTCAGTTGATTTTGGAAGTTGTTGGCAGAAAAATATCACATTTTGAGTTAAAAAACTATTATTTATCTCTCTATCTCTGTCTTTATCCTCTGTTCTCTCTCTATTCTCTCGTCATCTCTCTTCTCTTCTCACTGTCTGTCTGTTTCTCTTTGACTTTATCTCTGTCACACTCTCTTTATTTCTCTTTCTTTATCTCTTATCTTCTCTCATCTCCACCTCCTTATTTATCTGTCTTTCTCTCCTCTGTCTTTTTTATTCTCTCATTTATCTGTTTATCTATGTCTTTCGCTCTCCTCTATCTCTTTCTCTATCTTTCTGCTCTCTTTGTCTTATCTCTCTTCTTTCTTTGCTATCTTTCTTCTCCCTCTCCTCCCTATTTATTTATCTATCTCTCTGTCTGTCTGTCTGTTTCCTCTCTATATATATGTCTGTTTTCTCTCTGTCTATCTATCTGTATCTGTCTGTATGTCTCTGTCTGTTTGTGTATCTGTTTTCTATATATCTGTCTTTATCTCTCTCTGTCTCGATTTCTCTGTCTTTTATTCTCTTCTCTCTTTGTCTTCTTTCTTTTCTCTCTTTCTATTTTTCTGTCTGTATCTTTCCTCTCTCTATCCCTCTGTCTTTATCTTTCTCTTCTTTTTCTTATCTGTTCTCTCACTTTTTTCTTTTCTATTTATCGGTTTATCTTTTTATTCATTCTCTCTCTTCTATCTGTCTTTCTCTCTCTCAATCTCTGTATTTCTCTTTTTGTCTATCTTTCTCTTTCTTCTCTCTATTTGTCAATCTGTCTTTCTCTCTCCTCTCTCTATCTGTCTTTATCTTTCTTCTCCCTCTCCTCTCTGTCTGTCTCACTCAGGCTACAGGCACTGGCATGCTGACCTGCGTCCTGATGATACTCCTCTGGAGGCGGGGCTTGCATTCACCTGTAAGATGAAGACTTCCATCCCCTTCCTTGGTCGCAAAGCCCTGGAATCCCAGAAGGCCGAGGGTCTGCGTCGCCGAATCGTCTGCTTCACCATCGACGAGTGAGTCACTCCCAAACAGCTCTTGCCATCACCCCCATAATGAACACTAAAAGCCCCGTACAGCACTCACTCCCCTCACTGCAGAGTTTAGCTGGGGTTTCCTCAAGCTTGAGCTGCTTTGCACTGTGCTGTTTCCTAGTTTAATGCCAGAAACATATCCTATGCAAGTAGAGGTGGGCAAGATGACTGCGGTTATCCTTATTGTGAAAAATTATGTTACAATGCACTTTTCTGAGCATAGCACGGATAATGCTTAACTCACAGTACTCATAGCTTTTGATAGTGTTTTTAAATGTGACACAACTTCTTTTTTTAATCTGCAAACCTCAGAAAAATGAAATCATGTTTTGAAAATGTCTTAAAGGATTGTGATATGTTTGCCATATCGCCCACCCTTACACGCAAGTACATAAACATAACCCGTTCAAGCTGCTCAAAATCAATTTCAACAGATGTGTCACTTCAAAATTCATAATGCAACGCAAGCTGCATTCTGAGTGCTGCAGCGAAGGACACTACAGTGAACATAACCTTAAATATAGGTTCGACAAGAGACTAAAAAGCGGACCTCACACTTTCTTATCCAGTTGTTTCTTTTTTTCACTCATGCAACGAGTAAAGCTGCACACAATCCTCACGTGTCAACATTTTATTAATGTTGTAGATATTGGAATAAAAACTACTGGGACACTAGCCTTATTAAACAGAACCAGTATCGGTTAGATGTGACCGACCCATATTCTTAGGAACATACTGTTTTTATAGTGCAATGTAAACTTATTTTAACTTGTAATCTTGTATTCCTAATAACAAATTAGGGTAAGTATCAGTCGAAATTATTCTTGCATCACCGTAAAGAACATTTTAAGGAATTAAATATATATTTTGTTTTTTTTTGTAGGACTGTATAGAACATGTAATATGTATATTTATTCAGTATATCTAACAGCCTTGCAGTGCACAAAAATGTGCTTGAAGTTCTGATGTAAGTAACTATTAGTATTTAATTTTTTATTTTGCCGAATAATAAATTGTGCTTTTGAATTTTTTTTTATTTATTTATTTTTCATTTCATTAATTTACCCAACATGAAGGGCCTAGGTTTGATGCCCCGGCCAGGTGAACAGGGGTCTTTTCTGTGTGGAGTTTACATGTTTTCCCCATGTCTGTGTGGGTTTCCTCCGGGTACTCCGGTTTCCTCCTACAGTCCAAAGACATGCAGTCAGGCCAATTGGACACGTTAAATTGCTCCAAGGTGTGAATGTGAATGTGTGTGTGTGTGATTGTATATGTCTGTGTGTCTGTCCTGCGATGAACTGGTGACCTGTCCAGGGTGTTTTCTGCCTTCTGCCCAATGAGCCCTGTGACCTAGAGGGATAAGCGGCTTAGATAATGTGTGTGTGCTTAAAGGAGAGATTAGTTAGATTTGTTAGTTGTTTAATTACACAGCAAAAATTAGCTTAACACACCAGATTCTGTGCATCAGCTTGGTTGACTGTTGCTCAAATCAAAACATTGACTGACTCAAATCTGTTGTTGTTGTTAAGATGACTTATATTGGAACAAGCGCATCAAGGTAGTCCTCTTGACGTTCTTGTTTCTCAGTGTGATTCCTGACTTGTATCCTTTAAAACATGCATTTTGTGCTGTAGACACAGAAATGAGTCTAAATCCGAAATCATGAGGAGCTCGTTAGGGCGAGCACACGCTGTTGAAACATCATTGAGTGTGTCTGTGGGAAACACCTGTTTACTGTTTATTCTCTGAGAATGTTCTCCCCATCTGGGCTCCCTACTGAATATCTTACAATATAATGCATTATAAATACAGTGTGCAGCATTTCCATGCATCATGAATATATTTCTAACAAATTATTCATTTTACATTTTCAGTAGAGTTGGCTTAATTCTCTCATAAACTCTTGTCTACCTGGACAGGTTATTCGCCTGGTTTATTCTGTGGGTTAAAGTCAATAGTGCCGGTCAGATGGGTCAATAGCAGTATAGGGTGCCACTGGGGCCTTAAAATGATAAAAATTGCTTTAGATTGTTTGTAAATTCATTATATCTCACAAGAACAACACAAGTGTGGACTTCAGCATGCCAGGGTGGACCTAGTCATGACTTAATGCACTAGGACAGGGGTCAGCAACCCAAATGTTAAGAAGAGCCATTTTGTCCTTTCAACAAGAATTAAACCACCTTGGGAGCCACAACATTTTATGTCCATTTTACCATCTTGGCTGTGAATATGTGTCAGTATGCTAATGTACTAGCATAGGCTAAAAATATAATTTACACGAAAATGCAGACTTTCATTGTAACATTTAATTTGATTAAATTAAAATTAACAAACAAATGTGAAAAATGCTACTGCAGTTTTTGAAGTTTTCCCCATTTGTTGTAAAGATCTCTAATAATTCTGAAATAGTTCTTACAGGAACTGATAATAATAAGCAAAATGCAAGAATACTGTAATTTAAGATTGTTTTTGTTTACAATTACAGTATTTACTCCGTGTCCAGTTTGTCAGTGGAGAAGCACGACTGGGTGGATAATGACAGGGTGTCATGTTTTAATATTCTGAAAATTCATTAAGTAACTGAATATTTTAACTGCTTAGTTTTGTCCTTGTGACTGTAATCACTCTGTGTCAAGAAAAAGTGAGGGCCTGTAGGATTAGAGTATTATATGCATTGACCTGTACAGAATTAGAACAGAATATAGAATAATATACTGACAAAATTACATATTGTGGTTATGTTTTAAATGTATTGTGGTCCAGGATGCCTTGCAATTTAAAAAGATGCAAGTGAAACCCTAAGATTACATGATAAAAATTGTCCTGCATTATTTTGACCAAAATAATTTACATTTGTTGTATCACATGAATGTCTTCATTGATCAAAAAGCCAGTCCCCTGGAATGAATGTCTGAAGCTGATCCAAAATGCTTATATCACACAATATAAATATATATCTTGTAACCTTTTAGTGTATTAATTATTATTTGAATGTATTTTAATAATAAATGGTTTTTACAAACAAAGACACATTTACTGGCAAGATAAATGGTTCTGAATAATATACTTAAGTGCCTAAGACTTTTGCACAGTACTGTATGTAACAAACATTTGTGCAGCCTTACTGAGAGGCAGGTGTACTCACTTATATCCTAACCCCATGAACCCTAGGTCCCGGTTATTACTTTTAAGCTATACAACTACTCAATACTATTTATTTTATTTATGTATTTATTACTATAAATAATTAAATAATTAATATGAAACTTTAAGTTTGAGAGTAAGAATTTGAAGTGTGGCCCACATAGAAGACTCTTAGGGTTCACTGTTGCAGAAATGAGAATAGCAAATACAACCCCATTTCCAAAAAAGTTGGGACACAGTGCAAAATGTAAATTAAAAACAAAATGCATTGATGTGCAAATGTGCAAAAACGTTCCAAAAAAGTTGGGACAGGGCAACAAAAAAGCAGGTACAGTTGTGTAATACTGAAAACAAACACCTGGTGGTTCATTCTCAACAGGTCAGTAACATGAAAAATAAAAAGGTATAAAAAAGAGCATCTCAGAGAGGCTGAGTCTTTCAGAAGTAAAGATAGGGAGGGGGGTTCACCAAAGACTATGTGACCAAATAGTGCAACAATTCAAGAATAACGTTTCTCAATGTAAAATAGCAAAGAACTTTTGCTTTTCATCATCTACAGTACATAATATCATTAAAAGATTCAGAGAATCTGGAGAAATCTCTGCATGCAAGGGACATGATTCATCCACAAATGCGAGTTAAAACACTAAAACACAAAGAAGAAACCATATATATATATATATATATATATATATATATATATACAGGATCCAGAAATGCTGCCACCTTCTCTGGGTCCGAGATCATTTAAAATAGACCGATGGGAAGTTGAGAAGTGTCCTGTGGTCCGACAAATCAAGATTTGAAATTCTTTTTGGAAAAAAATTATGGACACTGTGTCCTCCGGGCTAAAAAACACTGAGCTTGTTATCAGTGCACAGTTCAAAAGATAGTATTCATGATGGTATGGGGTGCATTAGTACACATGACATGGGTGACTTGCACATCTGTGAAGGCACCTTTAATACTGAATGATATATATACAGGTTTTGGGAACATATACTGCCATCCAGACCACGTCTTTTTCAGGGAAGGTCCAGATCTGTCACCCACTGATAACATTTGGCGCATTCTGAAATGAAAAATTCGACAAAGAAGACTTGTATTGTTGTGCAGCTGAAATCCTATATCGAGCAAGAATGAGAAAACATTTAACTTTCAAAACTACAGCAGTGTCTCCTCAGTTCCCAAATGCATACAGAGTGTTGTTAAAAGAAGAGGTGATGAAACACAGTGGTAAGCATGCCCCCGTCCCAACTTTTTTGGAACGTGTTGTTGGCATCAAATTCAAAATGGGCATATATTTTTCAAAAAACAATAACATTTCTCAGTTTCAACATTTGATATGTTGTCTTTGTGGTATTTTCCTTTAAAAAATGGTTTACATAATTTGCATATTATTGCCTTCTATTTTTATTTACATTCTGCACAGTGTCCCAACTTTTTTGCAAATGGGGTTGTATATTAAGATGTGTTTCCTGTTGTGGCCTTTAGGAAAGTGCCCATGTTTGGTTTGGAGGCCATCTTCCGTAACGGTGTTCCGGTCGGTTACCTGCGGCGCTCTGAGATTGGATTTGCCATCAACAAAACCATCGGCTACGGATACGTCCGGAATCCAGACGGAGGGCTGGTGAGTGCACACTGACACATTCATCACAGCAGTCCACCAAACCAAAAACATCCAGAAGCCCACAACTGATGAAGGACATATTTTAATACCCAGTTACTGTTTATTTGCTGAATATAACATATTGGGGTAAAATGTGGCCTGTGCAAAAATTATGGTACATTTTACTTGTCATATCTTTTTTCCAATAAATTAAGCTGGTTAAATACTAAGCAAATAAATAGAAATTGTACACTAAAGCTTTGCCGGTTTTAAGCGTGTTCTCTGTAGAGGATGTGTTAACTTATTTGTTATGTAATTTAAACTTTTGACTGTAGTAGGTGTTTCTGATAAAATGGCCAATAAGTGTAAGTACAAGGAAGGTGTTTCTAATGTACTGGTGACAATGTATATACACTTAGAGGGAAAAGGGGCAATGATAAAGGGGGGCCTTTCTCACTGTATGGCTTTTTAATAGTGTTTGTAGGGTCTGTTTAGTGCAGAGTGAAGAGAAAAGCCCTGATCAACTCAGCTCTGGAGAACACTTCACTAACGCTCCACTGTGGAGAGACTGCACCCACACACGTCCCTCTGCCTCTATCTCTCCCTCTCACCTGCTCTTTTTATCTCCCTTTATTTCTCTCTCACACTTTACTTCTCTCATCACTTTCTCTCAACTTAACGTCCCACTCTTTGTTTTGGGGAGTATTCGTGGTTTATAATGTTACAGCATCATCTGCAGTAATAACACAATGACCAGTAGCATTGTGATTTAAATTCAGTTATGAACTACCATGTTACAGTTATAGAGCTTTACACTTAAGCTTGCATTTTACCTGATGGTAATACAATTATTATGTAGTTACCAACTGGCTAGCTTCTAATATGAATTAGTAATTTATAATGGTAACTATCTGCTGCACAGATGGCAATTAACACTGTTAGCAACCATGCATCTCCATGTTTGGTTGGTTAGAAACCAACATATTGCCAAATTGGCACCCTTTCTTCAAGCTTGTGATGTTCAGAACAGGGATGCACAATAAATCAGTGGGCTGATATATTATTTGCTGATAAATTGAAAAACCTAATTATTATTATCGGTCTGATAGTGAAATTATAGCCAATGATTAAAACCAATGCTTTTGCATCCTGTTTTTAGCTCAGGCACACACTGCAGCACGTATGGAAGTGTGAATACTGTAGTGCATGCAGTGTGTGTAGTGTTGAGGGACAGTGAGCTGGATATGAAGGGGCAGGTGTGTTGTGAGCTCAGGTGTCTTTATCAGTCCTGCTGAGGGTGGACAGTGCAGAGTAGCGCTCAACCAATCAGACTACTACAGTCACACTGACCAGTCACTCTCACACACACACACAAACGCTCACAAACGATTGGCCTCTAGATACACACACCATTCTGTTACTGTCTTTAAGAGGGATCTTCGATCGATTCCGATACCCGAGCTCAGGATATCTGCTGATACAGAGTACCAATCCATTTTTTTTCTTCTTCTTCAAATGAAGAGAGAATTCCAAGCTATGATAGATGTATTTTTAAGAAATTTTGGTAAATAAGAATTTTTAAAGTGAGGCACACTGGACAAGCATTTCAATTCAACCATATTCTATAAATGTATTGTTGGACTTCAAAGTCTTGATTGATCATTGTAGACACCTTAACCATTACCTCACACTGCAAAACTGGTCTGAAGCACAACAGAATCAGGAAAGACCTCTTTTGTCATGCTTTGTTAAAACAAAAGTTCTAGGTTCTGACTGGTACTATAGCACGTTTAGAGGGCAGTAGTGAGTAACGTTAGTGTATTTTATGTTTGTTAACACCTTTAGAGGGCAGTAATAGTTTATTTGATGTTTGTTAATAATACCTTAGAGGGCTGCGGTGAGCAGTATTTGTTTATTTAATGTTAGCACCTGTAGAGGGCAGTATTGAGTAATGTTTGTTTATTTGATGTTTGTTAATAACACCTTTAAAGGGCAGCAGTGAGTAATGCTTATTTGATGTTTGGTAATAACACCTTTAAAGGGCAGCAGTGAGTAATATTTGTTTGTTTGATGTTTGGTAATAACACATTTAAAGGGCAGCAGTGAGTAATATTTGTTTATTTGATCTTTGTTAACACATTTAAAGGGCAGCAGTGAGTAATATTTGTTTGTTTGATGTTTGGTAATAACACCTTTAAAGGGCAGCAGTGAGTAATATTTGATGTTTGTTAACACATTTAAAGGGCAGTGGTGAGTAATGTTTGATGTTTGTTAATAACACATTTAAAGGGCAGTGGTGAGTAAAGTTTCATGTTTGTTAATAACACATTTAAAGGGCAGTGGTGAGTAAAGTTTCATGTTTGTTAATAACACATTTAAAGGGCAGTGGTGAGTAATGTTTCATGTTTGTTAATAACACATTTAAAGGGCAGTGGTGAGTAATGTTTCATGTTTGTTAATAACACATTTAAAGGGCAGTGGTGAGTAAAGTTTCATGTTTGTTAATAACATTTAAAGGGCAGTGGTGAGTAATGTTTCATGTTTGTTAATAACACATTTAAAGGGCAGTGGTGAGTAAAGTTTCATGTTTGTTAATAACACATTTAAAGGGCAGTGGTGAGTAAAGTTTCATGTTTGTTAATAACACATTTAAAGGGCAGTGGTGAGTAACGTTTGTTTATTTGATTTTCTTATTTAAAGAAAATGGAGAAGGAGGGCAAGTGACAGACAAGAAAGAGAATGTGGAGGAAGAGCAAGAGTAATGGGGAGGGACAGAAGATGGGCGAGAAAGGCATAGCAAAAAAAGATGATAGTGAGATAAAACAGCAACAGAAATGAGCAGGGAAAGAAAAAGGGAAAAATGAAATGGTAAAGAAAGGGTGGATGTAATAGAGGCACAGAGAGGCAATGCAAGTGTAAGGGAGAAAGTTGAGGGAGAGAGAGTACTTGTTTAGTTGGAATGGTGTGACTGAGATGGAGATTGAGTGGTTTCTAAAGGTAGCTGTTCACTCTGAGAAGAGGCGTTTGGCAGCGTTTCTCTCAGTTAAGCAGTTTAGCAGAGAGGCTAAGTGCCCCGCAGTGGGGGGCTGGGGGTGGGCAGCACAGACATAATGTCAGGAAGTTATGTTGCCATGGGACACATTTAAGGGCTGCATGATGTTTTATATTTCTATCGTCGTGATTGAGGTTTCCTCAGTAACACAGCGCAAAGGGCTGAGAGAACAGAACATACAATAACTAATAATAATTATAATAACACCAACACTCAGATGACATCACCAGCACACAAAACGAAATCTTCCACAGCAACTGAACAGCTACCCTAGAGTAGTGTACTCCAACTATTAGCTAAACATGGTACTGATCTAAGGCCCTGTATCAATAGGGCTTGATTTAAGTGGGGGATGCAAGGGGTTGCCATCCCCTTGGTTAAATAAAAATGATAAAACCATCCTTCATTCTGTCCCCTTTGGGTCTCTGCAGATATCTATTATCAATATTTTCTTTCTTTCTATGTATTATCAATATTTTCATAGTCATATGTGAGATTTACACACTGCGGGAGTCCTTTATGTAAAACAAACAAGGTCTGATCGCAGTACAGAATGCAGAAGTGGTGATAATTTAGAATCCATGGGTATGTGTGCTGTACCACTCTACAACATAACCAATGAAAGCGAAAGCGAGCACACCCGTGGTCAGGTTTGGGGGGGGGGTGTGCATCAGCGGGGATCAAACACATGATCTTCTGATGATGGGGCTAATGCTTAGACAGTTGCACTGGTGGGTGGTTTTTAAGCAAACATTGCACTGGGGATTTTTACCGGACCTGGCAATCCTGCCCCCTGTAAAGAACACTAAAAAATACTGCAACATCTGTGAACTATCTTTAAAAAGAAACACAGGTGCGATAACCAGCATTAACCAGTAAGAAAAGTTTGAAGTCACTGAAAGTTGTTGTTCCTGCTTTAGAGTTTTCTCAAGGATGGAAGATGGCTTTGTTAAATAGCTGAACATTTTACAAGAAACCTCCAAATAAGTCAGAGTATGAAAGGGGATGCAACTGACCTGAATGCTAACTGATGACAGGAAAGCTCACAAAGGCAGTTTGATTCAAAATCTCTATAAAGAGGGGTGTTCTCTATAAATTCCAATTCGCTGGCTAATATTAATGAAAATGGAAAATGATACCATTGTTGTCATCTACCAGTAAATAACCATGAAAAAATAGTTCTTGTGTTGCCTTCAGTCAGAGACAAATTGAAGTTGTATACAGTTGTATGCAAAAGTTTCAGCACTCCTGTTCAAAGCTTGTTTTAATAAGTTAACACGTCTTTATCATACACCTACATTTGGTGTTCTACTGCAAAGTTTAATGTACAATTTTATTTAAATAAAATCTAAAAAGTGGCATAACTTTTGCACAGAACATTTTTTTTTTATGGTATATATGGCAAATAAACATTACTGGACATTACAATTGTACTTGTAAAATTGTAAGTTGTCACTTGTCTAACACTGTGATATCCAACAACTTCATCTTACTTGGCTGCCCTAGACACATTGATCCTTAGATGAGATTTTTGTGTTTCCAGGTGAGCCCTGACTTTATCCGCAGTGGGGAGTTCACTCTGGAGAGGATGGGGGTTGTGTATAAGGCCAAAGCCCACCTGAAGTCTCAGTTCGACCCAGAGAACAAGCGAGTGAAGGGCATCTACAGCACAGACTAAAGACTTCCTCCGCAGCCTGCAGGGACTGAATGTAGAATGGCCTTCATGTACAGCGGTCCACTTTAGGACTGTAACAGCAGGGCAGAATGCCCCCCTCAGTTCTGCATTAATGTTTAATATCTAAGGGAACTGTGTGAGCCGAGCAAGTCAGAAAACTGTGCCATATTTTAAAACGAAAAGAACAATGTCTTACGTCTTAAGCAGACATCAAAATGTATGACTTGTTATAGAATTTTCTATCAAAAGCATGGTCGATTGAAATTTTACAATGAAACTTGAAGTATTAAAGCACTACTTAATACCATACTTAGTAGGGCTAACTATATATATATATATATATATATGTGTATATGCTTTTGTTAGTTTGCTGCTCTTTGATTTAACCATAGATCTCCTGTCCAGCACAGTCTGCTGAAGGTATCACTTAAAAGCTGCATTTGAACGAGAGGACTACAATCACAGATTCTCTCATAATGCAGCTGAGCTTCTGAAGGGTCAAACTAAAACACTGGATTAATGTTACTAAATTAGTGTCATTAATAATTTTATCGCGTTGATGCATCATAGTTGCAAATACTGACAGCCCTACAAATTACACATTTCACATTAACCTGAGCCAGGCATCCTTTTTTATTCTGGTTTGAAAGTGTAAGCCTAAAACTTTATTCCTTGTGTCAGTACTTATAAGAACTTGAAAAATATCATGTAACGTATGTAGTGCATGAATTTATTACTTTTTCAAATTCATATGAAGATCACATTTGCCTCACTAATGTTTGTTTTTTCCAAACTGTGAAAAATCGGTGTTGTAGACATTCTCTATGTACCAACATTCTCTATGTACCAAAATAAATTACCACATAATTAGCTGTGCTGTCTGTTTTCCTGACTGAAGTTCATCTTCTAATCTGTCTTAATCTGATACATTGACGCATTGGCAATTAATTTATCAGCAATAAAAGCAAACAGTAATGTGCTGAAATGTCTTCAAGATCAAAAGAGTTTTGATGGTTTATTTCTTTTTTTTTTAACAATGTCATTTTAGGACTTTGCATTACTTTTAAAACCACCAAAGCAGGAATCTAAATAACTTGCTTATTAATTTAAATAAGTAATATAGTGATACAGTTCTGTCATGCTGTTAGTGATTAGTTTATGATGCCCATGCTGCCATTGAGCTGAGGCTAGACGAGCTGGTTTTAGCCAGTGTGGTCTGGCTGCACCTCTGTAGGTCCAGTGCTCCATGGTGCTGTCCGGCCAAGCTCACACGGGTATGGCCAACGTTGGAGCTCCTCTAAAACCTCAGGAATCTTCTGCTTCTCCCAGTCTCCCTGAATTAACACAAATAGCATCGAGTGTTTGTGCATTTAATATACATATATTGATTCTGTTAACTCAAACTCAACCTTCAGGCTTATTATTCATTTATTGATCTTGAAACTTAGTAAATACTATGAAACAAAAATGTACATTCTGTAGTGTTATGAAAGTGAGGAATTGAAGTTATAATCCCCCAACTATGGCTACTTTTTTTGTTGACCCAAACAACAGAATTCCCACTGATTTTTCAAAATGTCTGCATATTTAAATTATTAAAATGTAAACAAATCATTCTGAGTAGTTTTATGTGAAAATGCTTCCTTAGCACAGGAACCAGACATTTGAAGCGTTTAATGCCTCTAAAGGCTACTTTTTATAAACTTTGACCACTTACCAACTTACTCGCTGACTTACAGACTTACTAACTCACTTACTGATTTACCTACTGATCACTACAACTTACTGAATAACCTACTGATGCACTTCGACTTATTTACCTACTGACTCACTCACCGACTTAGACTTACTTACCTAGTTTCCTACTGACTCACACACTGAATTACTGACGGACTGACTGACTCACTTTCAGACTTACTAACTTACTGACTCACTGACATACTTACTGACTTTATGACTGACTCACTCACTAACTTACATAATGACATAGAGATACTGACTCACTTACTGACTTGATTTACCTACTGATTCACTTACTGAATGCCTGACTCCTTACTTGTTGACTTACTGATTTACCTCCTGACTCACTTATTAACTGACTTTCTTTTTGAATGCCTGACTCACCGACTTACTGACTAACTTACTGACGTATTTATTATCTACTGACTTCCCAGCTTACTAACTAACTTCCTTACTTACTGACATATACACCATGTCTGTGAGGTGTAAATAGTGATGCAGAAGGAGCTACAAAGCTATCACAGAAGATGACTTTTAAAAAAGATGTAAACATTGGCTTTAAAAATCCCAAAAAAGATTTAAGAAAAGGTTTTAAGAAAGGATGGACTAAGTCTGGAGTTCAGCTACACTACTCACAGGGAAGAGCTCAGCTGTGGACTGATTACAGTGCATGGAGATGGGGGAGGTGGTGTAGAGGGAGTTCAGCACCCCCTCACTGAACGAGTCCCAGGACACAGAGGAGAACTCCTCCTCTACAGTTTTCTGGGAACAGCTGCAGCCCTCTCCTCCGTGGAACCTGGCAGCAAGAGCGCCACAGGGTATTCAGTTAATGCTCAGACCAAGCATTTCCGGCTACTGCCAATGGTCAGTTTTTCTGGTGCTTAAAATCAAGTTTTCTGCTACTTTGTCTTTTTAGAACAACAAAGTGGCAGTCCCAGCACTGAAATTAAATGACACTGCGCAAAAACACAAGTATTTTTTTTTTTTAATAGCTGCACAGTAGATTCGTAGGTTTATTTGTATTTGTAGGGTTTTGATGTGAATTGCTCTGTTCTAGAGAAATTTACCGAGTCAGAATTGTTTACAGTGGTGATAGGAACCAGACATTTGAAGAGATTAATGCCTCTTAAATGTCCCTCACAGAGACACACATGTAGGTTCACTGGTGGTTTTGGACAGTAGATATAATGACTATATTTGTCTTATAACATCGCAAACCGTGGTTCCTGTACCACGGTTTACAGTGGCACCACCACTGTAAAGAAATCCAAGCTCTTACATTTCTGAAACAAATCTGTAAAAATGAAGCACAAACCATTGTCAACATGATGTAAATTGTATCTGTACCTGTTAATGAGGCTGAAGTATTTCTGCAGGTAGCCTGGTTCCACATGGCTCTTGCACAGCTCCAGTTGTGTGCGCGGGTAGTAATGCACGTAGTTCACACACATCTCCTCCATGATCCCAAACCCACCCTACAAACACACAGAGGCACAAAGAGTTTCCAAAAAGTGTTGCTGCCCCACATTATAAACTTTCAGCTTGTATCTATACCCTGGAGTGGCTTGTTGTGATTTGAATGTACTATAATGGAGTAGCTGAGGTGATGTAAGGAGAGTGCATTTGGGACACTCAGCAACAGCTTAAAATGAATTTTAAATGCATGTTCACAGTCCAGAACAGAAATTCTCACTGATCAGTCATCTACTGATCTTTTTATCTATTGGCTGTTAATATTAAAGATGAGGATAATAAAATGTTCTAAGCCTGGAAGTGCTTACCACGCTGACAGAGCCGAGCCCGAGCTGTAATCTCTCCATGGGTGTTTACTGGCCATTCAGAGAGATTTAAACATGTGTGCCAGCTTGTAGTCTGTAGCCCAAGGGGTCCAACTTCTCAGAAGTGCGTGTATGTGTGTGCGTTTGTGCTCATTTTATGCATGTTTGCTTATTTATCTTGTCTGCAGGCTCATTAACCTTAAACTACAGGCGACCTCAGTCAGTGTGTGGGTATGTAGATGTTGGCTTACTTTACCCATTGCTGACATGCGTCTCCAAATGTGCACAAACAGCTTCTATAATGTCCATAGAAAAGCACTGATTAATAGAATGGGACACTCTGGGGCAGCCACACGTGAGCCTAAGGTCACCATACGTAATGCTAGCCATCAGCTAGCACTCGGCTGTGAAGCAGTGGAACTGCATTCTGTGGAGTGATGGAGCTCCACCCAGTACCTTTGGGTTGAGTTGGAGTGATCAAACCTAATCATCCAAGTCACTAATGCTCTTGTGGCTTAAGACAATCAGATCCTCACAGCAATGTTGCAAAATCTAGTGTAAGTCTTCCAAGAAGAGTAAAGGCTGTTACTGCAGCAAAGTGGGGACAAACTTCCTATTAATGCTCTTGATATAAGGAGAAACTTTGAATGAGCAAGTGTCTACAAACTTTTGGACATACACTGCATTGTGGAACGTTCTCAGGAAAACGGGTTTACCAGAGCATCTCAATGGGTCCCCAACCGTTCTTAAGAAGGAATGTCAAACAGTTTTTACGAAGATTCTGACATTCACCAGTGTTTTCTTATTTGGGTTTGTTCTTAGGTAAGAACAGAATCTACACACTCAACAGCACAAAGTTGTGAACAGTTCTGCAGTTTAAGAACACGTCATGATTCTGATGTAGACTTTTCTTAGGACCTTTCTCAAGAACACATTTCAGAAAAAACATTGTGAAAGAGGCCCAATGTTCTAATGAAGAACCACTGCACTGATCAACAAGCTACAGACAGAAAGTGGACAAACAGACAGGTTCCACATCAGCCAAGGACTTTGGCAAGGCTGCCTACCTTCACCATAGTTGTTCAGCGTGTATGCTGAACACATAATATGAGAAGCAGGACTACAGGAAGATGACCAAGGATGGTCAATGTGTATCGTGAAAATATGCTAACTGCACAAATATCATGATATTTATGTGATGTTGCCCCCCCTTACATGCACACTTATGTATTTGTGCACGTGTACAATGTTTTCAGACTCACCACTGTAGGTTTGTCCCTGTCCTCTGTGTTGTACGTACATTTCGTCACAAGGGCATCACCCTGAGTGAGGAAAAAAGAGACCTCCTAATCAGCTTCAACAATGCTCTATTTGCAGAAGATTATTTAAAACCTTGTTCTTGCAGCCGTTTGGCAGGTCTATATGAAGCTGGCAGCTCTCGCTGTGTGTGTGGGAGCTGATATTGACAGTCTAAATGCAGTAGATCTGTTCTTTTGTTGGTGGCTTGCTGCCTCCAGGCATTTCCTGTGATGTCTGTGTTATCGCTCCCTTTTTTTCAGTCTAAATACAGCCCTTCTTTTAGTGCACAACACTCGCTCTTCTCTATAAGTGAGCACTGCTGGAGGAGGAACTTACTGGCAGAACAGTCACCATCTTTCTCAGGATGCGGATTATCTGCAACAGCAACAGAGAACTGTTAGTGTCAGGAATACAGTACGATCTAAGCACCTTCTTTCTTAATGCATGTTCTCATTTCGCTTTATTAGCTCTGACTTTTTGTGGATGATTAGCCTCTTCTGAGGTGAAGTCAGTAATATTCTAATTATTAACAAGTGAACAAGCAGAGCTAACCTCTGCAGACAGGTTTCTGGTGATGTTTCTGGTTATTAAACTCTATAAATTATGTAGGAACGCAGTGAGCATCAGAGGAGTGTAATCGAGTGTACACATGCGTTAGGGTCTGTGTGTGTGTGTGTGTGTGTGTGTGTGTGTGTGTGTGTGTAGGCACATATGCACATTTATGTATTTGCATACATAATCACATTTCTTCATGTGTTGGTGTCTGTACAGTACTGTGCGAAAGTCAGGCAACAATGGCAAGAAATGTCATAACATTTTGCACTTGGTCAAAGATGTAATAAAACCCAACAATGTAATACAATGTCTTAACTGATAACGTAATACTATTTTCACTGATAACGTAATACTGTATAGCATTATTTGGGAATTATAACATTTTCAGGTTGATTCATGTTATATGCTAAAGCAATTAGCCAAAAGAGGCCATGCCTTACTGCGATTTTATCACGGGGAAGGGGGTTCTGAGGAGCGACGTGAAGCGGCCAACATAAACTATGATAAAATACACAGTTTTTCAGAAAGTAACTTAAGTTATTATTAATAATAATCGACATAAATAAGTATTCCGCCAAGAAATGTAGTTCCTTTAGCGCGCTGTGTCGTTGCCAAGCAACCATAGACCGTTGAAAGAGGAGAAGAACGTTCAGTCGCCCGTTGCTGTATATTCATTTCATTTCGGTCATTTCATTAACTTTTTAACTTTTTTAACATAACAACATAAGATTGTTTAATGCAAAAACGTTTTGCTTTATAAGTACTTTTTGCCACCAAATTCCCACCGAGTCGTATTTAGCACCAATCCAACGGAGCCCCACTTCTCCTGCTGGGGCTGAATCTCAAATGGACGTGGCACTAGCTACGTAGGAATTTAAATACCTGTTCCTGCACCCCGACAGTGAATAATATAGCTACAAAATAGTCATCTTGGATTTAGATCCATACCGAAAAAATGATGTACTATTTGGTTGTCGAGGCTATAACTTTTAAACTTCCATAACTAGCTAACGCTAGCTAGCACACTATTTGGGAGTACGGATCCGTTTGGAATTCAGCCTGGGTTTGACGCTACTTCTGACTGAAACACGGACATTTGAAGTCATTCAAGTGACGTTCTTTAGAGCTTTATACCGCCGTTTCACAGTGAATCATATCATAAGAACTTTCATCTCGTAGCCAGTTTGCTAGCTAGCTGATCACCCTAGTTCTAGTTAAGAAAATAGGGTGCCAGTCGCTTAGTTTAAACAAAAAAACGGGTTCTTACTTAATCAATACACTCGTTGGTTCCTCCGAACAGCAGCAGAGTCAAAGATTAATCCATTAACAGCACAAGGGTTTTTCGTGCCGTGGCGCAGTAATACAGAGTTCAGTCGCTGTGAGGCGGTCATTAGTGCGTAAGTATCGCCTGGATTTCTCAGCCAATCAGATTTTAGAACCGGAACTACCCCTTTTATAAAACACATTATTAAATTGTTGGGACTTTTTTGCAAATAGATGATGTAATACTTCAGTCTGATAATGTCACACTGTGGAATTTAGTCAATATTCTACATTTTGGGCCATATTTAGCAACTTTCATCATCTGAATGTGCTGTCCAGAAATTCAAGTTAACACTGACTTAGCACAAGTCTGAATATTGGTAACCTTCCCTGTGTATCTACTGATCACTGAATGTGTTTGATTACTTGAACAGTGAGAAGCAGAAAATTCAACCAACTTCTTAGACTGAACTTTGAAAGTGTGGAAAATATCCCTGCAGATAAAAAAAAACTGAAGGTGAGTCTCCTGAAAAGAGAAGCTGTAATGAAGGCAAAGACTGGACACACTAGATACTGAAAAATCTGATATTACATTTAGTTGTTGAGGCTTTTTATTTTCTGTAAAATCTGTTTTCTGCTTTCTTTCCTGACTCTGAAAAATGAACTTGTGCTTAATGGCTGTTTTGACTGGAAATTAAATGAAGGGTGGTCTAACTTTTGCACAGTACTGTATGTGTGTACTTATCCATGTTTGTGAGCATGCATGTTACCTGATAGTGTGTGCTGTAGTGTTTATCCTCCTGCACCACTTCCACCTCTTTTCCTCCTCTCACCAGCACAGTCCTGACCGTCCTCCCAGCCAGGTGAGTGTGCAGCTGTGAGGCAAAAATATGGATCCCTCCAGGAGGCAGAGCCTGCAGGAGAGAGACACCAGAGCGATGAGGATTCACATTAGCAATGAGTGAACGAGCTGACAGCACTTCATCTCTACACATTCAACTCAGTTTCGGAGTCACTGGAGTTCAACTTGCTGCTCTGTGAAGCAACAAATTTACAAATGATGACTAAACGAGCCATTGCTGTGGTTACTTACGCTGAAAACAGGATTTTCAACCAATTATCATCAACACATTTCTTTTTAGAGCTACATTTATCTGCAACAGAATTGGTTTTATATTGATTAAACCTTTAAATGGTACTGTAGCTCAGCTAATATGAAATTAAATAGTACATTAAAGTACGTAAGTATTATAACTTTGCTTATGCTAAATGGACACTAGGTTAGCAGTACTAGCAGGAAGCTGACCGTGCGGGTGCATGCGGCTGTGCAGTAACCGGTGAGTGGAAAGGAGCGCTGGTGTGGAGGGATCGCCATGACAGGAGTATAAACCAGCCCCAGCTCCATGATCCCTGCATCAGACCGCCTCAGAGATGGAGTGTACCACAGACGGATACCCGAGGAGTCACGGCGACCTGTCACAGAAAAAGAAACTGCAATGTTAAAGCAGAGTAAAAATTATACAGTTCTTACAGCACAATCTGATTGGTTGAGAAGCATTTTAGGTCTAGTACTCTAGTTCAAGTATAAGTATTGGTACTATCTAATGTATGTAATGTATTCATTTTCTATTGTTGCATGTGGTAAAATAGAAACGTTACGGTTAGTGAGTCGTTACCTAGTAGCCAGTAATTATACAGTTATTGTAGCTCGGATTACAGATCACAGATGTATCACATATTAACAAGTTTAACCCCATGACAGAAATGAGCTCTCACTGTTGTTTAGCATGGTTGGATAATATTAACTGGCCCTTTATTAGTTATGAAACTTCGTCAGTCATGTTAGCAGCAGAGCTTTAAGACTGAAGAAAGCAGAGAAGACACATTGTCTCATCCTAAATGGAACATGAACTTTGTAATTAATTTTAAAAGTTTGGGCCTAGATAAAGAGCTTTTAAGCAGCAGGAGTGAGGAACTTATTTTAGAAGAGTGAGGAGGAGGACAATCCAGCGGCTCGCAGGTGAAGAGGTGGTTACAGCAGAAAGGCTATGAGTCATAACAGAGTAACAGAGTAGCGGAAATCGAAGAGGCTTAATTGGTTCTGTTTTAAGGGTGTCTGACATAGTGTGTTTCTGTGTGTGTGTGTGTGTGTTTATGTGTGTGTGTGTGTGTGTGTGTGTGTGTTATACTGACCGTGTCTGTGTGTTTCTCTGTGTCTACATCTTCAGGATAAAAAATGTCCTGACTTTATAGGAAACCCAGAGAAAGACAGCACTAATCTACAGGACCAACAAAACCATTTCTTTAATTTGCTGAGGTTACAGTTTGTTCTAGCTTTAGTGTTGGGCATAGAACATTCTTATTATACATACATATAGTGTATATAGGACACATTACATTACATATAGGTACTTGCGTACATTTCACTAAAACCAACTTCTTGTTTCTATACTCACTGTCCATTTTATCAGCTCCACTTACTATATAGGAGCATTTTGTAGTTCTACGATTACAGACTGTAGTCCATCTGCTTCTCTCCATACTTTGTTAGCCCCTCTGTTCTTCAATGGTCAGAGCCCCACAGGACCACCACAGAGCAGGTGTTATTTGGGTAGTCGATCATACTCAGCACTGCAGTGACACTGACTTGGTGGTATGTGTTGCGTTGCTCTGAGTGGATCAGACACAGCAGTGCTGCTGGAGTTTTTAAACACCTCATTGTCACTCCAGGACAGATATGATAGTTACCCAACCCACCAAGTCCTGTGGGCAGCGATGAAGGATGAGAGGATGATCAACACAAACTGTGCAGTGTCTAATAGAGTGGACAGTGAGTGGACACAGAGTTTAAAAACTCCAGCAGCACTACTGTGCCTGATCCACTCATACCAGTGCAACACACACTAGTGCTGAGAATGATCCATGACCCAAATAATACATGCTCTGTGGTGGTCCTGTGGGGGTCCTGACCATTAAAGAACAGGGAAAAAGGGGGCTAACGAAGTATACAGAGAAACAGATGGACTACAGTCTGTAATTGTAGAACTACAAAGTGCTACTAAATGGTAAGTGGAGCTGATAAAATGGACAATGAGGGTAGATACAAGGAGGTGATTTTAATGAAGTGGCCGGTCAGTGTATATAATGCATAATACAATATAATACATAATACATTTATAATTTTTTTTTCTACATTATTTCAACATGGCAGCTGTCCTTTATATTGTGTGAAAATTAATGATGAATGGACCAATAGAAATATATATATATATATATATATATATATATATATATATATATATATATATATATATATATATATATATACTTTTACATATAATACACATAAGACACATGCAAGCACTCCACATTCTGACACTGTATAAAACAATCCTGTGCGGGTGTACCTGAAATGAGAAGTGGATTGTGATAGTGAACTTCCAGACGAAGAAACCTTGAGGAGCCTTCTCCCCCCAGAGGCAGACCGGCATCAGAGGGGTAGTAGAACGGCTAAAACACACACACGCTCAGACTTTAATCATACCTAAGGTGTTTCTATGATTGATTGGCTATGATGCTTCTTAATCATCCTTCATAGATCAGCTGAGAAAGTTTGCCAGCGCTGACTCAACCAGAGCAAGAATAGCACTGTACAATCACGCAACGTCCTCTTAGCTATGCCTGCTGTGATGGACACTGAACCCATTTGTAAGGTGAAATGTAACCCTTCGTGGGTCTTCTTTTAAAAGCCTTGAAAAACCCAGTCCAGCGATTGCTTTACATAACCGGCCTGTATTCTTCCTCCTCCACTTGTTCTCTCCTCCACTTTCTCTCTCTCTCTCTCTCTCTCTCTCTCTTCTCTGTTTCTCAGTCTCTCTTGCTCTTATTCTGTGTTTATCTCCTCTTTCGCTCAGGAAATTAAACACATATTTCCTTTTGGATGTGAAAAACAAATTAGTGTGATGAAAAAGGACAGAAACATCATTCTATTAAAAAAAAAAGAAAACAAAAAACAAAACAAACGAACAGGCTTCAATATTTCCAGCCTGCATAATCTCATATCTACAGCTTGACATTGCCAGCCAGCAGAAGCTATGATTTGTGTTAGTTTTGCTCCAGTGTAATCCAATTGGACCCTAATTCTCTCTCTCTCTCTCTCTCTCTCTCTCTCTCTCTCTCTCTCTCTCTCTCTCTCTCAGTATCAGGTCCAGACTCTGCCAGAACGCCTCTGCTCTCCGATCAGCTCTCAGTGTCACTCCAATCCCTGACTGGCACCTAGCGAGCGTGGGCGATCTATCTGCCTGCCTGTGCGTATCTTTAGCTTAGGATGCTGCTCTGGATCTCAGCAGAGGACTCTACTCTAGCCTGTCAATCAAATGACACCATTATAAAAAAACAACACCAGGACAGTCAGAGTGATGAAGATAATCATACTCAAAACAGTATCATAGAGGGAGGAAGGTCATACGACTTCACTTGATTGACTACAGTAATTTTATATACATTATATATGCATTAGGACAGTCTTATATATAGAATGTGTGTAATACATGTTTTTTTTTGCTATTGTAGCATCCAGCTCTCCCATTGGGAAATTCCCTTGTCTGTCTGTGAATCTATTTGTCTGTCTGTCTGTCTGTCTGTCTGTGTAGTCTGTCTATTTATGTATATATCTGTTATTCTGTCTGTCTATCTATCTATCTCTATCTCTCTTCCTAGATGTCTGTCTGTCTGTCTGTATCTGTCGGTCTGTCTGCCTGCCTGTCGATCTAGATCTATCTATCTTCTAATCTACTAGTAACATTAAATCCATGCAGTGACTGTAAAGTCTCATTTTAAGTGTAGTCATTATATACAGTTAGAAAGTGCTTATATACAGTATCCCAGTTGAAGATGTGAGCACTGTGTTTATTTTGCAACTGATCACAAAAGAGAAAACATTGGTTATCTTTTCTAGTTCTATAGTCTGGTTTTGTCAGTAATGTTCCATTCAGTAACTACAGCTATGGGCTCCCTGTCAGTGGAATCCAGTTTTACTTCTGAATTGTTGTGTACTTTTGACTTCTAGCTTTTCTAACCATTGTTAGGTCATTTAAGGCTGGATTATAGAGGCTTTCTGAGGCAGCTTCAGAATGCTTTTCCTAAATAATAAAAGCCTTTGCTTTGAAAATGATTTTTTAGTAATTTCTTGGCTGTGTTACTATTTATGGTTTTGGATTTAATTGATGTTGCATAACATGTACTTAGTATGTCTGCTACCAATAAAATAAAGATATTTTTGCATTCTGTCATTAACCAGTACACCTTCTCATCTCAGACTGTGGATTAGGAAGAACTGTTATCGCAAATAATTGAGAACTGGCATCGCTGAGGTGATTAGGGTGGTTGTTTGTAATGGATAATTACATCTCTTTATATTTTATAATGTTGATTTTTAGTTGTAGATATCATTGGATGTGTTTATGTGACATTTCAGAGTTACAAAACTGAATAAACAGCATGTTCTTTAAGTCTGCATGGACAGTAACTGTGAAACTAGTGAGCTGTATTTTTGGGTGGTCTGTGTTCACCTCCGCTCCCAGGGCCCACGCAGCTAGGACATGGCGGCAGTAGTTGAGCTTCCGTGGCTTCATTTTGGAGTCGCAGGAGCCGCTGTACTGAGGGACGGTGTCCATTTGTGGAGAGCATTCGAAAACCTCAATATGATGCACGATGGCCTCATTACCGGGGGTTACGACAGCTTCATACTGCAGGGGAAAAATTTGTTTATTTATTCTTTAATTATTGAGGTAGCAATCTCACTGACTGCTTTCTGAGAGATTTTAAGCATGAGCGTTCAAAAATGAATAATGATCTTATAACATTTAGATGTACAGTACATTTAACAGACACAGTGGTTTGTTTGTCAACATAGTGTTTTTTGAAACGGCAAAGCAACAGTGTCCAAATAACTGATTCTTAATGAGTTTTGCTGCTGTTGATAATCCTGCAGAGTTTTATTGCGGCCCTAATGTTTAGAGGAGAAAAAATTCAAATATCATAAAATTTTAGGTGAAAAAACAACATCGATACATGCAGTTCTCAAAGTTTTATTATTCACTTAATAATATTTGTAATGCATACAAAGCCAATTGGTGCACTAAATAGACTAAAACTGAAGTCCACCAAGGCTTTCATCAGTGGTGGCACTGATAGGAGGAAGTTATTTACTTCTAATAGGAAGTTATAACTTTATTAGATAAAACATTTTAAGCAGAGCATTTGTTTTGTTTTGGAGCCATAATTTACAGTCAGAAGTAATAAACTGCAATTTACTGTAATATTTAATCACAAATCTTCATAAATTATATCATGGCACAAGTATTCTGATTCCTCTGTTCAGATGTTCCTGAGGGCACAACAAAGTCAACCAGGTATGTAACTTTAGGTAAAAGTCAATGTAAACATAACTACATTAATATAATGTAATCACAATAATGTAAATGTCAATGTAATGAATATAAATATAATTATATTAAAGTGAATGTAATAGAATGTAATTGCATTAGAGTAAGTGTAAATGCAATTGTATGTGTAATACAGTTACATTAGTGTAAATGTATTTGTAAAAGTAATGTAATTACAGTAGTGTAAATGTGAATGTAAAGTAATTAATGTAAATATAATTACATTAAAGTAATTGTAAAAGAATGTAATTGCATTAGAGTAAGTGTAAATGTAATTGTAAAAGTAATACACTTACATTAGTGTAAATGTAAATGTAATGTAATTATTGTAAATATAATTACATTAAAGTTAATGTAACAAAATGTAATTGCATTAGAGTAATTGTAAATGTAATTGTAAATGTAATACAATTACATTCCTGTAAATTTATTTGTAAATGTAACGTAATTACATTAGTGTAAACACAAATGCAATGTAATGTTATTAATGTAAATGTAATTATAAGGCAATGACATTAATGTAAATGTAATGCAAAGTAGGACCTGAATAAGACATTTTACCAACACTGAATAAAGACAGAGCATAGTCTAGAGTTGGAGTTTTTTTTAAACTTCTGCAGTGCGGAGGGAAACAAAGCAGAGTCTTAACAGCTTATGTGGCAATAACGGCAAGAGTAAAGGAAGAAGATGTAATGGAAAAGAAGAAAAGAGAGAGAGAGAGAGAGAGAGAGAGAGACAGCCACTGTGATCACTCTATTTTGGAAAAATGGAGAGAATGAAGAGACTAAGAAATGGTACGGTAATTCCCTTTCCACTTTCTCTATCTCCGTGGGATGGATGTGCTCCTCATACACAGGCGCTTTTACACGCACTGTTTAATTCCATTGCGTCAGTTGGCTTTGAGTCATTTGAGAGGATAATAAAACCACTGAGTGCTAAAGCTCTTCCCTCTAAATAAAGTGCAGGGTGAGCAATATGACAAAGACGTCAGTATTAGCAGACAAACAGAAATGCAGGATGTAAAACTCTTCACGTCAATGCCTTGAAGTCATACTCAGGTCCAAAAGCATTACTGTGACTAACATGACAGGGCTTCAATCACAGAATAAGCTTAATAGCTTATTTGTGACTTAAATTACTCCATCATTACTGATTTCCTGCTGAAACTCTCTGTTTAGTACTATATTCTTTAAAAATAAAGGTACTAAAAAGGGTTATTTGGAGCAGTGCCCTACAGAACCGTTCAATTAATGGTTCTTTAAAGGAATATTCCAGCACCTTTCAACTAAATGTTGTGTAATGTATGGCCACTTACAGCAGACAAGAATGTAGATGCTTTTTCCCACACTATAAAATAAAAGAACAGAAAACATGTTGACTCAAAACACATCTGTCCATTCTCTTATAAGTACACTTTATGGCCAAAAGTATGTGGACAGCCCTCAGTTTACTGAATTCAGGTGTTCCTGCCAAACCCATTGCTAACAGGTATACAAAATCAAGCACATAACCATGCAATCTCATAAACATTGCAGCAGCACACAAGCCTAAGATCACTATACGCAACGTCACACATCGACTGGAATGGTGTAAAGCCTGCCATCACTCGACTCTGAAGCAGTGAAAACGTGTTCTCTGGAGAAGAACACTGCCTACCAGAATATATAGTGCCAACAGTAAAATTTGGTAGAGGAGGGATAATGGGCTAGGGCTATTTTTCAGGATTTGGGCTCCTTAGTTCCAGTGAAGGATAATGTTAATGCTACAGCATACAGAGACAATTATATGCTTCCAACTTTGTGGAAGCAGGTTGGAGGATGCCCTTTACTTTTCATGCATGCCTGCCGTTTGGTTTAATGAGTTTGGTGTGGAGGAACTCCAGTTGACCAGGGAAGTTCAAACTCTTGCAAACAACTCTAAACGACTCCTTGAAAAACTTGAGTAATTCGATTACTGTCACACAGTGTGTTTATGCTGTGGACAAGTGAAGTGCAGAAGACGTGATTTGATGGCACAGAGGGCGAAATGGAGAGAGAGTGAATAGCAAGGGCTGAAGAGAGAAGACGGGCCAGAGAAAAAAACAGCAAGTGTCCAAAGTTTGGGATCATTTCAAGCTGAAAATAAACAAAAGTACAGTGTGTCCATTGTAAAAGCAAACTAGCCCACCACAATTGCACATCATTAACGCTTCAGCATCTTAGCAGAAAGCATCCAGTCTGTACATACAGTCCACAGAGTGGACATAAGGTAACATTAACGTAAATCAATATCATTGCTAGGTGAGAGGAAGGCTAGTAAAGCATGTATGTTAATTTGGCTATACATGATAGCTAGTTAAAAATGTGAATCAATATGGTGGCTGGGTATGATGTCCCTAGTTAGCTAGGCTTTGCTCAGTAACATGACCACAGACATTAAAATGCTGCATGTATTTCTCTTTTCAAAATTATTTGATTTATAATATAATAAATTATATTATTTTTTCTTTATTTATTTGATTTCCATTTTAGAAAATGAATGTAATATGACACTTAAATGCCCTAAATGTGTTTAGTTTTGACAGGTTATGTAACTGTATGCAACCTAAGCAATAGAAATGTTGATTCTTCTAAAAAGAAAATCAATTAGTTGTTCATTTTAAGAGGCCTGACTTATTTCCCAGTTTGTTTATTTAATATTGCTTATTAATAAAGTAAAGGTATTTCTTATCTGGTTACTTAATTAATTGATGGAATAGTCAGTAGAATACTAAAATAACCAATAGCTGCAGCCCTAATATTAATCCATATAAGCCATTACAAACTTTTGAATGGTACTGTATATTATGTTGATGTCCTATACTGCATGTTGAAAAAAATCTGACCATGGTGTTCTGAACATCTGTAGTATTCCCTGCTGAAGACAATTACCATAACGATGTGGTGCTTGGGCATGTTGGGGGGCAGCTGGTACATGTGGCACCAGTAGGTGGTCTCCTGGCTGGGGATGATGATGTCAGGAGCCAGAACCTCCAAGCTCCGCACATCTGGCGGCAGAGAAGGGGTGGGTGTGTCTGGACGCAGCAGCAGGATTCGCTGAACTCCTGTCTGGAGGCGGGACACATTGAGCTTCTGAAGCGAGCGAATTGGCTGATCCAGCATGGCGTAAATCACATGGACTGTGCCTTCCTGCCAATCAGAGCAGAGTGCAGACAATATAGAAACTACTGTAGTCAAGAAACCACTCTTTTTTGTTTTTCTCTTTCTAGAATGATCTACTATATTATATTCTACACTCCTAAAAAGATTTCTTCAACAGTTCTTTAGTAAAGACAATGGTTCTATACAGAATCATGAACACTCAAAGAACCATTTGCATGCTTACAAGGTTGTTTTTCTATAAAGAGTTCTATATAGCATCAAATGGGTTTCTTCTATTGTTACAAGCTTGACATCCTAACAACAACAACAGAACCCTTTTTGGTGCGATATAGAGCCATTTTCAAAAAGGACCCATATAGAACCATATATAACACATTTGCCATCCATCTGAGGAACCCTTCCACCATGCTAAAAATGTATCCATTATCCATTTAATCATGCAAAGGGCACTTTGAGTGTTCATGGTTCCATATAGAACCATTGCCTTTAGTAAAGAACCCTTGAAGAACCATCTTTTTTGAGAGTGTACAGAAACACACAACTAAATAAATTCCTCTATGCACATAGACACCCATTAACTGCCCCCTTCTATGTCTTTCGAGGTGCACGCTGCTTTAGTTTCCACATTGAGCTTCAGGTTCATCAAAGTGTCTTCCTTGGTATAAAGAGCAATTTGTGCCTAAATAAAGATTTGACGGTTTTCTACACCATTGTTAAAAGTACAGATTAAAACTCTTTTGGCCCAAAGCTGGCCCAAAACACCTGACAGGTTTGAGAGCTTATTAGCGCTAACACCACCACACAAGGGGAAAATGTGTGGCCTTTGGCATTGTACCTTCAGCATAACAGATTTTGCAAAGACAAATGGCAAAACTTAAACTGCTTTGTATTTAATATGTTAGGTGACACTTTTAAAAATACAGGTTCCTAAAAGATTCTTGGCTTGGACAGTTACAGTTCTTGGCTTCTATCGAATACGATCATTATATTTTGCCAACTTTGCAAAGCTAATGTGGTTCTTGAATAAATAAAGATCCTGAATGGTTCTCAGCTTGGATGTACAGTTCTTGGGACAAAAAAACTTTAATTGGTGTGAAGCCTTTACATTATCGGGAGGATCTTTAAACTTTATGCAGTTCAACACATTTACAGTGACATTGCTTTAAACAACCCTAGGTGTATCTTCATGTGTTGTGTAGTACTATATGCCTCTATGACGTAGTCGTTGGGGTCACAGGTGTTGAAGGGTCTCCTGAAGAGCAGAGTGAATCCTTTAGGAGAGTTCTGAGCCTCCAGCAGCTGGTAATCCTGCTGACGGTCTAACGTCACCCTGCCTTCAGCATCACTCCATGCATCCTATACACACATACATTTGCATTAATTCAATTCAGTTACAATTCCTCAGCAAACATTCAGTGCATCACAAAATCTGTAATCGCAACATGGCATTAATCGCAGCATGGCATAAGATGCTTTATGAAGTAAATGACATTGTATTGACATGAGTTTTCTCAGAGTGAAGTGATGGACATTTATCACATTTATAACACTGTAAGTGAAGTGTCACTCCCATTCCCATTCCAACTAAACCTTTAAGGCAGAGGTCTAGTTGAGAACACAATATCAGATATACCCCTTGAACTTAATTATGTTGATGTAAAAATCCCTCTTTAATAGACATTATACATTGTACTGTAACTTAAATAGAAATATATGGCACTGTGAGGAGTTTGGATATAAGGGAAAACAGGACTTTCCAAAAACAAGACCTCAGAGTCACTAAATGTTTTTGGGATTACTTGAATGGTGAGAAGCAGAAAATGCTAAACCAACTTCTAAGACTGAACTTCAGAGGTGTGGAAAAATATCCCTGCAAATTTCTCTGAGAAACTGAAAGTGAGACTCTTGAAATAAATAGAAGCTGTAAAGGCAAAGAGTGAACACACTAAACACCAAAACATTTGATATTATATTCGGTTGTTGAGGTTTATGTGTAATTTTCTGTTAAATATGTTTTCTGCTTCTTTCTGATACTGAAAAATTAACAACTTATACTTAATGACCATTGTAAATGGAAATTAAGTAAATGAAAGGGTGGTCTCTGACTTTTTCACAGTACTATACAGAAGCGATATCTTGTGTTCTTAACTTGGCTTTTGCCTTATAACCCGGCTGTTCATAAATACAATACAAAATATTGCTTTATAAATATGTAATTGAGTGCTTATGCATGTGAAGTCCCTATTAAGGTATACTTCAAACAAGTGTTACCTATCATGTAAATAGTAAATAAAATTATCATGACATTCTTCTACAGAACATACTTCCTTCAGTCTCCTTCGACTAAACGTTCAGATGAAAGACAGCTGATGCACCATTTGGAAAAGTTAACTGTGCGTATTTGCATTTTAGGACTTTTTCACATTAAAGTGTCTTGGGGAAGTGAGCATATGGGAACGATAGAGAGAGCAAGAGCACAAAATGAGTCCTGAGAGGCCCTTACCCAGGAGCCTTTGCAACAGCTGCGTCTGTCTGCTCCCATCTGCACTTTAGCATGTAGCACACAAGCTCATGAATAGAGTATGATGTTTAATAATTATTCTGTGTTTTTTAGGTTGTGCACTGCTTCTGTTCATTTTACAAAGTAGGCTAATGTTCATTTGCTATATAGACGAGAGTAATGTAGACTAATGTTCTATTCACTGTTCAACTTTTAGCCAAGGACATCGTTTAAATCCAAACTAAAAGAAAAGAAAAGGAATAAAAAATTGTAAGCCATGTGGCAGTTCAGATTAACCTGAGTTGCAGTATGTCAGTGTCAGTTAGTTTCCACTAAGCAGCAGAGATGTTTTGACCTGAGCCGTCTTGGCTAAGCGAACAGCAGCCTATTCAACATTCATCTACGGGGAACCGCATGGGCCGGCCAAGAGAGAGAAAGAATACATAATACATGATGGAGGAGTCTACCAGCATTAGCTTGGCCTTCTGTTTAGAGTGGCTAGAGTGAGAGATGTGGGGCAATGGTCAGCAGACAAAGTGTTTGGAAGGAGCTGTGCAGAGGCAGGTAGTAACTATTACATTTACTCAGTTTCTAAATATTTTCAAAAGATAATTATTTTATCTCTACTCAGCATATTTGTGATTAAAGTATCTAATTTTTATTTCGTTGCATTAAAATCATTAACACTTAGATACTAATTCGTTTTTAACTCCCACCTAACAAAACCATAGTAACCCCTTGCAAAACCTTAGCAACCAGAACAGATACCATAGTAACCACTTCAGAACACTCACGCAACCATCTCCAGTATTACAGCAACCACATAGCTACACCCTAGCAACCACCTAAAATACATATTGATTGGTTAGTAATACCCTAGCAACCACCTAAGATATCATAGCAACTGTCTAGCCAGACCCTAGCAACCACCTGAAATATATACTAATAACTTAGTGACACCCTAGCAACCACCTTAGATATCATAGCAACTGTCTAGCCAGATCCTATCAACCACCTGAAATACATATTAATAACTTAGTAACACCATAGCAACCACCTTAGATATCATAGCAACTGTCCAGGCAGACTCTACCAACCACCTGAAATACATATTAATAACTTAGTAACACCCTAGCAATGACCTAAGACATCATAGCAACTGTCTAGCCAGACTCTAGTAACCACCTGAAATGCTACAGCAACCATCTAGCAACACCCTAGTAACAATCTAGAAAGCCCCTAGCAACTATCTTAATTATCATAGCAACAATCTAGCAACAGCTTAAGACCTGCTGTTTTATGTAATGCACTTTTCTAGTTTGGTGACAGTATCTGTACTGACCAAATGCTGTTCTAAGCTACTCAGTACTGGAGCAGTTTTTTTTAGCTGCTAGTATATTTTAACTCATGTTGTTTGAACGTAATTATTTCTCTCTCTACACATCTCTGGGACTGTGTCAGCACAGATGAACTGGACTCTGTGTATGTATGTGTGTGAGGGAGGGGGTGTTTTGGCAGGACTGTCATAACAAAACCAATCAACAGGGGCTCTTCAGACTGGAGTGGCTACAGAGAAGAGGCTGCCCTAACATTGAGAAGGACACACTCCTAATACAAAACGACAGACCGCCCGACCCTCTAAATCAACAGTTTACCTGCTCTCAGTTAAAATCGGAGAGACCCTCCTCATAGACACTGCCATTTCAGTTTTAACTTTACAGAGCAGAGTAGCTGCAGGTGTTACGAGTTCAAATAGTTTACAAATACAAAATAGAGTGATCAGCTGCACTTACACTGCTCTTGAAAAGAAGATAACATGAAATCACTATGAACAGATAATTACAGTATGTAATTTATCATATGATGTCTCATTGTTTCCTAAAACAAACTTGGAATAAAAAATACCTTATAATGTCTAGTTGATTGTTTCAATATTCACTGTATATGCTTGTATTAAACAAAATGACAACTATTGCCTTTTTATACTGTAGATGTGGGCAATATTACGATATTTATTGTTATTGTGAAAAATTACATCTCATTACACCTGAGCGTATGGGTAATTCTCCATTTGGAGTGGGAAACCATGTCACAAAGGTTTCAGGGCTTAAAAAGATGCCTCAAATACTAGGCACAGCTCCAAAAGTCAGTAGGTACATTTAGACAGTTGACCTAAGATTAAATAACACATTTCCCTTATGATTTCTCTGATTTTTCTTTTTTTATCCTGGTATATAGTCACTCTGCATGTAAAACAGCTTTTGAACAGCTTTTCAACATTTGAGAAAACATTTTTAATATAAAACAATATTTATAAGAGGTTTAACTCAGGAATTTGTATAAAACAGATTCATGGTTGCTCTTTATATCATTAATGTTATACTACATTTAAAAAAATATGTATTTTATTTAAATAATTAATTTGTCACAGAGATTTTGGTCACTGGTGTTATCAGGACTTACATTATAACACTGTATTTTCAGCTCAGCTTCTGCTTCTTTGGGTCGAGGCTCATCACAGAGGAAACATCTCAAGGCATGAGAAGGCGAGTCCACACTAGCTCACTATATGTCTTTAATTTATTAATACTTTTGTTTATCAGGCAGCACATCACTTCTATGCGTCACCAGTGTTATGTGCTTTAATGGTTGGGTAATTAAACTTGTGTAAAAATGATGCCATTCATCATTTTTATTACTGATTTTAAATAGTTGCACAAGGTCACCAGACCGTCAATCAGTCAGTCAATTTACAAAATCCTCCGTTTTAACCAGAATATCACAGTATACACCAGTGACTGTAAAATATGTTTGGAATTAAGCTCTCCTTTTTGCATGTATGATAATAGGAGGTGTTAATAGGCATATTAAGATTATTTAGTTTATGGATGAAAGAAATAGATTTGTAAAAAAAAAATGTATCCACCTGAATTCCCACCCCAAATGGAGAATAAGCCATAAATATGGTGGATATTGTCAGTACTTAAAGAACACTGGCCAACTGTATGTATGCTTCATTTCAAAGACAGCATAAATAGTCCTTTTAACTGGATGTAGCCCAGCACAGCATGTAAAAAACAGAATTAAAAAAAAAATCATTGTTGATAGCATTTAGAAATGTGGCTCTGCTGCTTTGTTTCCTCAAACTTCAGAAAAATGAATCACATCTACATCGTATGTCAACAAAATGTCTAGATGTGCTGTGATGTTATACTTTTGCCAACACATATAATGCACACTGTCCTGCACTTTAACCCCATTTTTCCAGCTATTTATCCACTCTTACCCCAAAGTAGGACTTTTGCCCGTCGTCCCAGAGCAGCACCAGGTCAGCGTTAGTGGCCTCACCCCAGTCAGACATGCCTAGCAGGATGCCGTGCCGCAGCTCCTTGGCTCGGAGCTCCATGTACACCTCTTGCCGGGGATAGCTGATGTTCCACGATAGCTGCAGCTGACCAGCCGGGTCCAGAGGGACGCTGTAGGGCAGGGTGTTTCTAGAGGGGGCCACTGCAGAAGGAGCCTGGTAGGGGGCCACCAAGAGGACCACTAGGGCAGCTAGCAGCGTCACATACATCAGCACAATGTCCTGCAGGCGCAAGTCTTTATTCAGCAGACGCATCTTTCTCTCTGAACCAATTTGCTTCTTGGCTTGATATCTTCTGGTTTGGGGTCACCTTGAAACTTCTCGTACTTCTTTTTTTAAAACTGTTCAATAGAAGTTGAATGAGTTGATGATGCTTTTTCAGCTGACGTAAAAGAAAGCAGCACTTTAATGATGTCAGTTTAGTTTTTCTTCTTTCTGTATGGTTTTTGATTTGATATCTTCTGGTTTAGAATCAGCTTGAAACTTCTTCTTACAAGCTGTTGCTTCTACATAGAATGTTTTTTGCTCCTTGCAGGCTATAGGTTGGATGTTGAGATGTGGGTGAATGTGTCCGTCCTTGAAGCTGGCCAAGGAATTTTTCTTGTCAAGTCTTCACACATTGACTGGAACCATGTTCTTTCTTACCTTCCTCCGTCCTTCATTCTCACTCTCTCTTCTGCTCTTCCTCCAGTAAATTGGTTTTCTCCACCCTTTAGGTTTTTTTCTGCTTTCTCTTCAAGTTTCAGTACCACTTTCTCAGGGTTTGGCTCAGTCTGAGCTCACACTCTGTGAAAATGAAGCATATTGGTATATATTGTCAATATATTGTAAAATATAAACTTATAATGTTGCATATATTGTATTTTTGTACTTACTCCTTCACTCCTGTCTGCTGGATCAGCTCATCCTCTCTCTCTCCCCTTGTCTCCGGCTTTTAAGAGCGCGACCCTGTGACAGGCTCTACTTTATTCTGGCTAATTGCGTTAGCTCGGGTTAACGAAAATTCAATTGTTTATTTACCCTCTGGTCAAACTACTCTTTTTTTTGGTTGTTCCTTTTTTTCCAGCATCTGTTTGTCTGTTGTTGAAAGGGTGGGGCACACTGGTCTCTTCAACAACTGAACATACTCAAATATGCTTACATTGTAATATTTGTGAAATATTACAAATACAAGAAGTAATTAATAAACCATTAGTAAGTCAGGGCCTTGAGGTTTAAGACAAATTAGGTTCAATTCAACTAAATTGGAATGCCAGTGCTAATTTAGTTGATTTGTGACTATTGATCTTTATTGATTGATTTTTTGTCAGGATCTAGCTCATAAACTAATGACCAATCTTCCATTATGCTCCTTTTCTTGGTTATTAAAGTTGCATTGCTTATATTTCCCCTGGTCTCCTGTAAAACGCACCATTACCGCAGCAGGCAGTAATCCTGGCTCCATTGTCACTTACATCTGAGGGAGCCAAATGTTCTTACATAAGCTGTTTTATTTCCCTTAATTGCACAGTAAAATGCTACAAATGCTGCATTGTCTGTAAAGCTACAGACACTCAAAGGGCACTAACGAACGGATCCATATGAATATGACATTCACTGTGCTTGTATTTGCTGTGATTGTGTGAGGATGAAAGGAGTTTTGGTGATGCTGAACAGAATAACACTAATGATTCCAACCCCTTAAACTCTAATCGATAGTAGGTGACGTGGCTTGAAGAGGCAGCCCAGTTAAAGACAGACAAATGCTAATCATCTGTTACCTCAGCCAGCATTACTAGCGCTGTCTTTTTTCATCCTGTATCTTTGGTTCGAAAACAGCAAGATTTGTTAGTTGTTAGTTGACACCAAACATGATAAATTTCCAAAATAAAATAGTTTTAATCATCAAATCTATAGACCAGAATCAGAATGATTGTAAACATAGTGGTTTGCATAATTTGAAATCTCATGTCGCCTTTTGCATTGTGTTAAAGTTTCATGGTGAATGGACCAATAGAAAGGGTCCAAAATTTCTTAGAAAAAAAATCTTGTTATGTTAACTTTTTTATTTTTTATTTTTTTATTATTTTTTTCCTTCTTCTATAAAGTTACCATATCGGAGATATAATGTTTTGCTCTGACAGCAATACCTCACCTTCAGTAATCTACATCCAGTCAGTGTGGAAGCAGCGCAATTATGGGACAATTCGCAATAATTTCAAACATAACAGACAACCAATAATGATAAAATCTTGTTGTGTAATGCCAAATGTACCCAGATACATAATTGATTTTTCTAAATTTCCAGCTTTCAAAAGCAGGTTGAGCTGCTATCAGTAGTGTAAATCTCCATAGAGGCCTCTTCTGTCTTTTCTGGAGTCACTAAAGCAACATGGTGTTGTTTTTCAAAAAAAAAAAAAAGAAGTAAAAATCTGGTGTACGCTAGATACTATCAGGTGGGCACCAGATACTATGTGGTGAGCACCAGATGCTATCAGGTGGGCACCCGACACTGTGTGGTGAACATCTGGATCTATGTGGTAAGCACCAGATGCTATCAGGTGAGCACTACATACTATTGGGTGCCCACCAGATTCTATCAGGTAAGCATTCCATACTATCAGGTGAGCACCCGACACTATGTGTCAAGCACCTGATATGATTAGGTGAGCATATGATTCTATGTGGTGAGCACCCGGTACTATGTAGTGAGCACCAAATACTGTCAGGTGCACACCAGATACTGTGTGGGGAGTACTATATACTATATAGAGTACTCACCATACAGTATCTGGTGTGCACTTGATTGTATTTGGTTCTCACCTTATATTATCTGGTCTGCACAAGAAAATATCACGTGCCCACTAGATACTATCAGGTGAGCATCTGAAACTACCAGGTGAGCACGTGAAGCTATGTGATCAGCATCTTATATGACTAGGTGAGCATACAATACTATGTTGTGAGCACCTGATACTAGCAGGTGCACACTCACCACGTCTTTTCAGGGTCTTGTAGTTTGTAACACTTAAAGCCAAAGCTAACAACAAATTAGCAAATTCTTTACTCTTCCAGATGAAGATAAGGTTACTGAGCACTATTACATGATCAATAAGACCAAAATGTAAACTAGGAGTGTATGTTGTTGTATTTGTGGCTATTTCAACAATTATTCACACTTAACAGAAAAAAAGAAACTTTATTTGATTCTACAGATGATTACGTGTAAAAGTAGACATTTGTGTGAGTGTGTGTGCAGAACAGTGCAGTATATCATTTAATATCAGCCAATACGTCAAGTTAACTAGCCAGCAGCATAGTTGATTAGCCAAATTAGATGCTTCAAACTCTCACGGAATGAACAAAAAGACAATTAAATCGTTAAATGTGGTCATTATGAACAGTTCCAGCTGTCTCTCAAACAGGTGGGAAATAAGCTAGAACTAGAACCATAAGTTCTGTTGGTTTAGCTTTGGGTCGGTTCTTGTTTTTAGGTGAGCAGTGGGGAAAACTCTTGTAAAGTGAATTATTGTTTATTAAATTCTGCAATGAAATGTGTGGCTGGTGTGTGTCGATGTTTGGCAACTCCTAGCATTACTCAATTTCTCTAAGCACCACAGTGCACCACTCTATTACTATTACCGCTTTAAATTAAACCCGCATATAAGCCCAGACTTCTTTTTCCCATTCTACACATCACATCTACAACTGTGTAATTTAGTTTCATAGTGCTTAAAATTATAATCATTGATCTATCCATGCTCCACTTATTTACACATTCGTTCATTGCAACTATCATTAGGTTGGACATGCTTTACAGAGCATTTACAAAAACCCCATTCAACCTTAAGAGAAACTGTACTGTACTTCAACAACAAATTTGCCACCATGCTAGCTCTATCTTAAGTACATGATAAAAATGCATGACCTTTCACACACATACAAAATATCATTTGAAATTAAAAACACGTTTCAAACATTTGTGCACTACACTTTTCATTAGACTGAATGCAACATTCTGTAAAGCCTGTTCTAGTATGTAGTTGCTACAACAAAACACATTTGTGGGTGGAGGATGGATACAGCAATTCAGACTAGTTATGGAATAGTCCTAAGATTAATAACTGAATAATATGATTAGAGTTAAAAGGGTTATTTCTTTCCTGCATCTTTGTTCATCTGTGAACATCAGCATGGCACTGAAAGAGCTGTTTTTTCTGCACTGGAGAATTTGCATGTGCTTGGCATGCAACTGCATACAGTCCTGCTCTTCTCAGCACAGATATTCTCGTCCTTGGGGTGGCACGCTTTCTGAATACTGCATTTGTGCCACACTGCTGCTGTAATTATACTAATATTATTGCTGCTATGAGTTTACTGTATTAACAATACTGTATTTCTGACCACAGTAACTTAATGTGCATAGATTTATGTTTATTGTGTGGAAGTCCGGAGAGGCCATGGACTGCTGCTATAATTTTCTGGATTGTTATCTTGAGATGACAAAATAACTAACTCATTATTTCAAGATACCAACTTTGTTATCTCAAGATAACAAAATAACTAACTCATTATTTCAAGATAACAACTTTGTTATCTTGAGATAACAAAATAATGAACATGTTATATCTTGTCCTATGCTTCAAACTTGGAAAGTCAAACAGAATCCCCTGTACATGTACAGTAAGTCTATTCTATTCTATGTTCTGGTCTGTTATATGCATGAGAGTCACAAACTGAATCCACTGTATTTGTACAATAAAGATATTCTATAATATTCTCTTCTAGATTTTTTGTGCTAGTAGAGTTTGTGTGAGCTGTCAGCACTCTGAGCATCCACACAGCAGGGTGACTTTTTCCTTCAACGTTTTACTCGCCTTCTGCAGAATTAAAAGGGATCAGGACGAAACAGTGTATGAGAGAGTGTGCAGGGTGGTAATAGAAGCCCCGGAGCAACACAGAAGCAGCAGCTGCACAGGGTGTCACTTTAACGTTTTAATGGAGAAACACATGAACACATGCACCTTGTTTGTGAAGGAGAGAAGGAGAGAGGTAAAAGGTTATCAGGGTCCCTGAGGCTACGGGGAGCAGAGGAGGGGGTGGACGGACAGAAGAAAAAAGAGAGAGGAAGAACGGGGGGTTGTGATTCATGTGTTAGTGCAGTCAAACAACTAAAGTAAAATCCATCCCAATGATTAAGCCCACATCAATATGATAGACAAATATATATTAATGTATTTATTTCAATGAGGGAGAAAAAGAAAGAAAGAGAGAGGAAAGAGAGGAGAATAAGGGAATGAGAAAGAGCAAGGAGTGAGCAAGAGAAAAGGACAGAGGCAGAAAGAAAGAAAGAGTGAGAGAACTGCAGAGAAAG